ACTCACCCCTTCCGAATCGCAGAGGCTGTTCCAGCTGTCGAATTTGTGATTGACGTCTTTAAACGCTGCAATCCGAGCGGGGATCAGATTGACATTTTCCCCATGCTTTACCTTGGCGTCGCGCTCAGCAAGAATCCAGGTCAGGAAGAGAGGGCAATCAAGATCTTCCAAGAGGCGTTGGACAATCTGGACAAAGCAACCTACATGCCCCATCGTGGCTTGATTTGGGCCCGTGCATACTTCAGCAGGACGTTGAGGAAGAAGGGGCGCGTCAAGGCGGCTAAGAAACAAGAGAAGCTCATTCGGTAGGTTTTAACTTGCCCCCCAGGTATTCAATTCGCTGAACTGTGGGCAGGGAATGGATTTTGGGACATCCATACAGCATGCCTCCAAGCGAGTTGAAGGAACTGGTGATAGAGGATGGGCAGAGAGACTACGTCTTTTCTCATCCCGAAATGATGACTGTCTTTGGCCAAATGGAGGAGATAAAGGATCCTGACACTGGTGCTGCGGTTGTCATAGACAGCAGGATGGGGGTCACAGTGACGCAACAACGTTGAGGATGCGCCTACATTTCTTGCTCTTTCTCATGACTTCTGAACAATGTAAACTGTACAACAAATAAATAAATCAGTGTTTTCAACGAAAGTACACGCGCAGCGCTATATGGAAAGAGCTCAAGGTACATTTTGTCATGTTATGGAATACAATGTAATGCAAGAAAACCAACGTAAAACCAAGTGCCATCCAAGACTCATCACCTCAACTCTCTGAGCTTCTCAATGACATCGCGAATATGTGGCTGGTTCCACTCCCCACTCCAACCTTGGTTGCGCTCTTTTCTGACAACGCCACAATCATCAATGATAGGAGGCGCGAGGAAACTCTCTTGGACCGACACGGTGAAGTCGAGGAATGGTCTCTCCACCGGCGATGACACCTCCTTCCAAAGAGGCTTCCTATCCTCCTTGGTCCGTGGGGAATGCGACCTCCTGTGTTCATGACGAGGTGAAGGTGATTTGGTTTCTTGACGCGAGGGCCTGACTTCATCCTCCGATGTACGATCTCGGCTGCTGCTGCTGACTGCCTCACTAGCTTCTTCATTTTCTTCGTCCTCTTCCACTATCACTTCGGCTTTAGTCACCTTTACGCGGAGCTCCTGGCACGTCGTCTCCTCGCCGGTTTCTAAACCATCGAAATGATAACTCAAATCCAAATCCGAAACCGCCGTAGGGCTCCGGAACACGATCGGTCCATCATCATCGGAAGACGACTCGTCATCATCACCAATTGGAAACGATTCAAAGACAGGCGAAGAAGAGTTGGATGCCGCATCATCATCGTCATCATCATCGGGATCAATTGAAAACGATTCGAACATGGGCGACGGAAAGGGGGTCGAAAGCGTGATAGGAGAGAGGAGGTCAACCTCAGGTAAAGTTTTGCCGTTGAAATAAAAGTCTGGTGTGCGCTCGAACATGCTGGTTCGACGGAGAGCGTAATGCGGCTGTTCGAAAACCATGGGCACGGGCGCCCTGGCCCGCTCTTTGCCTTTCAGTGACATATATGGAATGTCCCCGAAAGAGGATACTCTTTGGCTTAGTAAAATTGGGGAGGTCGAGGCTGGTCGAGGGTCTTCTGGGATCGTTGGGACGGAGAGAGTTCTAGGTGGTGGACTGAGCGGTTGGTGACTAGAGAGCAGCTTTGGGATTTTGGTAGTTTGCCCAAGCATTGGTATACTGCTTTCTTGCGACGGTTGTCGGTTATCGCTGCTCTCATAAGAGGGATCGGAGGATTGCGAGCGGTGTGTTCTAACGGAAGGAGGATGGGGAAATGGTGTCGCGTGGAGTAGGTAACTTTTCGCCATGATCTGGTCAACATTAACGGAAGAGGGACGCGACAGAGGCATCAGGCGTGTAATGCTCGGTTGTAAAACAATTCCATACACTTCGGAATTAACGGGTGATTGGGACATACGTTCGGGTATCATCTCAACAGGAGACTGTGGTCGTGGATGATAGGCACTGGGCGCTGATACTCTCGGAGTACGTGACCTTGCATAATGAGGGTCGAGCCTGGATATCGACACTGTATGGCGTATGGATTGACTGCGAGAAGGATGATAGGGTAAAATCGATTGCGTGGTAGACGGGAGGTTGGGAGACAAAGCATTCAGAATCCTGACGGGTTCCGAGGGATCGTACATCATGGACGTCGACGACGAACGCGACTTTGTGTGCCGGTGCTGGCGTGGTTTGCTGGAATCATCGACCTTGGCTTTGCTTGAGGATTTTGAGAAGAAAGCTAGACTCATATGATAAATCGAGCTGGGGGAAAGAGAGAAAGAGTGGTGAGGACGCGCCACGTCCCGAGTCGAAGGAGAGAAAGAAGTCGTCAAGGACTATGTAATAACTGCCGAATTCGAAAGGATCTGGCAATTTCAGATGGGAACTTGAAGCGAGGGACACCCAATTCAAATAATTTGGTAAAGCGCTCTGTAACCGGAGCTCCTCGGCGCAGGTGTGAGATATACGAAAATGTCAGTTGATCCAACCAGTTGAGCCAAGAATCAGATTGCCATGAAGTCCGTGATGGTCGAGGACCGAGGTTGACCTTGAAACAAACCTCTAAGTACTTAGGTGCTGGCGCGAAGTTTGAATAAAGCTGCGAGTTCCGTATCAGTTGCTTGACGAAAGGACTGAAAGCAAGGGAAATAAATATCACAGAATTGTAGTGCAGCATGGCGCGCAAGGCTTGTGAATTGAGATAATCGCGAACTTCGAAGGTTGTTAGGGTACCGATATTGCAGAAATTCAGGAGAACAACATTCGTGATCTAGATCTGTTTGGCGGAATCATTCAACAAAAACAAAAACGCCCATTATATTACGGTATTGAGTACAGTACACACGAAGAAATATCGACAGGGAATCCAAGAATGCAAGAGGAGATATGCTACAGGTGATTATAATTAGAGGTTGGCCTTTGATAGTGTATATTATTAATTTCTTGAGTGTTGATTGAAAAGAAAGAAACGCACCAGAAAATGTGTGACCATTGTGTAACCCAAACCGCGGCGGCTGGGTTTTGTCGAGATAGTTGACGAAAGACACATATTCCGCTGGCGTGATGCTGGGATCCAAGACACCCCCTGGTGAGATGGGGTTAGCCGGATCGTCGAACTTGGTGTTGTGGATGTCCGTAGCCTTGGAGATGGAGAATAAATCGGCTTGCCTATCCTCAGCCAGATCAGCAAAATAATTTAAGAAGATTCAACGTCGGGAAGACAAACTTGTAGCCTGATTTAGCGTCATCTCCACCCCGACCATTCCCATCCCTGGACAAAGCTAAAAAAATTCCGGGACTGATAAAGTGAATCTCACTGCACGCTTGCGCTTTGCGCTTTGAGCTTTGAGGCAAAGGGACGACCCATTCTCTGACGAGTTTGGGTGTGATGATGGGGTTGGCGAGGTTAAAGGCGAGCAGGCGGGTGTAGCGGTTCGTCGTCTTCGCGCTACCGCCGTCTTGGATAGTGGCGGACTGGAGCATCGCGTAAAGGGTTTTGGTGTTGTCGTCGTAGGTTAAGCCTTCAAAACCTTGAGATACTGTTTAGAGATTCAAAAAAAGAGGGAAGTAGATATAAATTCACCTTTATTCCCAGTTCTTCCAGTGGTGGGACCAGTGATTGAGGACAAGTTCAGATGTCCAGACGCGTCTAGAGGGAGAATAGCGCGTGGAGGTTGGATGGGTTGGATCAATTGCCCGTTTGAGGTCAAGCCTTCCCTTTGGTGATTGTTGCGCATCCCAATAACAGTTTCGGAATGACGTTTGACACGAACACTCTGCTGCGTGCCCTACCCGAGGTTGTATGTTACTGTAAACCTAGAGATCAACATGACGGTCAATCCGACGGCGACGGGGAGCTTGGACTCGGAGCAAACGCGTATAGCTTTCGACGTTCGTGAATAGCTGGTCGAGGAAGTGCCAATTAGTCTATTCAAATCCTGCAGACACAATTGTTGGCATAAATAAGCATGCGAGCAAGTTTTCCTCATTTAGTGCATCTATGATTACTGTGACCCATGAGACCGTGAAAGAGGTGTGCAATGGGAGGGTTGATACCTATTTTTTAGAGCGCCAGCGATACGTGATCTATGACGAGTACAACTCCTCCTTCAACTCCAAGCCTATGCAATCGGATGGTCAGAATCAACCAAGGATACGCGACCATAAAACTCACCCAGCTCCTCCCGAAGAGGCCTCAGCTCATCAACATACGCCTGATACTGCGCTTTGTTCTCCACCTTCTCCTTGATTCCCTCGAAGACCCGAACAGCAGTAGCATAGTCATTGACGCGCCTAGCAGCCCTAATAGCAGCCTCTACAACAGAGGCAGACGGCACTAGATCATGCGCGAAGCAGTTATTGAGGCCCCGTTGGACTTCGAAGAGGTCTTCCGCGTTCTGGAAGAAGTTGACGTAGCGCTCCGAGAACGACTCGAATGACTCCTGGGCATGCGAGCTCGCTGGGCGGACAATGAGGGTGGCCCGTGCGGCTGTGGCGACGAGTGAGGGGCGAGCAGAGGCGCGGAGGACGGAGGAGAGTATCTGAGCACGCATTTTTGGGGAAACAGGCAAAACAGAGGCAAGGAATTGTTCGGGTTGTCGGGATTACCCGGTAACAGTAGTAAAATCAGAAGACGTTGCATAACAAATACAAAGTCGGTTCGTAAGTGGCTTTGAAAAAAAAAAGCGAAAGCCCTAGGTTTTACATTGATCATTCAACAAAAACAAAAACACCCATTATACGGTATTGTGTACAGTACACACGCCAAAATATCGACAGGGAAGCCAAAAATGCAAGAGGTGATATGCTACAGGTAATTATGATTAGAGGTTGGCCTATGATAGTTTATATTATTGATTTCTTGAATGTTGGTCGTAAAGCAAGAAACGCACCAATAACTTAATGAGATCAGAGGTAGCGCGACCAAGAAGAAAACTGTTGAAGGAGTGGTGGAGGGGAGATTGGAGCCATTATAGAAATTAGAACCGTTGATAACAAAGTTGTGAGCCCCCTGCGATACATTCTGGTGTCCCATGATGAGATATTAGCAGAAGAATTTGATGGACTTGGAGTGTAGACACACACACCAGAGCTGTGCCTTATGCCGTAGCATCGGGGCTCCTTGCGTTTAAGGAGTGGTGGAGGGGAGATTGGAGCCATTGAAGGAAAACCCTATCAGAAGAGTGAACGCCGTTCATCATGAGCAGTGGTCGACATAAACATACCAGTAAACTGAGCTTGGACAGTCTGAGACAGGTTCGAGTTTTCGACGTAGCTATCAATCGGAGCCTCTTCCGTGAACACGGTGTCAAAGTTGGAAACGTCAACGGGGCTAACGACGCTCGGCTTAAACGGGGGCTGAATTTTCTTTGACGCCAGCAATTTGAAATCGATATGCTTGTGGAAGAATGGATGCCGCTTGATATCCTCAGCGCCTTTGACGCCCAAGCGATGGGCAGGATTACGGTTCAAGAGGTCGGTAAGAATGCTGCACGCCTCCTCACTGAACTCTTCCCCAAATACGAGAGGATCGTTCAGGATCTTCTCATACATCTTGTCCGTGTTTTCATCATAGAATGGCGGGAGACCTGCCAGCATTTCGTATAATAAGACTCCGAGGGTCCACCAGTCGATAGCCTTGTCTATAACGAACTTCAGGGCAATGGCTCAAAGAAGATGAACGACACTGACCGTATCCGTTTCCAGAAAGGATTTCCGGGGCGAGATATTCAGGGGTACCGCAGAATGTGTTGGTTTTCTCATTATCTTTCATGTTCAGCTTGCACAAGCCGAAATCACATAGAGCAATGTGGCCGGTGTAGTCGAGTAGAATATTTTCAGGTTTTAGATCCCTACGTTACTTGTCATTTAAAAGACGCCAGCTAAAAAGAAACTTTATACCGATAGACGACATCCAACTCATGCAGATGCTCAAGAGCGAGAAGGAGTTCGGCACTGTAGAAGCTAGAGATAGTCGTGTTAATGTCAGCGTCAGACGGAAAAGAGATCTCTTACCGCGCTCGCTCCTCATTAAATCGATGCTCTCGTTGCAGATGGTGGAACAATTCTCCTCCGTTGACGAAGCTGGACGGTACGGTTTAGTTGGGAAGCATTTGCCAAAAAGAGAAAGTACCTACGCAAGAACCAAATACAGCTTCTGCTCCGACTGGAAACTGAACTTCAAAGGGACTATGAAAGGGCTGTCAACTTGTGCCAGAACAAGACGTTCCGCGAGGGTATGCGTAATTTCGTTACGGTTGACGATGTGAACTTTCCGGATGGTTTTGAGAGCGTAAATACGAGTTGTATCTCGCTTCCTAACTTGCATAACCTGTACCACGAGGCGTTAGGTTCACTCAAAACACAATAGCGTGAAAGTGCAACCTTTCCAAAGCTTCCCTTCCCAATGACAGTCATCAATTCAAAGTCATCGACCGTTAACGACTGGCCATAGCTGGGCTGGTAAGTAACGCCGATTTGAATCTTCCCAGAACCGCCAACGAAGTTGTACCACTGATCCTGACTTCCCATGGCATCGAAATTTGGTACAAATTTGATGCCTCCAAGGAAGACATCGTTGCCCAGGTCATCTGCTAGACCATCCCCGCCACACTTCGGCTCTTCCGCGCGGAGGTAGCATTGAAGAGATATTTCCGAGTTCCGTGACACGTCGCTAGAAGGGTAGTGTTGGTCGTTTTATGTCAAGGGACGACTCAATGTTGGCACGCACAAGTGGGCTTGGTACATATACAACGGCTTATCAAGCTCACCCCCCAAAGGAGTGATTAGAACCTGGTTTACTTCGTATTCCATGACCAGATATGGAAGCCACCAGCATTGCATTCTTTGAATGCTGTCCCTGAATTGGTGACGAGCCAACGTAAAAACTGATTCTACACGGCTGCAAACCCGTCTCACCTGTTCCCCCGGGACTTATTGGCTAATCTTTGCTTATGCACACTTGATGGTGACACGGAAGCGGCGACTTTAGCTTGTTGGGAGGTCAACGCGGACTGCACAGATGGAGGAACAGCCACTCCTGCCGGTAAACCAAGGCCCTCTGCCCATAAGACTCGAATTGTGAGCAGACCCGAACGGAATTTTGGCTTTTTTTCTTTTCCGTCAGGGTTTCCAGGCGTTGGGGTGGTGGAACGATGGGAAGCCACCTCTGCTTTGAGGTTTGCTACTGAGGCTTTCTTCCCTCGCAACCACGACATTTGTATGGATTGAAGAAGAGTAATGGTGGTATATCAGTAAGGAACGTGATTGAGAAAGCCTGCTTTCGTCGCAGTTGAAGGTGGTGAAGGAGTGTGATGGTTGATGGTAAGAATCCAGTTGGGTAACTGAAGTTCTTCGGCCCTGGCCGGTGCTCCCTTACTGGTTCTCATGATGTACCGACGTCACTCATAGGGTGTATGAGGGTGTATGATATTCCTAATAACATATAGCGATAGTTTGTGGGGAAAATCTCATTAAGAATCTGAAGATAGACAACGGAAAGAGTCCTGTAAAGCGGAAGCAGTTCTTTCGATATTTATTCAGAGGCGCGATGCCAAACACCGCCAGTCTGTCTGAGCAAAATCTGAGTGGCGAGTGCATGAACCGTGATGAACGTTTGTATGGTAAGCCAATATTAAAGGATAGATATAGCCTGGAAGACATGTCTGACTCGGAGGCAAGTATGAGAAAGATCGACGCCGGCCAAGTGTTGACATCACACCATCATCAGTTATTGTGCAAACATGATCACAGAGATATGGGCCGAGTGACGCGTTGACATGGCATCGACGTTTTTATGGGGAAGCGCCAAGAGCTCCGCGACTTACGCAACGCAATCCAACAAGTCGCAGATACAAAACAGGAGCCCACAAGAGGATAATTTCGACGCTTGGGCGAAGCAGCCTATAGCCCTTGAGTAATAAAAATTTGGTCGACGAGGTTTAAGGAGCCTGTATCCTGAAACTCCGGATGACATGATCTCTGATGACTTTCGAAGTGTCGAGGACCGAGGAGGTGCCAAAAATAAAATAACTACGATGAGTCGCCGAATCTGTATCAGATCTTCGATGATACAACGTTCGATTTTGAATAATTGTCTGAGAAGAGTGGGCTGATAACTGAGAGTTGATAACAATCCACTGCGGCCAAGCCGGAAGTATGAACGAAAGTGAGCTCTGCCGAAGGTCTTGCGCGAGTCAGTGGAGTTGAATCGAGTCATTTATTGAAGTGGCATGTCAGGGTTTTGACTCCGTCGAATCCCCTGAACTTGGCGCGTTACGGCGTACGTGAAATTGCTTACGTTCTCACGCCGCGTCCCGTCAAGGTACATATGGCGGCCTACAAAACTCTACAAAACTTGGATATCAGTTTCCCAACTCTTACCTTCCATTCGTTCATTTTTTTCTCTCTACTACCCTTCCAGTCATGTCTGACTCAAGGGCAAGTACCACCGACGAGAAGGTGGCCGTCAACGACGAGAAAGGCACCACCGCGCATCACAAGAACTCCAGCAAAGGCTTTTTTTCTCGCAGAAAATCCCAACTTCCTGTTGACGAAAAGGATGAGAAGGAAAAGAATGGCGATGTAACTACGGAGGTGACGCCAGCAGAACGCGAAGTACCTCCCATATCCTTCACGCAACTATTCCGGTACCCCTTTTCCCTCCCTGAATGCCTTCGGATTCTCACCTTTCTTCAGTTTTTCGACACCGTTCGAACTCTTCATTGACGCCATTGGTATTGTTGCGGCCATGGCGGCTGGTGCAGCCCAGGTCAATACTCGTGTCATTTCTTTTGCGAATTGTTCATTGACATTTTCTCGTCCCAGCCTCTCATGTCACTTTTGTTTGGTAACTTGACCCAAGGCTTTGTAACATTTTCATCGGTCCTTCTTCGGGCGAAGAATGGGGATCCGACTGCAGAGGCCGACATACCAGCCGCCGCCGCCGCCTTCCGCCACGACGCCGCCAAAGATGCACTTTATCTTGTATTTATTGGTACGCAACAATGTTTCTTTCGAGATTCACCAACCTGACTTGGACTCAGGTGTTGGCATGTTTGTTTGCACGTACACGTACATGTATATCTGGGTTTACACGGGCGAAGTTAACGCCAAACGTATTCGAGAACGCTACTTGAAAGCCATCCTGCGACAAGATATCGCATTCTTTGATAAAGTTGGAGCAGGCGAGGTTGCCACGCGAATTCAAACGGACACCCGTGAGTTTTGATCTCATATGACGCGTGATTTCAGTAGCTTATGTTTCCCAAGATCTGGTGCAACAGGGTATCTCTGAAAAGGTTGCCCTTGTTTCCAATTTTCTTGCCGCTTTCGTTACCGGTTTCGTCCTTGCATATATCCGCTCATGGCGACTCGCCCTTGCTATGTCATCAATTTTGCCTTGCATCGCGATCACGGGTGGAGTGATGAACAAGTTTGTTTCTATGTATATGCAGTTAGTGTTAACCATGGGTCGTGTCATTTTGTTGGTTTTTTGACTAGTTTTTAGGTTGTCCCTCAAGCACGTTGCTGCCGCGGGAAGTTTAGCAGAAGAAGTTATTTCCACTGTACGCACAGCTCAAGCTTTTGGTACACAAGAGAAGCTCTCGGTGTTATACGACGCTGAAATTGCACAATCCCTTGCTGTCGATCTGAAAGCCGCAGTTTGGCATGGCGGAGGTCTTGCCACCTTCTTTTTCGTAATTTATTCTGCATACGCCCTTGGTAAGCAATCAATTATCCTTTCCACACGTCAAACGCTTACCCTTTCATCAGCATTTAGCTTCGGTACAACCCTAATCAACCAGGGCCATGGTTTGTCTTTCAATTTAACCTCTGTTCTTGAGTTAAAATACCGGTTTTCTAGCAACTGCTGGAGCTGTTGTCAATGTGTTCCTAGCAATTCTTATTGGCTCGTTCTCCCTGGCTCTTCTTGCTCCGGAAATGCAAGGTTAGTGCATGTACAATTATCTACCTACTTTTTCTGATCTGTTACGTTAGCTGTAACTCACGGCCGTGGAGCAGCCGGCAAGCTGTATGAGACCATTGATCGTATTCCCGACATCGATTCAGCTAATCCTGACGGTCTTAAACCTGAGAATGTTCACGGTGAAATTGTTCTCGAGGATGTCAAATTCAGCTATCCCTCTCGTCCAGATGTCCAGGTTGTGAAAGGATTGTCTCTGAGGTTCCACGCAGGCAAAACCGCGGCTTTGGTTGGCGCTTCAGGTTCCGGAAAGTCCACCATCGTTTCTTTGGTTGAACGGTTCTACGATCCTACATCGGGCGTCGTGAAGCTAGACGGTCTTGATTTGAAGGACCTCAATGTGAAGTGGCTGCGATCTCAAATCGGCCTCGTTTCTCAAGAACCAACCCTGTTTGCTACGACCATCAAGGGGAATGTCGCCCACGGGCTTATTGGCACGAAGTTCGAACATGCACCTGAAGAGGAAAAGTTCGCTCTGATCAAGGAAGCTTGCATCAAGGCTAACGCAGATGGGTTTGTTACCAAGCTTCCCTTGGGTTATGACACCATGGTAGGCGAGCGCGGATTCTTATTGTCCGGCGGACAGAAGCAGCGTATTGCCATCGCTCGGGCCATCGTCTCGGACCCTAGGATTTTGCTCCTCGACGAGGCGACTAGTGCTTTGGACACACAGTCGGAAGGCATTGTACAGGATGCTCTGGATAAGGCCGCAGCCGGTATGTCCGCCTGTAATTCATAATATAATAAAACATCCCTAATGCACGAAGACAGGTCGAACTACTATCACCATCGCTCATCGACTGTCTACCATTAAGGATGCTGACGTCATTTTCGTCATGGGCGATGGACTCGTCTTGGAACAAGGCACACACAACGAACTCCTCCAGGCAGACGGTGCCTATGCGCGTCTCGTTCAGGCTCAGAAGCTGCGAGAACAACGCCCGGTTCTTTCTGACGACGATAGCGCCACTTCCGTCGATGAAGCTGAGGATATGGAGAAGCTGGCGCGGGAGGAGGTCCCACTTGGTCGCAAAAACACAGGCCGTTCCCTCGCGAGCGACATTTTGGAACAGAAACGTCAAGCCGCAGCTGGCGAGAAAGAGAAGGGCGACTTGAGCCTGTTCACTCTTTTCATCCGCATGGGAAAGCTCATCAGGGCGCAATGGAAAAATTACATCTTTGGTGCTGTCTTCGCTTCCAGTATGTCCCTTTGACCTTCTATTTCAACTTGTCTGACCTGGGGGTCAAAGTGACCGGCATGGTGTACCCGGCTTTCGGTGTTGTCTATGCCAAGGGTATCACGGCGTTCTCACAAACCGACCCCCATGAGCGTCGCGTCTTGGGCGACCGTAATGCACTTTGGTATGTTCACTCATACGCCACGAGATAAGATATTAACATTGATTCAGGTTCTTTGTTATTGCCATCCTTTCAATGTGTGCGATTGGACTCCAAAACTTCCTTTTCGCCTCAGCGGCTGCGAATTTGACAGCGAAGCTCCGTTCATTATCTTTCAAAGCTATCTTGAGGCAAGACAGTGCGTTATGCGTTTCGCTTGATAAATGATAGACGTCTGATCTGTCTGTTCACCCGCAGTTGAATTCTTCGATCAGGATGAAAATAGCGTAGGGGAATTTTTTTTTTACTTCCTACATCTTCTAAACCTTCTTTGACCCATCCAGACGGGAGGTTTGACTGCGGACTTGAGCGACAATCCTCAAAAAGTCAATGGGCTTGCTGGTGTCACTTTGGGAGCCATTGTGCAAAGTATTTCGACTCTTATCACTGGCTCAATAATCGGTCTTGTGTTCATCTGGAAGGTGGCCCTCGTCGCCATTGGTATGGCTAATCAATCCTTCTCTCCTTTGACTACCCCTGATTCTTGCCATATATTAGCGTGCAGCCCTCTGCTTGTTTCGGCTGGATATATTCGTCTGGTTCGCTATTATTCATCATTATATCTTGGCATTTCGTTTACATTTGATTTTTTTATAGCGTATCGTCGTACTCAAAGATCAGGCTAACAAGAAATCGCACGCAGCATCTGCTCATTTGGCTTGCGAAGCAGCTGGATCTATCCGCACTGTCGCTTCGTTGACACGGGAAGAGGACTGCTTAAAGCAATATAGCGAAAGCTTGGAGCTTCCCTTGAGAAACTCTAACAGAACTGCTATCTGGAGCAACATGTTGTTTGCATTCTCCCAGTCCCTCGTCTTCTTCGTTATCGCCCTTGTCTTCTGGTTTGGCTCCACTCTTGTGTCGAAACTTGAAGCCAGCACGTTCCAGTTCTTCGTCGGGCTCATGGTAAGCATCCGTCTAGTGTAATCATTCCATGCCTCATGTTTTGCCCATCAGAGCACAACTTTTGGCGCTATCCAGGCCGGAAACGTGTTCTCCTTCGTACCTGACATGTCGTCGGCGAAAGGTGCTGGTTCAAACATCATCAAACTGCTCGATTCCACTCCAGAGATCGATGCGGAGTCGGACGCCGGCAAGAAGGTTGACCCTAACAGTTGCAAGGGGCACATCCGTTTCGAGGGTGTTCACTTCCGCTACCCCACGAGACCTGCTGTTCGCGTCCTTCGTGAGTTATCCCTGGAAGTTGAGCCTGGAACGTACATCGCCCTTGTCGGAGCCAGCGGGTCGGGTAAAAGTACAGTGTAAGAATTTCAATCTCCGTGCAGCTCGGTTGACTTACATCCATTGAAACCTCCAGTATTCAATTGATCGAGCGATTTTACGATACCTTGGCTGGCGACATTTATGTACGTCCTCTAATTTGGACTGGTCTACAGGCGCTAAAATCTGAGATATAGCTTGATGGCGAACGCATCACGGATTTGAACATCCAAGAGTACCGCAAACAGCTGGCTCTGGTGTCTCAAGAACCCACTCTCTACGCTGGAACTGTCCGCTTCAACATTTTGCTTGGGGCTATCAAGCCTGAGTCGGAAGTCACGCAAGAGGAAATCGAAAATGCTTGCCGAGATGCCAACATCCTGGAATTCATTCAATCGTTGCCACAGTATGTTCTCCCTGCGTATTCCAGTCTACGATCTAAATCTTAAACGCAGAGGCTTCGACACCGAAGTCGGTGGCAAGGGATCCCAGTTATCCGGTGGACAGAAACGTAAGCTGCGCCCCGGCTATGTCGAAGCCCGACTAATCCCTGCCCTTCATAGAACGTATTGCTATCGCCCGTGCCCTGCTGCGGAACCCTAAAGTTCTTCTACTGGATGAGGTAAGTAATTTGCGATCTTTGGAGGATCCAGCCAACTCATGATTTTCCTGTGCTGTAGGCTACTTCCGCGCTGGATTCAAATTCCGAGAAGGTGGTGCAAGCCGCCCTCGATCAGGCGGCTAAGGGCAGGACGACAATCGCGATTGCCCATCGATTGTCAACGATTCAAAATGCAGATCGCATGTAAGTCTCCAGTTAAGCGTTGTTAAGGGGGGGCGTGGCTGACTCGTTCATTTTCTATAGTTACTTCATCAAGGAGGGACGGGTGAGCGAGTCCGGAACACACGACCAGCTGTTGGCGAAACGTGGCGATTATTACGAGTTCGTGCAACTGCAAGCCCTCAGCAAACGCGAATAAAATACCCGGCCGATTTTTTTTTCCCACTGGGACGGTGGATTGTACATAACGATTTTTATGGCTTAGATATACCTTGCTGCTCTTGGAAGACATCTGGTTTCACGTCGAACAGCCTCATACCCTCCTTAATTTCACAGTAATACTTACGTAGAAACATGCACTGAACACGAGGACTCTTTGGAAAGAGTTTATATTGTCCGGGCTGAGACTGAGCACTGAGCATTAACTAACATTTAAACGACCAACCATGACCAAGGCGGCATCGGTGAGAAGAGGTAAGTTGGGTGGTTTGAAGTCGGTCGATAATCTTGGCGGGGCCCTGCACGTGCCCACATTCATACGCAACGCAAACCCGACATCAACTGTACCATCAACAGAGAAAATGTCTGTCTCCCTCTCCCCCAGCAGTGCCCTCGGCTTCAGGAGTACGTCCTCCAATTCACTCTTATCATCGAGGCTGACATCCTTCAGGACCACTCACTCAACTTGTCAAACGCTCTCTCATCATCACCAATAACAACACCCAACCTGTCGCCTTCAAGGTCAAGACAACCGCCCCAAAGGTACGCAGCACCCATCGTCGTTGTTCGGGGCTGACCTTTTAAACTAGTTGTACTGCGTACGACCCAATTCTGGCCGTGTAGAAGCAGGCGAACATGTAGAGGTTTCTGGTGAGATACTCCCGTCGTATCTGCGTCATCCTCAATCGACCTAAACATCCCCGCAGTCATGCTTCAGGCTCTCAAGGAAGAGCCTCCATTAAACACAAAATGCAAAGATAAGTTCCTCATTCAGAGCACCATCATCACCCCCGACAAAGAGACAATGACGCTCCACGACATCGTACGTATTTCGGCTCCACCACTACAAATAGAAACCTTATATTTCTTTTACTCAGTGGGCTAGCCCGGATACCAACGAAGAGGGAAAAGTGCACCAGCAGAAGCTGCGCGTAACGTATTTGCCTCCAGAGGGCCAGGTGCTGGAAGAGGAAGACGAGAACGTGGGGCCGCCGAACATTGTGTCTGTCATCGGGGGCCACGAGTCGGTGAGTCTAAAATAGCTCATTTTTATATAACAGAAACATCATCCACGGCTTTCAGGACATCGATACTGTTCGGCAGGACCACAACGGCCATGAGGCCAGCAACGACGTCATTCAACCAGTTCCACTGGAACAGCCCCGTCGGTCGATAACCCCTCCGCCACACGACTATGGCATGGCTCGCGAGGAGTCGCAGGAGGCTCCTGCCTACGACGAGTCCATCACACAAGAACACGAGCCCCCTCATAGACCTGAAACCCCGGTCCACCTCCACGAGACCCCCGTTATTATTACACATGAACTGGCGCCCGCTGAGGAGACGCCCGAGGTCACCGTCCAGCAAGAGCCCGTGTTGATGCCTGCCTCTGTCTCAGCTCCCCCTGCCATCATTGTTAGGGAGAATCCTGTGAATGAAGAGCTTTACGCGAAATTCAGGGATGCGGAGCGGGAGATCGACCGTCTACGATCGACGATTGCGACGATGGCGGCGGCGCCTCCGCAGCTACGGCAGAGGACAAGAGCGCTGTCTGACAGCGGCAGCACCGCGGAAACCGATATTCAAACTATGGGGCCACTACAACAAGAAGGCGTTCCTCTGCAGGTGGTTGTGATCATCGCACTTGGCGTGTTTATCACGACATACCTTTTCTTTTGAAGATTAAGGATGCGCGATATTGTTTATTCAAACATGCATATTTTTCTCTTCTCGGTTCCATTTTTCTTGTCTTTCTTCTGTATGTGGTGAGAACAATTTTGATACATTTCCGTCTCACATGTTACAATAAAAGTCCGTTCCCTACTTACCGACAACACGCTATTTATTTTTTGGTTTCCACCTATATCTCAGTCCTAGTGATACCTTTCTCTTAGTACAAGTAACGCGACTAATATGACGCGCGCCCACTGCGGCGCAGTTGGTCTTTGGATTGTGGACGAGACAACACATGTGATTATAAGTTGCCGGTCATGTGATTGAAATAACCGAAAGCGTCGCGTGACTTGTATTTTCGTTCTTCCTCTTCACTCGTTTCCAATGAGGCCCTCTCCAGCCCGGTTGCTGAACATTCTGGTGCCCGTCAAACGGCATGTACACAACACTTTTAAATAAATATCTGGAATCTAACCTCCAGTGACAGCGCAGTCGATTATGCAGTCAAGATTCGCGTCAACCCGCAAAAGACGGGTATTGATACCAACGTCAAGCATTCTATGGTATTCCGCTTCTACTTTCGTTGAAAACATTATTGACGCACAGTAGAACCCATTCGACGAAATTGGTTTGTCGCCTCTCTTCCTATTCCCCGCCGTCAACTGATCCCGGACGGATCACAGCTGTCGAAGAAGCCGTCCGCCTGCGCGAGCGACTCAAGACAGAGGTCAAATCAATAAAAGTCATAACCATCGGCCCTCCTAAATCGCTGGATACTCTTCGTACGGCCCTAGCCATGGGTGCGGACGCAGCGGTTCATGTTCAGCATGGCGAGGAAGGCAGCGCTGGGCCTGAGCCGTTGAGCGTGGCGAAGACCTTTAAGGCTTGGATGGAGAAGCAGAAGGAAGGTGTGTTGCTTGCGTTCGTCCTGACGCTTTCTTTCTTTCTTTTTGCTTTTCCTTTTTCCTTGGCTTCCACCGTTTTCAAGTCTCAACGAGTCTACGTCACAATGGTTGTCGGAGTCGACGCGTTGTTTTTCCCTCTGGCAAGTTCAAATACTACCATCGTCGTTGGCGCTTCTCAAGAGCAACTCATCTACCGTCTCATCTATTCCTTGCTTGTTCCACCACCATATTGGCTCAAAAGCCGAATCAGTTTTGATCGCTTGCCCTCTTTTCAACCCCCAAAGCCATATCTGTTCCCTGAAAGTAAACTCAATTGCCGTATTTCCATGACCAGCATGTGCGTTCTGATCTTCAACCTCTTTCCTCCACTAATTCACCATTTGCAGGTTAACCCGATATTTCCTCTCCACATTGTTTAAGACCAGATTGCTCGCATGATCCACGCATAGTCTATTCCTCTCTTAAAAACCCGGCTATGGTTCTGCAAATTTCCTACTCAACGGGGGTCACCTGAAGCCTTGCCGTTGTTCCTGTCAAGTCATACGCGCCCCCAAACCCAGCCATTCAGCTCGTCTTGAACCGTGATCTACTTGAGGGGCAACCCGTTTTTCCTGTCAAGTCATACGCGACCACAAACCCACCCATCCGGCTCGTCTTTAACCGTGATCTACTTGGCGTCTGCGAGTCCAATATGTATTTCAGATTGCCTCGCGTTTTTGACTTCAAGCCGAAACCGCTTCATTAAATTCAGGCCTAACCACATGTTTGCAAGCTTCCACCATTCTCACGTCTCCGAGCCCAAACCACCGGAAAATTAAAAGGCGCAAGTTTGACCAACGACAATCGCCCTGACAGCTTTCATAATACGGAAATGAGCGATCGCGCGCGCTTCTTCTTCTGCTCTGGACGTGTCAAGTCGTAATCTGTATTCGAGTTTCATGGTCATTCGAACGTGAACATAAAACAAACTGATTTGGTGGACCCCCTTCGACCCTTTGCCATCTTGTTTTCTTGTTTTTTTCTTCTCTTTTTCTATTCTTTCGTTGTGAAGAACAATAGTAACACCCCCTCTTCCTTCTAGGCGAGAAAATCGATATGGTAATCCTTGGAAAACAAGCCATCGACGACGATCTAGGCGTTACAGGCCAGATGCTCGCGGGTTTGCTGGGCTGGAGTCAAGCCACATTTGCATCCAAAATCGAAGTGGACGTAGAGAAGAAGCAGGCGTTGGTTACACGTGAAATCGACGGTGGTTCAGAGGAACTCAGGTGCTCGTTGCCCATTGTGATTACCACCGACCTGAGGTACGTTTCTCCCTCAATACATTAAATCCAAACTGAAGTAGTGGTGGCATAGACTCAACGAACCGCGGTACGCGTCTTTGCCTAACATCATGAAAGCGAAGAAAAAGCCCGTGGAAACGATCACACCTGCAGACCTGGGATTGGATTATACACCGCAATTGGAGCTGCTCAAGGTGGAGGAACCGCCGAAGAGGGTTGGGGGCGGGAAGGTGGGATCGGTGGATGAGCTGTTAGAGAAGTTGAAGGAGGCAGGTATTACGGCGGTGTGAGTTGTGAGTTTCATGTAATTCGGATGGATGGAACAGGACAAGAATCTAGTCGAACTCCACTCAGTATGAGGAATCAAGAACAAAATGTAGGGATGCGTGGAGTGTTTGCGTTGTTGAGTTACTGGCAAAAACACGTGTGGTTCATACCAGAAGGCACTGCCAGGAATCGAACCTGGGTTCCAAGAATTCAGGAGTCAGAATCTTGAGTGATAACCGCTACACTACAGCGCCTTTGTATCATACATTTAACACACCATGGGATCCACAACACTCTGGAGTCTATTGAATACAGCCTCATGATTGCAAACTTGCTCATGCTCAAGTTAAAGTGAAAATGCAAGCATGAATATGAAGTATGATAGATACTGCACTTGTATTCATGTCAAGTTTGGCACCTGGATTGTCTGATCCATTTCAAGTCCATCATCCACACTATCTGTATCCACCCACGAATCGCCGTCCTGGTCTAGTATGTCGTCCAAGTCCAACGAAGTTGGCACCACTCCCCCCTTATCCATTTCCTTCCCTTTGCCCCACATCCGACTCCTCAACAGTATCGGACCAGTCGGCACTGCAGGGAGGTGTGGGGGCGGTGGAGATAGGAAAACGTCCTCATTCTCCCTGTTCTCCCTCCCCCCGGCTGAGAGCACCCTCTCCCTCACCCGGCCCGCAGACCTGACCTCATGTAAATGCGCCGTCCTCGCCCACTTCTTCGCGCTCTTGGGTACGTTCCCTGTCCATAGTGAACCAGCACCATGTGAGTTCGAGCGCTGGATGGCCGATTGGACGGCTCGTGTGGGGGTGGCAGGATGACGGAGACGGGCAGTCGCTGTTCTGAAAGATGGCGTGCGGGAGCGTGCCAGAGGCGCTGTGGAGGGTGTGGGCTTAGTTCGGCTGCGCACATCGGCGGGGAGAGGCGCTGTATTGAAATAGATAGGCTCCAAAGGGTGCTTTATCTCATATGTCGGAAACGCGATGTGGTCCCCTACTGGAAAGCCGGAACAAAAAGTTAGCTGCAATATCACCTCATCCCAAAATAAGAGCTGAGATTTACACTTCAAGGACGCAGGAGGATGTGATTTCGCTGTTTGAGGATGTGGTCTGACTAGCCTGGGGGGACTTCTGCTTCGACTGGCATCTACACCGCTGTTCTTGCGCTTGAATCGATTCGTCCAGTCACCACTAAAGCTGAGGTGTCTTCTACCCCACTCCCGCATAGATTTGTTAATTCTCGCAGGGGCAGCGGCCTCCATAAAAGGAGGTTCTCCACGTGAGCCACGGGTAAGACCCATGAATATGAGGACTGCCAGCAAGAGACAAAGTTGGGCTACGCCAAGGCGCTTTTCGAGAATAATCTATATATTCCGAGAATACCTGGTTAGAAAACACCAAGAAAAGTAAGTAAACTACAGCTGACCTCCTCGGAAAGATGTTCAATTTGGGCCATGAGCTGCCCATAATCCATCTGTAATTGTCTCCCTTGCCGTTCCGAGTTCTGGATACTGCGCTGATACATCAGCGCCTGGGCTCGTCCCTGTATTTCAATCTCTAGTCAAATCGACTCGCGTAAGATAATTAGAATAGCCGAGAACTTACATTCCCCTCCAAACGTCCCACATCTTCGCTAAGTCTTTTGATCACGTCCCTAATAGCACTATTTTGCTGTTCAATATACCGCGTATAGAGAGTATGATTAGCTTCGAGCGCAGTTAACCTGTTCATGATGGTGCGGTAGATTGACTCACCCCCGCCTCCAGCTGCGACCGTGGGATGTGGAGGTGGGGGAACAATGATTGTGGTGGGCGAACCGGGGGTGATACTGGAGGGGTTGCCATTTCCTGTTCCTTGGTGTGGTGAAGGGGCGGGGTTCTTGATGTTCGGCGGTGGTTGAACGTCGGGGTTGACAATATGGTTATTTGGTATTGGAGCTGTTGTCGATGATACGGAGGGAGATTTTGATTGGTCAAAAATTATGGACGATGACTTCGAAGTGTCCTTAGATGAAGCTGATGGTGATGGTACAAATGCGTCACTATATTGCGGGTAAATGTCGTGCGGTATATGGGAAGGCTGGTGATCGTGATTGGATGCAGAAGTGAACGGTTCATTTTGAGTGTCCGTGATGCTGGGTGATATGCTGTTTGCGCTAGGTGTCTTGGGAATTGTGGACGGTGGAAGACGAGAAGACGGTTCCCCGTGAGATGGTAACAGATTGTTGCTTTGGGTGTGGGCTTTGGTATCGGCTGCAAGGGGTGGACTGGAAGCCACACCGTCAACGGAGCGTTCGCTGCTGCTTATGACAGAGGTTGATATGTCGGATACAGTGATGTGTGCTGGCAAGGTGGCCTCTGCCACTACCTCCCGGTGAGCAGCAGGATGTGGAGGTGCAGCTTTCTCGAGCTCTGCTTGCTTGGCTCTGCTTTCGGCCTCCCAGATGTCCCACTTCCACTGCTCGAGATGAGTGAGGCCGTAGACTCGGAGTAGAGAGACTGGGCAATAATATTCGTTGCCGTAGTGAGTTAAAAAGTCGATGCGTATGTAGCGGTAAAAGTCACGTAAGAATGTCGGGGGGTGAAATGACTATGCTATATGTTCAGTAACCTTTACTGCGAATTGCTGAATTGTGTTACGAACCTGTACGCCACGAACATTTTTCGCCTTGTAAGAACCAGCAAGAGTCCAGCCGTCCACTCCTGTGCTCCATGTCTTGGCCACGCTGACATTGAAATCTTTAAACACCCCACTAAAAAACTCAAAGTTGGCCAATTGAACGGTATCGATTCTGACATCATCGCAAAGTTCCACCACTACAAATTGTTTCTCTTGCTTTGACGACTTGCAAGGACTGAGCATGTACCTGTCGCGTTTGGAGGACAAAATTGAGGAGGCAGATTTAGCAGAACGATGCGCCATGTGAACTCGGGCGGAGCAGTCCAAACTGGCATAATTGAAGCGATCGGTCAACGGTACCTGAAAGTGAGGAGAAAGAGGTTCTGTCATCGGGTTCTGAGCTGAATCTTCCGAGGTCGACGATGAACCAGAATTCGATGGAGTGCTGTCCATCTTGGATACGAGACCTTCGGTTCCATCGCTCGTACCAGCTCCTCCGTTGTTCGCGCCGCCAACTCCATTCCCCGAGCGGTTTGTGGTGTCCTTCTCTCTTTCCCTAGCGTTCAGTTGTGCCTGCTGCATAGCGGTCTGCTTAGCTTTCCAATCCTCGAATGACAGCAATATCTCGTCGTCGACAGGTTCAATAGGCGACAATGGTTTGAGGCAGCATACGGGAGGTTCCGTCGGGCGAGTAACATGCAAAGCAATGGCCCTGAACTGGTCGTTGGGAGAGGTTGGCTCTGAAAAGGCCGCGTCAGCAAACAGAATGACGAAGAGTGTTGTGGTGAGGAATGTCAGTAGTAACATGAGTCGTGGTGGAGCACCATGAACAGGTTACCGAAGCGTTTGGCGCCGCCTAGCGAAGAGAATGAGAATCTCAATGAGAGAATGAAACCTCGATGAGAACAATCCAAGAACAGTCAGAATTGTGTCGGCGAAACAATGTCCACGTCGGGCACACTCAGTTTTTGGACCCTGTCCCCTGTAATGTCATCACGTGGCACTTTTACGATGTAAAAAGTTTGAGTGTTGGACAGTTCGAAATAAATTTAGTAGCGACAAATTTCAGAAGATGATTTAGAAAGTCAAAATTGTGTTCTATTGGCAAATAAGTATAGTACATCCTTCCTCCATCATTTCAAAGGAATACCAGCAAACTCATCATATCCTAAAGCTAGATTCAAATTCTTCCGCAAAGTCAGTATCCTGAGCCAACGAGCAACAGACAAGGATATCATACCTGCAAACATTGGGTTGCGGCTCCCTTCAACAGGTTATCAAGACCACCCTACAAAAAACGCGAAAGTCAGTAGGTGCACAACGCAAGATGTGCCATAGAACGCACCACGATGACAACCCTATCGCCATCACTGTGCACCTGGAACCCGCCAACAGTCCAAGAATGTTTACATTCCACATCCTTCAACTCCGGCACAGCCTTTTGAATCTTAATCAATCCCTCGCCCGCGTACTTTTTCTCAAACAACTGAACCACCTCCTTCGCCGTCATCTTCCCTTTCAACGGTATCGAGACCGTCGAAAGGATGCCACTGAACCATGGTGTCACAGCAGGGATAAAAGCAATTTTGAAAGCACTCCCCCCGGGTGTAGACTTTAGAAGCTGAGAAAGGTGATATCCAGCTTCCCGCTCGTGAATATGATCTGTCAGCGAGTAGGCCTTGATGCCTCTTCCAAGGCTCTCCGGAGTCACTTTTGGGACACTTATCGGTCTACCGTCAGCGTCATTGGCCATAACGGTCCCTGCGCCACTGTATCCTGATAGCCCAAAAACGGTAGGCAGTGTTCCGGGTTTGATGTGATCAACGAGAGGTGCAATGAGCAGTTGCGCTGAGGTGGCGTAGCATCCGGGGTTGGAGATCCTCTTCGAACTTCGAATGATATCGCGGCCGTAAAGTTCTGACATTCAAACACAAAAACAAGATAGTACATTCATTGAATTCAAGTTACATTGGATCACGAAGAAGCCTCACCCGGAAGACCGTACGTCCACCCCTTCTCAAACCTGTAATCTGCGCTGAGATCAACCACGACGCTACCCTCCCCTGTCTTGCGCTCCTTGGCGCCACGGTCAATGGCATCCACAAAGGGCTTGCAAACGCCATTCGGTAGCGCCATCACCCAAGCATCAACCTCACCTGACTTCTCGAGACCCTCAACATCCTGAGGAGAGAGGTTGGAGTAAGTAACTGGGGTCTTGGTATATCCATCAAGAGGGTATCCAGCGAGCTGCCTGGAGGAGACATGGCTGAGGTGAAGGTAGGGATGTGCGGAGAGGAGAGTTGTAAGAGCTTGCCCAGTGAACCCGCGAGCCCCAATCAAGCCAAGCTGCTTGGGCTCCGTTGAAGGAGTCGGCGCAGCTGCAGTAGCGTACCCTCGAGATGAACCGGGGAGATTGCTCAAAGAGCGTCTAGCCATCGTGGAGAATGCGCGAGTGCCCGTTGGCGTGGTGACTAATCGATGAGGAGGCGCTGATGGCCCAACTGGAAGGAAGGATCGCTCAATCCTTCCTTTGGCTTCATAGTCCTTGATGATTTTCTCGACCTCCGCGACATCCTGTACCCCATACCAGAACAGGCTCTTTCCTGCCCTGGTAAAGCTTCCGTCAGCGCGCTCGAAGTGCCACGCCCGGTTTTCATCGTCAGCTGGTGCAGTCCAGAAGAGCTTGCGATGATCCTTTTTAATAGCGGTGAAAACGTTGTCCATGACATTGTTTAAGACCCCGCCTCGAGACGAGAGCATTTTGGTCATGACAGGAACTTCGCCCTCGGGATGGGAGACAATGGCCACAACATCCAAAGGCTCATCTCCGTAGACGCTGTATGGAGTCTTCTTCAGATCGCTGAGAACACCAGTGACACTCTGGAATCCAGCAAGAACTTCTGGATCACGGTCGTGAACGACCTGACGGAAACGATCTGCACCAATCTTCTCAATATTATCGTGTTTGAAGAGTTTGTACCCTCGTCGGATGAGGGTCCCAGCACCACTGTCAGTGAACAACTCCTTCTGGAGAGACGAGGCTGAGATAACAGCGACAGAGGATGAGCGAGGAAGGTGATCAAGGAGTTCTTTGAACTCCCTAAGCTTAAGCTTGGTTCCGTACTTGACCCAAGGCTCCTTCATCAATGTGTCGTATTCCTGCAAATGTCGGGTCAGCCGATCGTCCACATACTTAGGAAATGGCGAACCTCGTCTAGATTAATGACATCCAGTTTTTCCCCAGTGACGCCATGGAACAAGCCACCCTTGTCGTTCAAAAAGACAATCTTCATGGGTTCAAGCTCCTTGGCTAACTCGCCCGCAGCGATGTCAGCATTGACGTTGAGAATTTGACCATCAGCGGACTCCGCTAGACTGGTGAGAATAGGGAGAGCTCCAGCACGGATAGAAGCCTCTATGGGCCTCTTGTCAACCTTCGTGATCTTTCCGACAAGTTTGTATTTATCCTTATCCAGATATTCAGCAGTGAAGACTCCCGAAGTGATGGGGCGTGCACGGGTCCCGAGCTTTTCCAGTGCAGACACAATCTTCAAATTCTCTTCCAAGAATACTCGTCGTGCGATTTCAAGAGTCTTGGCATCTGTTACGGAGCGTTCAGCGACTCGAGACTAGACCGCGTCATTGTGAGACGAACCAGTAACCCGTATGCCATCGATGTAGTCTGGAACAACACCCTCCCGCTCCATTATATCGTTGAGTTGGGGTCCAGCACCATGGAGTACCACCGGGTAGAGCCCCACTCGGTAAAGGAAACTCAAACTAAGGGCTAATTCGTCCAAGTCTGCAAGGACAGCCCCTCCAACCTTGATTACTGCAAACTTGGCAGGCTGGGAAGGGTGTGACGATGATGAGAAGATGCGGAGGTGGCGTTCAACCTCCCGCTTGGTACCAATAGAGTATAGCAAACGGGTAATGGTATCCTACGAAAGAGATCAAGTTGGTTTTCAGCCAATTTACGAAAGAAACCCACGTACCCGATCGGTTTGAGCGACAGACTGTATACCCCGAACTGAGGTGTTGTCCCTCCGTCGAACAGCTTGAACCGCACCTTGACGTTGGCCGGCTACGACGATAGCTCGCGTTGCGCCTCTGGCAGTGAGGCGGGTAGCCGTTCTGACAGCCAACATTTCGTCAGTTGTGGTGCGAGTGGAAGGCTTAGGGTGGAGAATAAAACTTTGCGACGATTTGCCCACGGACTTCCTAATTTATACAACACTGACTCACAGCAAAACTCCAGACTCTTACAGGGCTCATCATAACCTTCTGGCAAGAAAATTTTCAAAGTCCACAACTTTTGCTGTTGGCTAGGCTATGTTTTCGGTTTCTGGCTCCCGACAGAAGACCAATTGCAATAAACCCGCACTCCGATGTCGAGTTCATCAGGTGACAGTTAGCTTTCGCAAATGGGTGACTTCCCGTAGCACAAACCGACGGGATCTAGACAGATCTAGACTCATCCTGATTAACCTTCGAATGTCGACGAATTCGTCTTGAATTTTTCTGCATCCTCATATGCTTCATGCTTACAAGTTCTGAATTCAAGAGTGAATGTATGGTGCAGGACCAAGATAGAACGGCATTTTCTCGTGGCAAGCCACCATGGAAGGAACTTGTAGAACCCAACGGCGATCGGCTTCCATTTTACCGCTTTCCGAAATACTCCTATCTACACTGCGCTCAATGGTTGAACTACCCATCTCGAGCGAAAATCCATGGAGCACCTACATGGTAGAGGTCTATAGTAGTCGTCGGGCGCCGCAACCGTTGGGCACTGTTGTCTTTGAGGAGATTGAAGAAAAGGCTCGGCGGAAACTCAAGGATTACCCTGGTGTGTTGCAATGGTCGTCTAAAGGATCAATATTGGTATTGGACACTCATCTCTCGCTCTAGGCGCCTTCCTGTACGCCTATGGAAGCGCAGGTACCAATTCAACTTATCGTGCAAATCAACGTGCCTTTCAGAAGTTTGGGATTATTCCTCGTATGCTAGTGAACGCGACCCGTCGCAGCCTTGAGGTCGGTGAACTCTCAACCAACCCCGCGTTTTATCAGGATCTCATTAATACTGATGATATAGACGACGATCTTTGGCGTCACCCACCCATCACCTATACTTGTGGCCCCCATTGGAGTACAGGCAATCTTTGCCGAAGAAGCGGAACTTAATCCCGCCAGAGCAGCGGGAAAGCTGAAGATTCCCTTCATTCTCAGTACGGCGGCCAGTCGTACTATCGAGGAAGTTGCAGAGGCGAATGGCCCAGATAGTCATCGATGGTTTCAGTTATACTGGTAGACGCCATTGTTCTTTCTCTCTCCAATTACCCTAACTATACATCGTTAGGCCAAGAACAAACGACGTTACACTCTCATTACTTAATCGAGCAAAAGCAAGTGGGTATAAAGCCCTCGTCGTCACACTTGACACCATGGGCCTCGGTTGGCGCCCCCACGACCTTGCAACGGCTTACATGCCTTTCGCCCATGGGGTCGGTATTCAAGTTGGCAAATCCGATCCAGTCTTCATGGCGCGATATGGGAAACAGCCAGTGACGGACGAGCACCCCGAGTTTCCTTACGATGACGAGCACATGGATGAACTCTTTACTTCTGGGGACCCGAAAGCTATTGAGGGTGTTTTCTTTGGGAGGGAGTGGCTCAAAGAAGCCAACTCGGGGCTATATCGTGATTGGGAGGACCTCAGGTTTTTGAGGGATAACTGGGAGGGACCCTTGGTGCTCAAAGGGATCCAAAGCGTTCATGTGCGTTCGTTTTACTGGGGTTATAATAATCTTATCTTCGGCACAGGATGCGGAGAAAGCTCTTGAGTATGGCGTCAATGGCATTATTGTCTCTAACCATGGTAAGTATATTACAGTGATACACATCATCGGATCTCAGTTATGCTCACATTCATTTAGGAGGTCGCCAAGTCGACGGGGCCATACCTTCTCTTTATGCGCTTGAAACGATAATGATGTCAACAAAGATCAAGGAGGCGCAGCAGAGCGGGACGTTGACCATCTTGTTTGATTCCGGAATCCGTACCGGAAGTGACATCTTCAAAGCTATAGCATTAGGCGCTCAAGCGGTCCTCAGTGAGTTTTCCCACTCCATCTCAATGCTCAACAAACGCTGATGATTGACTCCATTGCTTGTTTATGTAAGTCGGCCGACCGTGGTTATATGGCTCGATCGTTGGAGGCCAAGCTGGTGTGGAGCAAGTGCTCAAACATACCTTGGCGGACTTGGACAACACGCTGGGCTTGGCTGGGTACACATGCTTGAGGGAAATCCAAGGCAAGGGCGAGGCGGTCATCGCTAAACTTGACCTTTAGGGGCTCTATGTTACGTCTTGCGCGACTGCTACATACACATGGAACAAATGGAAATCAATCAGCATTCAATACCTTATTGTAATATGAACACCTGCAGATGCGCACCAAGGACCACCTGAGAACGAAGAAAAATGAGAGAAAAGTTTCTATTCAATCATTTATTCATGCCATCATTGAGGTAACCACGTCCGCCAACCACTGGCATTCCACCCCTTCTCAAACTCTTCTTCCGAAAAGCGTTGCACAGCCCATGTCCTCGTTCGCATCCTAAGTGTCAATTCCTCTTCGGAATCGAGCGTCAGAGCAGTCTGTAAAGCGCCCGCGAATTCTTCCGGTGTAGCTGCGTGATAGCCTTAGAATGTTGGTCAGTGAACGTGTATGAGCTATGACATGACATAGTTAAAAACCTGTTCGCTCTCCGTTGAACGGGATTATGATATCTTTCAAAGGTCCTCCCGACGCATGTGCTACTGGTATGACGCCTGCGGCCTATATTGACGTAACGTCAGGAGAGAATTTGAAAATATGTCAAAGGCACGTGCCATAAATTCAACGACGTTGATCCCAAAATGCTCGTCCACCATCGTACTGAGCCCGATGCTTGCGGAGGATAGCCATTTTAGAACAGTTGGATACGGAGCATTCACGACAAATTCAACGTGCTCCTGCAAAAGATAAGAGATAGCGGGTCAGTAAGATCCGTGAAGTTGTTGACGGGGCACACAGACGTGAATGCCAAGTTCAACAGCGAGTTTGCGAAGACTTTCGACTCGGGATTCGTCGCCTGCATTTCGGCTACCGCCGACCAACACCAATTTGACGTCGTTTGTAGATTGCGACTTATACTCCGGGTGCTCTTTCAAAAGTAGTTGGAATGCATGCAATTGAGCTGCATGGTCCTTTTCTGGACTAGTAGCATTGGAAATTGGTCGCGTAAATAACGAAATATATTTTATAGTAAAAACGCACCGGAACTGGGCCACACTCAAGATAACGCGTTTTCGGCCTTCAAGCGGAAATGCGGCTATCTCGCGAGTATCACAAGGCGGATAAACAATCCTAGCACCCTCAGGTGCGCCATTGGTATTGAATGACGTGGTGAATAACAACAGCGGGAGCAAGATAACCGAGTCAAGGATGGGATCCGACCGTTTCAAGATAGCATCTACGTGATCCTTAGTCCATGACGAGTTTACCATGAGAAATGATGCGGTCCGCAGGGAGAACGCGTAGAAATACATGAATGTGCGATAGTACCTGAGACTATGTGAGCAATTCAGAACAAAATTGAGAAATTTGCAATTTTACAAGAGTTTTCCTTGGCTTAAAATCGCTGAAGATGAGATGGCGCTAGTGTTTGTGTGCCATTGCTTTCTCGATTTGATGCGGGCAAGCATATCAGTACTTATTGTCGGGTAATGCACGTACGCGCCGACCGGAATACGGCCAAGAAGAGAAACTACATGAAATGTAAACGCGTAGCCCATAGTGTCTGCAAAATAGGTATGGCTGAGTCAGGAGAAATCTGTCAGAGAGATAGTGCCAACCAATGTATAGGTCAGGGATAAGCTTGGACATAGCCTCCCAGGCGAGGAACATGGATCCAATGCTCTGACCAACAAGAGTGAAGCGAGGCCAAGTCGAATCCTCGACATAGTATCGCGTATCCAAGAACACGAAATGGAGCAGGGTTGGGTCCAAGGCTATGTCGAATCTCGCCTGGCAAACGCACAGCCCTCATATAGAAGATTCTCTTGATTAATTCGAGGGCAATGCTCACCTTTACTTTGTCGATGATGTTCTCCTTCCTCACGTCGTTATCTCCGCTGTAAACGACACTAACGACATCAGGGTCAGTTCGTTGCATGGCGGCAATGGCTGTCCACAGAACCCGTTCACCACCACCCCCAGCATTGCTTTAGTAATCTAAGTAGTATCAGAGAGCACAGCACGATGATTTTTTTGAAATTTACTCACCAGTAGGGATGAAAAAACCCAACTAAACGTTTCTTCTCCTCACGATTGTGCCCAAGATGTTCCAAGATTTCTGCCCGTTTTGCCTCATTAACTGACCGCAACCTCCAACCGTAGATTTGCAGCAGCAGCCATAAACTAATATAAACCAGAGGGGATAAAATGAGGGTATAGGCTGTAAGGAAAGCCCCCATGGTGGTGGGAGAAGGAGGGTTAGGGTTGTAGACAGGGGCGGCGATGTTCTTCCACATTCACAATTTTTGCTCGTCAGATGAAAGCTCAAGAGCGCTCAAGCCTCAGAGTCACCTGGAACTCTTTCAAACGTTTTCTGAGGATGATTGAATGGAATAACATCGGAGCATCGGGCTATAGGCTTGAAACGGTGATATTCCTCCATTTTTCCCAACTCACATCTTTTATTATAGCCGCCAGTCTAAGGCCCTTTGAAATAGACGCCGCCTCATGCATCAGACCGCATTCTGGCATATAAGTACGGACAGCCAACGGAAGTACCCCCGGTGATTGTATGTCGACACCCACATAATTTAAATCCGAATTGGCCTTCATCGCAAAACTTGAATTGATGGATCATCCACGTTCCTCATACACCGTTTAGGTCGTTTCCCATGCAGACCTTGGTACCGGTTCACTTCTGACCACCCTTTTGGCAACGTCGATATGGACTGTATGAACATCCGTGGGTCATGTGCGATTCACACACCCAAACATGCGTCCAAGAGGAACCCTTCACCCCGTTTTTGATGTACCGATGATTCGTTTAGCGCCGCGCAGTGCGCACTCCCATAGCGCCAATGCCCTTCTGCCATCTAGATTCCTTCGCCTCGAGTGGCTTCTTCCAATTGAACACGATGTGTTTTTCATTCCGCCAATCCCGTATCAGATAATTTTGGTGCGAAACTCTGTCTATTTAGCTAGGAAACGCGCAGCCCTTTTCTTTCTTCACCCCTCCATCAACGGTGGCGAAGCCCTGTTCCGTTTTGTTTCCGAGGCTGCAGGAAGCACTCGTTAGCCCCCCCAGTCTATCACTACTATGTGGCAACCTAACATCTCCAATTCTTCACAGGTCCCTCTGCATCTTCCAAGCCGCTGTCGTATCAGTTCTGGCGTGTTGTAAACCAAGTGCACTCAGGTACCCTTGCACCTTCCGTTATCATATCCTTACTATCAAGAGCCTCTCCCGTTATAAAATCAACTACATTTTTGCGCCACCTGCGTCGTCACCCAACCATACAACGCCCCACCCCGCCTTTCTCTGGATGAACAGCGCTTGCGTACAACGTGCTTTTCTCTTGATCCTTTTGCCTTTCGTCGCTGTCGCCCTTCCCTTCGCCACCACTGAAAAGTCCAGTGCTGATGATGCTGATGTCATTTTCATGACCCTTATCAAGAGGGACGCCCCTCCACCCAATCCTCCTGAACGCCTCAGCGGTGAAGTCATCAAGTATATTATCGTCTTCAGCAGTATGTTGCACTGTCATTCGCGCACTTTTTGTACTGACGCCTATTTGCTATAATCAGTCCTATTCGTCCTCCTTCTTGGGGCACTCTATTGGCTGAGGAAGACTAGATGGGCGGATCGCGCCCCTCGTCAACCCACGAGAATTGTTGTGGTACCTACCACTACCCCCGGCAGTTCTAGGCCGAATTTGTTCCTCTTCGCACCTCGAGGACGAGAAGATCCTTCTCTCCGTGGTAGCCCTCGTGGGTCTACCCAACAAACTCACAGCGCTGAAGAGCATTCTCAACACTCCGCGCACTCCATGACCAACATCTCTCAACCCCCACCTGCCTATCATCCTACCGCAGCCACGGTATCTCACGGCTTGCCCAGCAATGTCAGCAATGGCAACGGGGTTTAACCATCTCGCCGCCGCCACCCACAACCAGCATAGCTCCATTTATATCACAGAGCAGATCAGCTCTACATTTATCTAAATGATAGATGGAGAGTTGTTATCACCAAGTCCTCCTCGTTCCATTATTGCCGCCTCGCTTCTACGCCGGATTCTTCGTCTCAGAATGCGCTTTACATCCTACGTTGACTGGTTTCAGAGTGCTCAGTTCGACTCGTCCCTTGATCCAGGTTCACAGACTACCCTGTTCTCGAGAATGCAATCTACCTCCGAGCAAGAACGCCTTGTTCCCTTCATGGGAGTGTGCATTAAACGCGCTCCTTGTGACTTGATGATACAAACTAATTATTAGACACAATACGGACACCTGTGTCTTTTGATGGAAGAAGTAACTAAATGGACATCATAATCTACGGCAATCATTGCTCGTATGTACTTTTATAATCCGGCGTTGTATTACCATAGATCGTAGCAACGTAACACCATCTTTAGCGCTCTCAATATGCAAAATCTTATGCACTCTCCTTGTGAAATCTGTCCTTCATGTTCGTGACAGTGTATACGTGACACAGCGTCACGACCGCAACTTTTCATTAGCATACCTTGACAAAGGCTTGCGACTAGGATATCTTGGGCTCAGAATGACCTCGGTGAATGTGAAGCGGACGGCTTTGGAGGGTGCGTTATGCCCTTTCTTTTCATGAGAACATCTTGTCTGATTGCGTTCTTACAGTTGCGCTCTTCCTGGCATCTCAAGTACGTAGCCTTGTTGGCATTTGCTATAACTCATTGAATATTTATGCAAGGCAGCTTTGTATTATACGATGAAGGTGCATTCGTGACCGAATGCGTCCCCTCAGGCTCGACTTACTCTCTTTCCAGTGGGTAATCGAATCAATAAACCCCGAGAAGAAAGACGAAGCAGTGAAAGCGAAGCAGTTGGAGGCGCTCAAACGGTTAGGACATGCTGAGCTCAAGCTTGACGAATACGAACGTATGTTCCGAGGCCTTTATAAGATAGTTGATAACCAACCTGTCTTCACCACAGGCAAAGTTGCGAACGAAGTTATCCATCCAGATGATATACACGTCAACTTCATGGGTACGTCATTGAACGAATTCTTTTTTTTCGAGCTCACCTTGACACTCAGACATTGGCGGTCTTGACCCCATCATATCCTCCCTTCGGGAGTCCGTCATCTATCCGCTCCTTTACCCCAAGCTCTTCATGTCCTCTTCATCTCTTTTGGGAGCCCCAAAGGGTGTTCTTCTTTTCGGTCCCCCAGGGTGTGGTAAAACCATGCTCGCCAAAGCCTTAGCCAAAGAGTCTGGGGCTACTTTTATCAACATCGCAGCCTCGGTGCTCACCAATAAATGGTATGGCGAATCCAACAAACTCGTAGCTGGTTTGTTTAGTCTCGCGCGGAAAACGCAGCCGAGCATCATCTTCATTGATGAAATTGATTCTTTCCTGAGGGAGAGGACGAAGGGCGATCATGAAGTGACGGGGATGATGAAGGCGGAGTTCATGACGTGCGGCCCTTATCTTTCGCTCCTTAACAACCTGTAATCTTTGGTTAGGCTTTGGGATGGACTACTCTCCGCCACGGACCGAATACTAGTCCTGGGTGCTACGAATCGACCGAATGACATAGATGCGGCAATTCTGCGGCGGATGCCCAAGCGATTTGCGATTGGATTGCCGAATTACGACCAACGGTTAAAGATTCTCTCCCTGGCATGTTCCTTAATATTTTTATTATTAACGTTATTCACAACAGCTTCATTAGATGCTGAAAGACACCAGGCTGTCACCCGATTTTTCGATGACGAGTTTAGCAGAACACACAGAGGGGTTTTCCGGTTCTGATTTGAGGGAGCTGTGTAGAAATGCCGCCATGGTCCCCGTTCGAGAGTACGTACGGAGTTCGTCTGATAATGCAGACTTGTTGGCGAAGGGCCAACTTGAGGTATGTGGCATTCCTTTCTCCTCTTCAGTTGCCAAAATGCTTACTTTTTTGTTTCGAGCAGGGCTTCAATCTGCGGTCGTTAGCATTGGAGGATTTCTTTGCCCATGACGGATCAAGTGTTTTACCACCAGTGGATATTATTGAGGACCGTTCTCGACTTGATGAAACAGACGCGTAGCATCGACCTCCTACATAGATCTACTTACACTACCATCGTATTGAATGCATTTTAATGGATTGTGACTACGAGTAGTGGTTGTGAACATTACATAATAAGCAGCCATCAATACCTGATCGAACGTTTATTCTTAGCTGCTTGGCAGCTGGCAAGGGAATAATATTTGAGCAATATTCTCCCCTCTCTACCCCCATGTCGACCGGTAAATGCACACAGTATTTTCGTTCTGTAATATTCTGATGCACTCACCCCAGATTTCAGCCTCCTTGGAGGCGCAGAGTCCCTCGCGCAGGGTAAGCCAACCTCGGAAGGACGATCGCCGCGACGAACGTTCGCCGCTGCTGAAACGGAAAGCAATCCGTTCGTGTATCCTGCTCCCCCACAGGATCCGAAGGACTTTCTATGGCTGATGACGGAGGAACCGCATCGGACGAGGAGGATGGCGATCATGAAGGCTCATCCTGAGGTACGTCTTGACGTGGCTTTTCGCGTCGTTACGCGTTTTTCAACTCTTCCTTGCACAGGTGACCAAGCTCATGGGTCATGAACCACTCACGAAATACGTTGTACTCCTCGTCGTATCCCTACAAGTTGGTCTCGCAATCTACCTTCGTCATACCTCACCTCTGTCACCATTGTTTATCTTTTGTGCATACGCTATTGGGGGGACGGCCAATCATAACTTGTTTTTGGCGATTCACGAGATAACACACAATCTTGCCTTCAAGAGCATCATACCCAATAAGCTCCTGGCCATTTTCGCAAACTTACCCATTGGCATCCCTTACTCTGCAGCCTTCAAGGTGGGTGTTCTTTGTTGGTTTTCCAGGGTGAAATGCCTTAACGTCTTCTTCAGGGATATCATATTGAGCATCACAAGTTTATGGGTCAGGACAAGATAGATACCGACTTGCCAACAAACTTTGAGCTGATATGCCTCAATAACGTCTTCGGCAAAGTTTTCTTTGCGTTAGTATCTGTGGAACCAAATGATATTCTCCTGCTCACTTTGCTTTAGGACATTTCAGATACTTTTTTACGCCCTCCGACCAGGGTTTGTTCGTGCCCAGCGCTTTTCACGTTGGCACTTTCTCAACTTGCTCGTGGAGGTCATTTTTGACTACATTCTCGTATCCACCTTTGGTGCTCGCCCCCTCATATACTTAATTATGAGCAGTTTCTTCGCTGGTAGCCTACACCCATGCGCTGGCCATTTCATTGCCGAACATTACCTCTGGGACGGTATGGAGCAGGAAACGTTCAGCTACTATGGTCCGTTGAACATATTAGCGTACAACGTGCGTCTTGTTGGGTTTTACGTCCTCCAACCTAATAACATCCTGTAGGTCGGATACCACAACGAGCACCACGATTTTCCGTCAATCGCATGGACTCGACTGCCAGCGCTCCGTGCGCTTGCACCTGAGTTTTACGACAAGATACCATCTCACCCATCATGGCCAATGGTGATTGTCAATTTCATTCGGGATAAGGAAGTAGGCATCTTCGCAAGGGCGAAACGGCTAGGCAAGGGCCGAGTGCTGGACTTCAAGGCGGAACAGAATAATTCTTCAGAGTATACCGCCGTGGCCCACGACGGGTGCTCGGATTCGGATAAAAGCGAGTGATGACTCTGAAGGCTAAGGTGATTGAGGGCACGTTGAAACGTGATAAGGAGGACACTTTTATACCTTATCTACTGATGGACTCTTGCTTGGACACTTTACTTATTATTCGACTAGACACCCAGTTTCTGTATCACTATACCCTTCCACAGCGCTTGCGTAGAGCTGCAGTTGCGTAATTTGTTGGTATCTAACACCAACGCCAAACAAGATAGATACATATCGGCGGCAGCCTGAAAGGGGACTCTCCGCTATGCACCATGGAGCCTTCAAGTTCACCACCGCCGAAGAAAGAAATTATTGTGCTGGGCGCAGGTGAGTAGAGGTGAGTTCCATAGCGTTCAAGTCAGGTTTAGCTAAAGACGGCTAGGCGTAATCGGCCTTACAACGGCCCTTAAGATCCAGCTGCAGGGCGTCTACGACGTTACTATAATTGCCGAAACCCTCCCAAACGATCCCAAGTCAATCAGGTACACCAGTAGTTGGGCAGTATGTTGGGATCCTGTTTGATCCAACGGCCTACTTTTCAACGTTATCTTGTAGGGGGCACACCATGTCTTCAACCATACAGATGATGCCCTGCAGCATGGTAAGCATCCTATTTGTTGAGTATTTCACTTTGACGTCATGGCTTTTTTTTTGCCAGAGTTAGAAGAGATGACTTTCGAAGTCATGTGGACACTCTCGGCCTCTGGAAACGAGGCGGAGGAATGTTTTCTGCGTATACCACAAACGGAATATTTCTTCGATCACACTCCCGAATCTTCCCCGTTGGAGGCATTGCCCAATGTACGACTTTCTTCATCAGACGTTCATCTGGCATTTATCAGCAAATTAGTTTAGACGCCTCGAAGAGAGTGAATTAATCCCAGGCGCAAAATCAGGCGTTTCATTCACCACAGTGACGATAGATGTACCCATCTATCTTAACTATTTGTTCTCGCGTTTTGTTGCCAAAGGCGGAAAACTGATACGCGGATCAGTGCAGCATATCAACCAAATTATCGAGGGCGGCGCAAGTCTCTTCGCTGGGGGCACAGGCGGTAAGCCTCCTGATGCTGTCGTGGTGTGTGTAGGGCTTGGGGCGAGATCCCTAGGTGGGGTCGAGGATAAGGACGTGTACCCCATCAGAGGACAAACCGTGATCGTAAGGGCCCCTTGGGTGAGGTTTGGGAGAACAATAAGTCTTGACGACAAAGGTGCTGTAACTTACATTATTCCTCGAAGGAGCAGCGATGTATGTCATTTTCCTCGGGAAATTTTGCGGCTATATATTCAATTCTTTTTGGTATAGGTTGTTGTCGGTGGTACCAGGGTGCCGAATGACTGGTTCGTCTTTTTATGGAGTTGTATATGATTTGGTGCTAACTTCCCAAGAAGGTACCCAAAACCCAGACCGGAAACATCACGAGATATTCTAGAGCGTGGCTTTGCACTTTGCCCTGAGCTCGCTCCACCAGATGTGCGGGCTGAAAGGGAACCCACTATCGATGATGTTTTGCATCACGTCGTGGGACAGGGTTGTGGCCTGCGTCCCGCCCGTAAAGGCGGGATTAGGCTGGAGATTGATTGGACTGAAGGTGTTGGCGGTAGGGGTAGAGTTCCCCTGATCTATAACTACGGGTGGGTACGCTGCCATCAGTTGACTTCATCGACTTACATCGGCATTTAACAGACATGGCGGTTATGGGTACCAAACATCTTGGGGTGCTGCTGTTAAGGCCTTGCAGTTACTGGAACAAGCGTTACCGGCAGTTGAACGCTCCAAGTCGAACATACATTAGAACGTTGGGGTCAGTCATGTTAGACCATTTGCAAGAGAGGTACGTCAAGCCTGGAATACAGCATCTTTATCTTCTTAAGTATTTTCGTGGACTATGTAATTCTTTGAATGTATGCACAATCTGTAAATGTATGTATGTATTGTCCAGATGCGGGGGAATAGTTGTAAGTAAATATCAATGGAGTCCATCTCCAACTCGAAGCACAGCCAGGAGGGATACGTTGTGCGCGAGATAATTACACAGAGTCAATTTCTTTGTACACGTCCAATGGGTATATAGATCTCGAAGGGGGATTAAATCGGTCTTGCCAGTGTGATTGTCGTCAATATATCCATCCCTTCTTTCCTGAAATTGTCTTGCGTGATAGCTAAAGGAATCAAACCATCTCGAAAAGTCATCAGATTACGGTCCTGGGATGTGTACTGGGGCCACTGCAGCGCGCCTGAGCCATTTGGATCGAGAGTATTCACGAAGCGAATGAGGTAATCGGCCATCTCCCCTCCACCATAAACATCCAAAAGATCGGATGTGTGGAACTAGTTACAAATAAAGTTGAGTTAGAAAAAAGTGGACATCAGCACTTCATCACTCACCGATCCAAGAATCGGTACCACTTTCAATCGCTTATGTACTATACCAGCGTAAAACCAAATGAATGGACATCTGGGAAACTCAATGATTGCTTACCGAATCCCCAAATGTTCTGTTTACCGACAGTATGTTGGAGGAGCCACCGACGCGGAGCTTGGAATACACCGTCTCCGATTATAGCGGAAATCCGTTTGAACTGTGGAGATATTGCATTCAAAATCCCGCTATCAAAGGGCGATCCTTGGGTAATGTCTCGTGGGTAGGCATTGAGAAGCTGATCAAGTTGTTCGTCCGGGGTTCCCACAAAGAAAATGTCTTTCAAGTACGTCTTTACCTGGTCCTCGGATCTGTTCAGGAGATAGTTAGCGGCCATCGTTTCTTACATAACAGAATCCTGCTAACGTGACATTAAGAGTTGAAAGTGAGAATAAGGTTCCTTCGTCGTCGCAATTGCCTGTGCAAAAAAATGTAAATGACTGGCAAGGTTCTGGTAAAATGTCGATCTGTTTACCGATGACGTATGGAATATTCGCAATCTTGCCTTGCTGGACGAGTTTCTGTGGATCTTCGGCCAAGAGCACCCCATCGGTACGTGGAAGCCAGGCAAGGTTGAGAGACTGAGTGGTTTGACGGATAAATATGATTTTGAGGGACACACAACCATGGTGCTGACCTGATAGGAGAAGAGACCCGGCGATTTATTGATAGCGGCTTTGAGGGAAGCATACGGGACCGATCTCAAGCATTGGAGAGTGTCGGCGGCACCTGAGCAACCCGTGTCTGTGACGAGGGAGTCGTAATATTTCTGACCGTGTGTGATGTCTCCGATGGGTATTGGAGCGCCGGATTGCATAAAAGCACCACGGAAAAGTCCTTGTGTGTCGCCGCCATTTGCCAACATGTGCAGGGAAATTGAAATGGCTCCAGCTGATTCTCCCCAGCTGGTCATTTGAGATATTCAGTAGCAGCACCTACGAAGGTTAAATCAACGGCCTCACATTGTGACCTTAGCTGGATCGCCTCCAAATTGGGAGATGTATTTCTGAACCCATCTCAAAGCTTCACGCTCTAAAAAAAAACAGGGCGCTGTTTGGGACCGCATGTAATGAAATTCTGTCGTACTCACGATCATGTAAACCGACATTGGCGACGCCAGCTTCCCCTACTTCTTTGCCTGGTAAAAATCCGAAACCTATTTTTTGCGTCAGAGTTGCTCCTCGGCGGACAAAGCGCAGCCCAAACCTGAGAGTCTAGAAAAGAAGAACAATGACATTTTGATTGGGTCAAGGACCAGGCGTACGCACCTGTAATTCATGCTCACGTAGACCACAGGGGATCCCATAGCGATCGATCGTGAAACAATGATCGCGCCGTCATTCCTAATAACAGCGGGGTGAGATTGGGGTTTAATGAAGCTTTTGCCTTGAAAATACGCACAGTGAAGTGCTGCCAATCTGGAAACCGCCTAGTGGTTCTCCTGGGTCAAACGTAGAACATGTGAAAATGCACAAGGTAGCGTACCTCCGTATATCCACTAAGTCATCTGTCAATTTGGACGGATTGTGCAAAATCATGACGACGTACTACGACAACAGGCAACTTTGACGAGGGTGTGGCGCTTGCAGGTTTAACGACGTTCAAAGTGAGGCCTGATTCCATCATCAGCCCTTCACCATGCGTGAGTGTTAGTGATACACTCACAATCCTCAGAATTAGGAACGATTTTGTTGAACACCGAATTGAGTAGTTGGTTTGAGAATTCGGCCGCAGCACCTTTTACAATGGGCAACGTGAGGGCTTGTTGCATACACGATAGTCCGTAATTAGTGGCATTAAAATTGCTTTGATAGCTAGGTAATGACTGTGGAAGGCGAAAACGAAGGTCACCAACTCTGTAGAACAGATTTAATATTACGAGTTACACCGAGAACTTGTAAAACTTACGGTGGTTGTGCGAAAGGGATACCAAGAAATTTCGATGTCTTTCCCCACGACGTTCCCGATACAGTTGCGCTGTCGAGAGTAACTGTGGGTCCAGCAAGGGGAGCTGCTGCTGAAAAGGCAACGAGATGAAGTAAAAGACCAGTTAGCGCTTGGGCAATCATCCTCTGGTCTTGGGGTTCCCCACACGGGGTGCTGCTATATACTGCGAACGCCGCTGACGAAGGCCATTCACATGGAGTGTAAAATTTTGTTCCTATCTCCACATGGTCGCGCGGTCTTCAGGTTGTAATCAAATTGGCACCTAGATTCCAGAGCGATCGATAAGCAGCAGAAGTTCAAACACGTCTGGTCGCTAGCTTTACCCCATGTTTGGAGTATTATTGAAACCGTTCCGCGCGTCCACGACAATTATAATTTGCAACACTAGGCTAGGACCAATCAAGTGGGAAGTTCGTCGCAGGGTCCTAGCATAAGGAGCCAGAAGGAGCTTCGTTTCTTGGGGTAGATAATCACGCGAAAGACGCCATCCCCAGATTTGTCAGTTACGAAGGACTGGTTTCAGCTTTGCATGTTGGCCTAGAGGTAATTTCGACATCTTTTCAGCAGGCAGGTTTGAATCCGGATGCACCAGGTGGGTCATTGTGGAAAGCTACTGGTTTGAGTACGTAGAAGTTTGGTAGAACTTGAAGATGAAAAGCGTTAAAAACAAGTTAAAAATAACCATCATCAGGCACCACGTGATAGACCTACATAGGTCTTAGGCAACGGTTCGAATTTTTCTTCATCTCAAATTGCTCCTTACAATTATCATAATCAGCCAAGCTTTGCCAAAGCTTGGTGTCCATAAGTAGGGTCCCAGTGTATGGTACGAATCGATGATGGAAAACTTGAATCACAACTGACATTTGATGTCTACGGGTGGGATCTAGTAGGATATTGAGGCGGGATGCCTTCCGCGTAAACTCCATCACCAGGTAACAAACCCACTATAACACAAGATGCGCTACGAGTCCCAAAGCGAGCACTGACAGACCGAGCACTCGAGCGCATGGTTTCCCGAGCACTGCTCCACTTGTCTTTCCACCACCACCGCTAGAAGACGAGCCTGCCGCGAGAGGGCTCGTCAACAAGTCTGGACATTGCGGTGCGGCCAGTACCCCGCCATAGTTGCTCGCCACCCAAAGTACGACACCGTTTGTCCATCCGAAACCAGCCTGGCAATCGAGTAAGATCAGACCGTTCATTGATAGTAATACAGTCCCTACCTGGACGGTATATTCGCCTCCTCGGCCTGCAGAGTCTACATCGACGTTCGAAAACTTCTCAAACATCTGTTTGTAACATAGTCAGTTTCAAAGCTTTTGTTAAAAGGTTTAGGCCGTGATACCCACATTCCCCGTGTTATTCTGGCTCTGAGTAACGTTCAATTCAGCGCCGGAGAGTCTGGGCAAAATGCCAGAAATCGATCCACCAGTTGCATGCCTACGAAGCAACGGCATCAGCATCGAAAATCCTAAACAACACTCCGACGTACCAACTACAAAGCACGCTGGCTATATAGCGATTCGCAAGCTGCCTCTGGAGCGCATGGGCCCAACCCTCGCCAGATGTCGCATTTCCTCCATTGACAACGGTGCCGTTTAGCTTATTGATATCGGCCGAAGGACCAGTAGTCGTCGCGTTAGTAACACCAGTGGTGGTACTGCCGGAAACCGGCTGGCCTGGGAGCTGAGTCTCGGCGATCGCCAGTTGACCGGGGGGAATTGAGTAGAAAGAAGATTGATTAGCAGAATTGGCAGGGAGAGCGTCGGCGGTGAGATTTGTTGGAAGCGAGCGGAGTGCCTGCAACACAATGTATTGGTGTGGAGGCCAGGCATTGGGAGCATCCCTGTAAAGTCATAGTAAGAAAAGTCGCCAAAGTACTGCACTATCATGAATGATCACCATTGAAGTCCTGTATCGATGAAAGTTGTGGGAAAAGTCCCATTATAGCGGTTGAGGACCATATTGACCGAGGAGAAGGCAGCAAAAGCGGACTTGGCGTCAGCCAAGATCTGGTCCGGGATGATGCCATTCCAAAATGGATAGAATGCAGCAACGCTGAAGACGTCGTTTCTCGTGTTTGTGGCGAGATTAAAGTCATAGAAAGCAACCTAGCAAGGTCAGTGTTTGTTGAAAACATGGGAAAGATCGACAAACCTTGCTCGAATCCCAGCAAAGATCGAGTAAACCGCTCTTAAGCGAAGCGGCGGCAGCTTGATGCCTCTGAACTGCGGCCTGATCGGCAGAGGAATTGCCGTAAAGACCAGCCAATAGTAGGTGGTTTTTGTCTAATCAGTGGATGAGTTTGATGTGCCTTTCACACGGTGAGTGAACGTACAAAGGATGCTGTTCAGATCAACCGGAACGGTGCTGCGAACATTCAAATCCCTCAAACCGCCGGTACTATTGATGCCGTGTAGAAACCAACGAACGGTGTAATCCCAACCTGTTGACATGGATCAACATTCGTCCCGTGAAAGTGTAAACCCCCCTTGCTCACCAGTTTCCGCACCACTCGCAAGTTCGGCGTACAATGCTGAGCGTTGAGTCTCATTCAAAGTAGGACCCTGAGCAGCCGCGTTCGCCGTGGTGTAGTCTGTTCCGAGGGTAGCATCAATATCCTGCATACAAGTAAAACTTCAAACGCACCCGTAAGGTAGGATTCTGGACGAGGAGCGGTATTGTTGACGGCATAACGATGCATTGTATATGTTTGATTGGTAAAGGGACTCTTGACGGTCACGGATCGGTTGTCGTCCCACCATTTGAGCTCTTTCTGTGCGTCATTTCAGAAGACAGTATAGGAAAAGGAAAATGGCATTCCTTACCTCTGCTAAAGGTAAAGCACGAGTGAGAATACTGATATCGCCGCTTGCTGTGATATAACGCGCCAACATCTTCACTGAAATAAATAAATGAACAATTTGGGGATGCCGACTTATATACCTGGATGAAAAGAGGCGGCTGAGATCTGTTTAAATCTAGGGGAGACAGTGAGAATAAGAAATGTATTCTTGTAAGAACATGCGTACAATATATCCTTCCTCCGTTTGGGATAAATCCGATGGTATCCAACTCATCCATGAAATTTTGGAGTGTGTCATTGGCGATGTCAAACAGCTCTGATTCAATAAGACCCTCCACGATCCAAAAGCTGTCCCAATAATATTGCTCTCTGAAGCGACCACCTGATCCACAAAAAAATCAACGTGTATCACGGCCATCTTCCAAACAACTTACCAGGTACAACAAAGGTATGATTGAGGGGAATCAGGCTACTCTCACAATCTCCGCTTGATCCACACAAAGTTGACGAGTTGGTTTCTCGAATGAGTTGAGTCCAAAAGCTGTGCACAGTTTGGGAGAACGCCTTGACAAGAGGGTCGGAGACGTTGTTCAAGAAAGATGGGTTGGCATTGAAGTTGGTCAGAGTGAGAGCTTCCAGTTCGAGTCCTTCTCCCTTAAAGTCCGAGTTAAGAAAATTCACAACTTCGCCATATGTGGTCCCGGAAGAGATATTCTGGAAGTCTGCAAGCACTGCTTGTGCGCTTTTGCTGGTGGGCTGATCGCGTGTGAGATGATATGGTAGAGTGCGGGGAGCGCAACTAACATGCCTTGTCCACAATTGTTTTGGGGTCTGCGTACACGTTCGCAATGTTAACCGTTTGAAGTAACTGCCGATGAGTAAGTTCGTGCCGTATTGCGAGAAAGAAAAAAACACAAACCGATCCAGCACAGAAGATTTGAGAAAGACACCAAGCCTGTTTAGGTGGCAAGGCAACTTGAGAAGGCAACGGGGACGCAAGAGGCGACGATGGACTTGGGACAGCCGTAGCAATCGTGGTCGTGGGTGGAGCAGTAGACAATGTGCCGGAGGATGTTGACAAACTGCTTTGTGCGAGAACCGCAGAAAGGAGGAGAGAGGAGAGAGAGAGGCCGACAGCCAACATCATGGGCTCGATGGTTCAAGGACAAGATGCCCGTGCTTTATAGGCGCTAAATGACACCTTCCTGCGAGTGTAGCGGGAAAGGGTCCACATGGTGATGGCCCCACCATCCTTGAATTAATAGTGTAGATCTGTACCACGGTTGACATTGCCTTCCGTACTCGCGGCATGGAGAACCAGATTAGAGCCGGATGGAAAAATAAGAAGTTACGACCATCTGATCAACGACGAATCCATGGGAAGTCGGGATTTGATTGAGAACATGATGATGGTAGGTTGTGAGTAGGTATAGCGCCTTATAGCGCTCTGCGAAGTGTTGCGTTGATTCAGCCTGTTGATCCTCACTTGTTTGTCCAAGAAATCTAAAAATAACACAACTACATATCTGGGGCTTAGCTCGATGGTCGTTACATTGCAAGGTGGTATGCGCTGCACAATGTACATTGTAGATGACTATGGTACTAGTATACGGCAATGGAGATGTCCCCATAAACCCACAAGGCAGCGGGGATCTGCCGCAATGCTGTAAAGTGCTCAAAGGTTGACATACCTGACATGGGTACCTTCTGCGTGTATCGCCCCTTTTCCAACGTATCTGAGCTACTCGTTTTGACTGATGCCTTGTGTCGTGTTAAAACATGCATACTTGCTACGAATCAAATAAGACAAAGACTCAACGACAACTCTTTCCGATGGATGCATGATAGAAGCCGGAAATTAAGGTCTTGTACCGCCAATGACGAAAAATGGTGTGAAAAGCAATATCATTTACATCTCGAGGTGGGATCGGAAAGTGAACTCACGGCACAGCTCCCATGGCATACCTTCCTAAGGCTTGTCACAACAGACAAGTTCCATGCCAACGCAGTACTAGTACTTATGAAAACCACATGTACCTCAGCAGAAAAGGATACCCAATACTACACAACGCACCTGCGCCCCCATGAAGAGCAGCGTCAAACCTCCAATTCAATCCCGTTAGTCGACGAGCAGCTTTTCCGTGAGCAAGCCTTCGCCGTAAGCCATGCTTTCGAATATTATTTGTCGCCAGACGCTAATAGTGAGCTCGATAGCCTCCTCCTCCAGGACCTACGAAGAGCATGAGTAAGAGCAACGATAGAGACGACCCCAACGTACAGGTTCCAGCCCCTCAACTAATTTTTGAGGGCCCTTGTGGTCCTTCAAATGCTCCAAGACAAACATAATCAGGTCCTCCTCCTCCATCTCTCCCAAATACTTCATCATTAGTCGCTTCACCAAAGGTTCGAATTTCCGGTCGATCATAGTCTGCAGGGTGAAGGTAAGCCATTCGTCAGGCCGCCATTCCGATGGAAAGTGTACTCACGTCATTAAGACCATCCCATCGCACTTTCGCCTTGAATAGGACATCCTTATCGTGCGGCACAGATTGACGTATCCTCTCTAACCTCTCCTTCGTCTGTTCACTGCTTTCCGCCACGCTGAAGTCAAGCTTAACCAACGGCACGCGGCGTTTTTTGATCTCGTCCTCCTCCATCTCCTCCTCGGCAAACACAGCGGTCTTCTCCTTACCCGGAGCCTCTTTCTCTTTCACAGTTGGCGCAGCAATAGAGACATTCAACCTGACGGGTGCGCCGTCGTCTAATAACAGACCGGCCTTGCGCTGCTCCTCCGCCAGAGCTTGCATCTCGTCCATTTGTCTCGCCAAAAAGTCTTCAGATTCTCTCCGTAAGTTCTCCACTTCCTGCTCCTCAAACCTTCTTGACTTTTCATCTGCAGCTTCCTCCGCTTCTAGTCGGCGTGCCCGCATGTGGCGCCATCGTGCTCTAAAATGATCCGTGAGCATATGAACAACCACAATTCCAGAAATTTTCGGTACCGGTCAACATAAAAGGTCTCGTCGCTCTCATCGTCGTCCCAGACATCCAATCGACCTCTCATTTCAATCCGATCACGATCTTCTGCTTCTTTCGTGGCACGCTCCCGAGCGATAGCCCGTTCTAGGGCCTGAATTCGCGTCCGTTCTCTTGGCTCATACCGCCGCTCTCGCTAAAGAAAATACCTTGTGAGGATGATCGAAAATCAGAATCAGCAGAGCGGTCTTACATCTTTGAAAGAAATCTCTTCATCTTTTTTCCGAGCCTCTTTCCGCTCAGCTTCCAACTCCTCGTCCGTTTTCATCGTCCGACCAGGACCTGGCCGTTCAACCTCCGAGCTATCCCGCCCAACATTGGAATCTCCAGCTTTGACGAATCCTACAGGTTTGCTGTAGCCCTGAGCCCCTTTACCGAAGCCCTGCGCCTGAGGAGATTGAGTCGAAGGGGCACTTTGTTGGGGTTTCCCCCATTCACGGACTTTGGGCCCACTCGGAGCTCCTGTCACTGAAGGAATACTTTCTCGTACGTCACGCAGCTTCTCCCGTTCCCGTTTCGCGGCGCGTTCTCGGAACTGTGCGATCTCTGAAATGACAAGACCTCGTTGTGTTTCCGGAAGATCTGCCTCTTGAAGGTCATGGAGATGTGGAGGTATTACATATTTCTCTTTGTCAATGAGGCCATTGTTGGCTGCATCTTGCGACATGCGAATTATGTCAGCAACTTGTTCATCAATTTTTGCTCTCGCCTGCTGTTTTTGAGCCTCGTCGGTCTGGATGGGACGTTAGTTTATGGAGAATGCAATAAAAGTCTGAGCTAACGCTAGTTGCCATTCGATGCGCCTGATATGCATCTAAAAACGCACGAGTTTTTTCGTCTGCTTTCACCTGTGTTTTCGAAGTAGGCTTGAAGTTAGTGCGTAGGACTGAATACCACACACCAGTAGTTTCTTATTCGCACAGCCATCCTCCAGCGCTGGCAACTCTACATTGTTCAGTAGTTCGAGTGCACGTAACGCTCCATCGGGATCCTCGAACTCTGCAAACCCAAATCCTTGCGGTTTGTTCGCAGGCGTGATCAGGCGCTTGAACGACTTGATTGGTCCACATGCCTGCATCAGATAACATTCAGCCTGATATAGCGCATATATGTTTCCCAATGCACAACCCACCGATAAAAGTTGATTCAAGAATGCGTCAGTGATACCGCCCGATATAGAGCCAACGAACAGGGTGGCTAGTCTTTGAGCTTGAGGTGGAACAAAATGCATTTGCTGCTGCTGTGCGAGAGCCGACATTGAGGGACCCTGGCCGTATGACGGCAAAGGTGGACGCAGACCAAGTCCTAACCGATTAGGTTGCATTTTGACAAGTGTTCACTGGCTTGAGGTGAGAGTCTGAAACGAGGCATTAGAAATCAATGTTGTAAGTCGCCTTTTGCAGCCTTACTTGAAAATACACCACACTGAAACGTTTGGACGGAAATGAGGATATTAGCAGAGAAAGAGAGATAAATGTGGAAAGTGGGCGGTCGTGGTCGGAGAGAATGAGAGTCTCTTCTCTAGAATTCTCACGATTTACTTCTTGATATTGACTGCGCCCCGCACACCTCCCCGTCGACAGAATGGTTCTCTTTTTCACATCTACAGGTGGGGTTGACCGTTTTGGATACAATTCCATCTAACGCTGAATAGCTACCACACCTCCCGCAATCATCTACATGGGGCGCGACAAGGTTGAAAGTAAATTGATTCGATGCCCCTCAATCCAACACCGTCTGACCAATCAAGATAGATGAGGAGCTCATTAGATATGCCTGGCCACAGGACGTCTGGTTCCACGTCGACAAACTATCATCAGCCCATGTTTATTTACGAATGCCTGATGGAATGGCTTGGGAGAGTATTCCCGCAGAGCTTTTAACAGACTGTGCTCAGTTAGTGAAAGCTAATTCGATTGAAGGTATCCAACTACAACATCTTGTTAAACCCTTCTTGATAAAAATGATCAGGCAACAAAAAGGATAACTTAACGATCATCTACACGCCAGGTGACAACTTGAAGGTGGGTTCGTTTGTTTTCATTAGCGGCGAAGAACTTTCTTATAGTTAAAGGTTAGAAAACGGGTGATATGGCTGTAGGTCAAGTGTCATTCCACAACGACAAGAAGGTGAGGTGCGTCCACATCCATCCGATCGTTAGCTAAAAACCTTTTCAGGTCAAACGAGGTTGAGAAAATAATCTACTCTCTTTGATATCAATACTAAATCTGATTAACAGTACACGTACCTCAACGCGAAAACGCCATTGTGAACCGTCTCAACAAGACGAAGGATGAGCGACAGGTCGATCATGAACAAGAAAGAATAGACCGCATCAAGAAGGAGAACGCCATACGGAGGGCAGCAGCAGCCGAGAAGGTGCACCCCTTCCACCTTCGAGCTTTTGCCTTTTCTAATATGAGCACCTAGAAAAAGGTGGATGCTGAACTAGCGCGAGCCAGAGAAGCCGAAAAGGCAGCACGGTCATACGATTCCTTGTTTAACGTGGAAGAGGATGACGATCAGCCCCGAAAGACGGGTAGAGAACTAGAAGAAGATTTCATGTAACATTTGGACTATGGATAATCAACTCGTACGAACCCATCTCTCTTCTCCACATCATGGGGTCCACGATCGCCTATCGACATTATAAAAGTCTAGAAACTGAGTAAACATTCTCAATTACGGACTCTGAATATAGTCATTCTCGAGTCTTACGCAAACACAAACAGCCACAAGAACGTCGCTTGCAATTCGCTTGTACTAGATATCCATTTTGCAACTGTAACGGCACGCGACTTTATATTTTGGGCCGAAGGAAACGATGCGTTGGACCTCCGTCATCGTCTTGAAGCTTTAAAGAGCTACAATGACAAGGATTTCCACTCTGCTCACGGGCGACATGTAAACTACCCGCAAAAGGCTGCGTTGAAATTTGAACGGTCATCACCATGTTAATCGCGAAGAAGTGAAATACAAATACTTACGCGCTTGTTTGAAAGTCGAAAGGCGGAGACTTGACGCACGACAGTCTGGTCTATGAGAATTTAGAAAAGAAAATGCCGTGTCATTAAAAGTTAAAGAGGTCGTGTGACTAAAAATCAATGTCCATTAGATTGTGTCTGTCAAAATGGTTCAATGGCATCGCCGTCACTTTGAATCATTTTACAGACCAACAAACAGCTTTTGTGCAGAGACCGAGCAAAGGGTCCATCCTGTACGTTCAAATGCCCTTATCTTTTCCTAATTTCAACGCATAGGTATATTGATTAATGCGTTATCGGTACCCGGGCTCACCCTTGAACAAAAAGGCTAAGATACTCCCTTTTGACCTTTTTCGTAGTCGCCTTCCTTGCGCCGACCCGGCGCCGATGTCAGAAGGAGCAGAAGACGTGAGGGTCGCCTGAGACGAGTTACAGGGATCCTCCTGTATTGACGGCATGGACGCCGACAATTTTTGTGAAGCGTCCTTCTTTGGAGAAGGGATATTTCCGATGGTGCCGTATCTCGACTGCAGAGTCGCGAAGGCGGCGTGGTAGTCCTTTTGAGGCAGAGGAGACGCTCCAAACGGGGTGGCAGTCGTGTCGGATTCCAGAGAGTAGGTAGAATGGTTGGGTTCAGATGGTGGAGTCGCCATTGCTAGGCTCACCGCGTTTGAGAGGCGGTTGAGCCAGCTTTCTGCGAAACTCTCGCGTTTTATATCCAGATTTTCTTCCAATAGAGGTGTGTCATGAGGAAACCGAATGCAACCTCCGTTGAACCGCGCGTCGAGTCACAACAAGTGTAGGTACGTAGTTCATGTTCTACGAAAGGGCACCGGGGGGCCCTGCAATGCCAGAGAAATCAAAAAAAGGGAGTTCTGACTCAACTGAGGTCGTCATGTGTGGCTGATTGGTAGAAATCGGTAGGCTGTGAGACGAGTATCAGTGATTGCTGTCAGTGTTGGGTTGTATATTTTTATCTCCCGATCACCTGATGGTATCTCAATCAAATCTCAATACGTTTTGCTTCAGCTCAGATTCCATAAATTTCTTTTATCCTCAAGATGAGCATACGACTACCAGCACCACCAGATGTCACCGAACCAAACAGCGACATAGAGACGGGCTCTTCATCCTCAGAAGATGACGACAACGATGAAAATTGGGACGAATGGATATCAGACTCTATCACACAGCAGGAGTGTCGGTCCCTGTTCGAAATAAAATCACTTCCTTCGGCGGAAGAAGCCCTCAAGTACGACAAGCAAACGTATGGATTTGATTTAATTGAGACGTGTGGAAAGCTATGTGAGTTCATTTCACCCGCTCAGCCAGCCATTCGAGTAACCGAGTAACCGATGCTCTGCAAGCTCTCGATTTCCATGGCCGTGTTCGACTTATCAATTACATTCGGAAAAATGTTAGTAGAGCTCCTCACCATTACTTTGGCCTCTGAACATCGAACAGAACCTAACGCCAAATGATGTTACCGACCTTCAAGGAACGGAACCTTGGTTTTCGACAGACGAATACTTACTTCCTGCACTGGAGAATGATCCACTAATTCGTGAGGTCATTCTTCTACTAGCTACGCTCACTTCTGATGACCTTAGATTTTAGAGGTAGCTTCTGATGATTGGTCTGATTCCGAAGGTGAAGAGCCAACAGCGTCAGATCCGAACAGCAGGATCAAGCAGCTGGAGAAAAAATTGGCGCTAGCACAGCAGGACCTCTCGGAGTATCGTACTCTCATTTCTCAAAAACTCGATATCTCAAGCCTTATCGAGGCTGTAAATGAATCAAGTGCGAGCAAAGAGGCAACACGACCTCGGGATGATGACTCCCACTACTTCCAGAGCTACGAAGCGAATGGTAAGTTGGACCTCCTTTGAGCCCTTACAGCATCCAAGCTTTATCCACAGATATACACGCGGTAATGATACAAGATAAGGTCCGAACGTCGACGTACGCGCACTATATCCTCACCAATCCGTACCTATTCCGTGATGCCACTGTGCTTGACGTCGGCTGCGGGACGGGTATTCTCTCATTATTCGCAGCTAGAGGGGGTGCCAAGCGCGTCATTGCCGTTGACGCTAGCGATATTGCAGAAAAGGCAGAGAAGATCGTCGAAGCAAACGGATTTAAAGATATCATCACCGTTGTCCGAGGTAAAATTGAAGACATCACCCTGCCGGACGGAATTACTCAAGTGGATATCATCGTTTCGGAGTGGATGGGATACGCCCTCCTTTATGAATCGATGCTTGATTCCGTCCTGGTTGCTCGGGATCGATTTTTGCGTCCTGGTGGCGTCATGGCTCCTAGTCAATGCAAAATGATGTTGAGTTTGTGCGACGGCAGCGAGATTTACAAGGATCGCATTGGTTTTTGGAATGATGTGTACGGTTCGTAATTGTTTCTTCTTCAAGTGAAGCCACCTTTCAAGGTCTACGTGATTTTAGGATTTGACCTATCGGCGATGGCGGGTGACCTATATGAGGAGGCTATAATTGACGTTGTCGGACCAGACACAGTTCTTAGCGCCCCATATGTCATCAAGGTAGAGGATGTATTTGTCTAGTCCACCCTTCACGCATCTGATATCGTCCAGGATCTTCTTCTCGGCGACATAACATCTCGTCAGCTTGACTTCCAAACAAAATTTGCATTGAAAGCCACAGTTGAACGCCGCACCAAAATCAACTCGTTTGTCTTGTACTTTGACACGTTTTTCACCGTCACCGGTCACCCCATCTCGCCAAGTACACAGGTAAAGACAATTCAAGAGGGAGAGGTAGTCCTGGCAGAAGTCTGGCCTGTAGGGGGCAAATCAGCGCCGCAACGCCGACAGAGTCTAGGGAGGGAAAAAGAGAGGGTCACCAGCTTCAGCACAGGACCACTTAGTGCCCCGACGCACTGGAAGCAGACGCTCTTTATGCTCAGGGAACCAATCACTGTTTCGGAAGGTTGGTAGTTATCTTGCCGTGATGACCGGTAATCATTGACCAATGCTATCAAGGATCCATTGTTACCGGCAGCTTCCACTGTCGCAAAAGCGAGACAAACTCTCGAGAATTAGACGTTGAAATCCACTATTCTGCGAAAGAAGATGCTGAAGCTCCCGCTGGCCCCACCATCGTCAATATGTACAAGGTTCGATAGTGGATGATTTATGATGTACCCTTCTTTGCGGTCTCTTTGATCCAACACTATCTAGTAGAAAAATTGTATACTACACTTACAACACTTGCCATTAGTGATTGTAAGTGGCTTGCAGACGCGATTTGACATATTCTCCAGCGGTGATGACCTCGTACTTGAGGGGTCGATCGGGAGACACACAACTCGGAATTGGCTGCACAAGGTAACTTAGTTAAAGTGGGGAACAGGATTGGCGAAATTACCCACCTCCAACTTGACGTTATAATCGGTTCCGAAAAATAGAGGGATTGAGTAGCGACGGACACCACTTCGATTTATGGCCCTGTGAACCGTGGACTTGAAGATATCATCTATGGGGAAGATTTTTTGACTTTGTTAAACTGAATAGAGAGCAAGAACATACTCGTCCACCTTGCAAACTGATCGCCAAGGCTAGTTTTGTCGCTCAATTGGGTAAAAGTGCATACATCGATGGCGACTCACTTTATCACAAGAGTCCCTGGAATCGGTGGAGCGTTTATCCATTTCTTATCACTGTTGAGAACTTGGAGGGCTTGAAGGTCAGGCTGTTGCCACAAGATCGTAAAACACTACAAAAATGTCAAGGAAATTAGGTGATTGGATCGTCGATGTGCACACCTCCCAACTATATGAAAGAATGAGACAGCATTAGTACTGGATCATGCTTGTACCCAGAGCCTCACTCCGTGTGAGCACCTATACCAATGACCCGTTCGTCAACTGTCTCGGTTTGAGGCGGATAGTGGAGGAGCTTCATTAATGCTGCAGAATGGCGGGTCTAGCGAATCGACCACATCACTTTGCGAACGAAGGGGCATTCGAGGGTATACTGGCCTTATTGTCGAAGAAGTCCTCTGTTTGGTTGAGTGCCAAAGCGAAGAGGGGGAACATTGCTTGTCCGAGGTTGACAGCGGAGTGGCTACAGACGCGGTCAGCCATGCATTGTACTTTCCCCAGATATGTGGTTACTTGCTAGTATTTCAAAACAGCTTCACGGAAACCAGGCAGTTCAAGCTCAGATGGCCACACATTGGCGCCGGCCATAGGACCACTCTCATCAGGGTGAAATTTTGGGGCGGCATCAAGTTCCTCCCAGCCAAATTCAAAGCCTTCTTGTAAATCCCCAGCATTATCCGGGTCGTTATTTCCGCTAAGAAGTGGCGAATATCCCATGAAATTTGACGTCTTGCGATGCTCGATCTGAAGTCGCCCTTATTCCACCGATGAACAGCAGGAAAAAAGCAAAACCCTAACTTTCATTTTGGATTCGGTTGAGAGAGCGAAAAATCGTTTGGACATCTCGAGAACGCCGTCGATAATGTGCTCTGGAATGCCATGGTTTGAAACTGCAAGTGTTTCCATGCTTAGGAACAACAGACTGTTATCAAGGTGACGAACTTATCATTCACCATAGAAGAATCCTACGCGCATACACGCATCACGCACTTGAGAGGCTAAAGCACCTCTGAGTATGGGGTCATCGCTCCGAATGTCCTGGAGATCACTGTGTTGATTGTTCGAAAGTCACTAAGGGTGTCGTGGTAATGATCTGAAGAAAAGACGAACATCACAGGAACTTCTTGAAAATGCCCGTCTTCTGAAATGGCTATCAGTGACATGCTTGTGTTTTCAATGCACGTCGAACGCTGTTGAATGAGGGTTGTGGAAGCGGGCCGGCCGCCGGAATCACCTTCAAGACAACGTACAACTCGTGCACTTTGCGTGTACTCATTAGCTACAGCATTAACATTCCTCAACATATCCACGTTAAATTTACGGACCTGTCAAGAATTTTTCGAAATGGCTGCCAAGTATATTCTTTAGTTCTCTTAAGCGACAGTGGTTAATGATCCATAGGTCGCTTGCATCCTGCATCTTCTGCAAGATCATCAAGGGTGCGTAGGTCGTACACGTATTTCAAGTGGTGAACGGGAACTCACAGACCATCTTCTCGCCCTCTATTGCGGATCATCAGGCGAAATTCCAAGCTATAAGCTGCTTGAAACTGAATTCTCGTCTGTCCTCTGAATGTCCAGGCACCAAGCGTTCTTACATTCCTGCGCCCAGGTTCTCATTTCTTGACATCGGGCCTTTGTCGAGGGGACATGCCCTGGTCATTCCCAAATGTTAGAGCGTCTTCTGGTCTGCGCGCTGAAGTCGTTGATTTACTTGCGCTCTTAAGATCACGCAGAGAAGATACATGAATTGCCGGACGAATATCTCGCCGACGTGCTCCCGATTGCGAAGAGGATCGCGCTTGCACAGGGAGTGCCGGATTATAACATCTTACAGAACAACGGAAAGATCGCCCATCAGGCGAGTCAGATTCGGCTTCTACGTCACCTTGAGCTGATTTTTGGATCTAGGAGGTTCCACATGCACACTTTCACGTTATCCCTAAGCCCTCTGTCAGTGATGATGAAGGCCTCTACGTCGGCTGGCCCACAAAGACTTTCGAAAAAGAAGAAATGCAGAAAATCTTTGAAGATATCAAACGCAAGTTGGAGGCAGGACCCCGATTGTAGTTCATTGGAAGGTGATTGAATACAACTAGGCTTCCGACGTTAGAAGAGAAACGACGATTTCCAAGTCTCCGTGTATTAATATTATTTGTCCCTAGTAGGAATCAATGCCATTGTCTTGGCTTCCAACCACGTTCCATTGAACCACGCTACCGTGATCATCACACTGCTTTCATTATTCATGCAGTGATATTGTTATTCAAGGTAAGTACCTACGTAATGGTTTTTCGTGGTTTTGACATCATAGCTCTAGAAGAACCTGGTCGCCCTCAAAGACCAGCGGTTTCGTGGCCTCAAAATTGAAGCCACGTGTGTGCGTTATTGAAAACGACATGCCGTCCGTTCCTATTTTCGAGGTACGTATGTAAAAACTCGAGCCCAAGGAACGCCTTGGCTTGTCTTCTCGGTACGCTCATATGTTCGATTCAATACAGTGTCATTTTGAGAAGGCGACAAAGTCGACGCTGGAAGCTCTTTGTTGTACAGACCATTCGGTCCGATGAATCAGCGACCAGCGACTCAAAGCCAATTTGATATTTAATTCATCTCTTCCGATGGCAGCTGCAGCTGCTACAACCTCGTTTGCCTCGTTACAAATTGTGTCTCCATCCGTTTCCGCATTCAATGCGAACGGTTTCTGGTTGAAGAAAGCGCTCCGCTCTTCTAAGCAGGATAGAAACCGTTTTCTACATTCTTGCTGTCGCGCCATCTCTCCTCAACACATTTACTACAAGCCATCCGCGCGTCTTCGCACGATGATCTTTCTACTGTCCAATCGATCTACCTCCTCCGTCAGTATACCCCAGACAACTTGAAGCATAATGGCTGTTACGGGACCCCGTCAAAGGCGTATTTGTGCCTCCAATTGTGAGCTCCCATTTAACGCAGGAAGACACAATCGATGTCAGATGATAGTCTTTGTAGATGCTATCATCCCTCTCAAGGCTCTACCATCTGCTCATTCATCTACAACATCGTTGTTCTCGGCCTCAATTGTCATGCTCCTGTAACGCGTGCTGCGGCAGGAAGGACTTTTAATTCCCGTTCCGAGACACGTAATCGGTTTGGCATCGAGTTGGAGAAGGCAAGTGTCGAGCAAAATTGAATAATCTGAAATGTAATTTTCTTGTTCGAGGCATGAGTGTACCAGTAATTAGGGTGACGGAACTCATACGGAATGTCATGCAACATCTGCTGTAGATTGATGCGCATTATAATAGGTATAACATTAGTGAGTCAATACAAGAAACACAAGATAATGACAATGAACAACCATCCTATCGAACATAGATATGGGAAACCCAAGAAATAATGCTGCGGTGATATAAGTGAAACTCCAGATTTACTGCAGTACCTCCATCCCACCCCATTCCAAGACGCGGAACAGGGATTCATCCAGGGAGCGCGTGCAGTCAACGCCTGCGACATCTTTCCAAAAGTCGACAGAATGACATGCCCTTTCCTGCGCTTGAGGCCATTGGGATAGGAGTTCTTTGTCTACGCCGATGAAGAGCATGAAGATCCGCGTGATAACATCAGGGACGGGCGAGATCTTCAACGGCGCGGCCTGTTCATATACAGGTTGGGGAAGGAAACGAAGAGCTACATGGTCGTGTTTTAGTATCGCGGGTAGCCAGTACCTAATAACATGGGTAAATTGGGGAAATGTGGATATGAGAATTGAACTAACGTTATGAACGAAGTCCTAGCCTCCGTGTGAAGCCCAAGTGCTTTCGGCGCTGCATCTAGGTAGGGAGTTATTGTGTCCACGGAGATAACAACAGAATCATTGTCGGAGAGATGCGCATCACTCGGATTGAAAACCTCCACGTCCAAGGGTAAACTGCTCACAATGGGTGACTGCGGCGGGGAGACGGGGACCGGGGGACCCGTGCTGTGTGCGCGGAGAGGGGTCAAGAGGGTGGGGGGAAATTATGAGGAAGAGGACTCACTGGGCTTCCCAGAAAAGATACGCGACGTCCAAACCAGTGTTCAACTCAGTGAGCTCCCCATTGGGCTTGACGCGAACTTTCCATTCCAGCTCCTCATTCTTAACATGTTTTATGGGGGCGACTGGGTAGATTGCTGAAAAACTCCATTGGGGAACGAGAGAAAGCTTGACAGACACTGTAAGTTCTGACGGGGCATAGAGGTATATGACAGGTTTACCGCCACGTTGTGTGCGATAGACGTCAATGACGTCCCCATTCCCAAGGCCCGCCATCTCAACTGTACCTTTGCTAAAAACGGCGTTTCCGTTATGGACGAATTTAGGTTCGTTTTCGTTGAAACGCTCTGCAACGAGGGCGAATATCTTGGCGATGTCAGTTGTACGCTTGACACGAACGTCCACTTCCGAGCCTTTATAGTGGTGAAAGGATAACTGAATTATGTCGGAGGGTTGAGATGTGTTCAAAGGCAAAGATGAAGCGGAGCAGCGTTCTGACGCAGCAGTGCGATCAGATTGTTGAGTAGCGAGGGGATCCTCATCCCGTATGGTGATGGAATTGAGAAGTGGGAATACGGTGTCCCAGGAGCCCCTTGAAATCTGAGCGAGGTATCCTTCGCAGACGTTCAGGTCTTTAGTGTGGAATGTAATCTTATGATTCGATGGAATCTCAGGAAAGTTCTGTATAACAGACGCGTAACAAGCCTTGAAAGGTCAGGATTCATTGTAGAGCTGATCATGGGCCCACACACTTCATAACTTGCTGGGCGTGCGATAATAACGCGCTTGGATTTGTATATGAGCAGAAAAGGCGATCCTTGAGGGGTAGGAGGTGGAGGGTGAGCAGACGACATGTCGTATGTAAGTAAACTTGAAGTAAACCAGTCGCGTTCTTAGTTCAAACCATGTGCTCGTTCCCACGAGCGCTTGCCGTTTCCTCCGGACAAATTTTAGCCCAACTTTAGTCTTTGGTACAGCACGATCTTATCAGTCACATAATCAAGCTTGGCCTTCCCAACTGGCAACGACCACCCTCATATCTAAATAAGTTTCTAGTGACCTTTTCTCGGCACGTATGTCGCAAAAAAATGGTGCTATCGTAGGAGCCATCATTGAGCGCAAACCAACGGCTCACTCTCCCTGGCATGCGACAAGTCCTGGAAAAACTGGCTTTCCGTCTGTCCAGCACCGATCTAAAAGTGCTTTTGCTCGTAACCGGGAAGGTGCGCGTAGAGCTGAGAAATCGAAAACGCAAGATGCTCCACCACTGGTGGCAAGCGCCTCGCAACCGCCGCCATCTACAAACATTCTTTCAGGACCATCAAGCTCGCAGGTTGCGGCCGACGACTGGCGGGATCAAATAAGTCACGAGAACGAACAACGTGTTTCGGAGATGTCTGAGGAGGATAGAGAGGAGGAGAGGCGCCAAATTATAGAGAGATTCGGAGCGGGCATCAGCAGTGTGTTGGAACGAGCACGACAGACGAGAGAGAAACAAGCTGAGAGGGCGAAGGTACCACCCCTTCCCCAATTCGCTCAACCAACGCCGATTCAGTCTGAAACTGCGATAGAGAGTCTACAGGAAGGTCAAATCTACTCTTGCGCAAAATTTCTTCAACTTTGGCTTACCCGCTCTTATTTAGTCCCTATCACACCAGAAGAACCGAAGCGGTTTGACTACGGGAGAGGTGAGCGATCTTAATAGTTTTACAAGCTACGCAAACATGTCTTTTATCTGGAAGAGTCTTGGTTGACTTTCTCTGTTACCATTGTTCAACGTACTGATGCATGTTCCTCAGCAAGGTCGCCTCCCCCGGCGTTGTCAACCTCGAGCACTCGCCCTTCAAGTCGTGCAGATCGCAAAATCAGATTTGCCGAACTTGGTCCTGAAGACGTTCACGTTTACGAATCTGCACCGCCATCTCCACGACGGAAAGCTCTAGCACTCCCTTCACCATCAGCTGACAATTATGCTGTATCCCTTGGAAAATGGAAAGGAAAAATGTCGTCCCAGCCGTCAGTACCTTACCCTAGCGACATTGGAAACGAGCCAGAGGAGGGCAGTGCCGAATACATTCGCCGTCGATTTTTCCCCGAAGCGCCCGCGAATGATCCCAATATGGCTTGGATGGCGTCTTCTTCGTCATCCCCCGATCCAACGTCCCTTTCACCGCGATTTGACCTACACGGAAATGTCATCCCTCCGTCTTTGTCTTCAACGTTACCTACGCATCTAGGACTTCATCATCACGCAGAGGGCGCGCACGCAGGGTACACCCTTGACGACATATTCTTGCTATCAAGGTCTACGGTTCCCGCACAAAGAACAACCATGCTGAGCGTACTCGCTCGAATTGCCAATAGGCTTGCAAGGGTTAAATCTGGTGATGTGGAAGCATTGCCTCAGTTTGAAGGTAAAGAAGAGGATCTCAGAAAACGCATTGCAAGTGCTGGTGTGGAAGCAATGACTGAGAGAGGGGGCGTTGGCGCGCATGCTATTGAGGTTATCTGGGAGTCCATTGTTGGATGGGACCAGCAACTGATGGAAGTAGAGGGTGTTGAACTTCAAACGTCCGGAGATAAGACCTTCGACTCGTTGCCAATGGAATACTTATTATCACAGATATCAAACATCGTATGCCAAGGGGATGCTCCAACAGAGTCACTTTCTCAGCTACTATCCATCTTGCATCGTCTCGCTCTCGAAAGCAATTCCCTCGCAACGCAAATTGTCACCACTCCAAAACTTTTAACGAATATCGTGCAGACATTCCTCCTCACATCTATCCCACCGATTGACTCCTCTCCTCTCCCTGATCCAGCCGCGTTGCAGCACCTTGCAACTCTCGCCCTTTCATCGCGGTCAAACGCGTTAGCAATTTTGGAATATGCTGATGCGTTGCTACGATTTATTACCCAACTCCCACCGGTATCTCCTTACCCCCTTCCACTTGCGACAAGCCTTTTGGTCAACACGCTTCGTGTTTACACCGTTCTTGCTTCCTACGGCCTATATTCTCACATCTCCAGCACAGCTATAACACAATTTACTCAAGTGGGGCAATACATCGTCTCAGACCCTTGCACCTCTACGGAACTGATGGCTGCGTGGGGAGGCCTGCTTGAAGCTTGGATTGTATGTGCAGTTGATCCACACCAAACAACACCGACACACGATATTTTGTGGAGCCAGGTCGTTAGCTGGGGTTGGAGTTCTGACATACTGGAAGTGGAGAACAGGCTCGGGAGTGATGAAAAGGATTGGACTGTCTGGGTTGCTACTCTGAACGCTCAGGCAGCGTGGCTTGAAGGAAGTAAGATTAACGGGATCAGGGGTGGAGAGGAAGAAAGGTCCCACTTTGTCAATGCGGTTAAGGGGAATTTCGAGGATGGGAAACGGGGAGACGTTGTCGAGGGTGTCTTGGATGCTCTCCAAGCGGACTTGTCTCAAGCAGGATCAAAGACTCGAGAGACTTTGCGGGACACTGCTAACCATGCAACCCTCCTAACGGCTGTCATTCGCTTGTGGCTAGCATGTTTGCCTCCTCATACCACTGGCCCACCGTCGTCTCCGCCTTTCACTCTCCCCTTTCCTCGTATATCGGAAGTTTGCGCAAAGTTGGTGACACACCCCATCTGGTCGCTCATTTCCAGTTCAGAAAAATCTTCACATCAGTATGTCTTCTGCCGACAGTTATCGAATTTGTTGGGATATTACCTTCGCCTGTCCCGACGACTGCCAGAAATTTCTCAAGACCTCTGGATGGCACAGGCGCTTTCCATTCTCCCCAGGCTAATTCCTGGCGACGAGGAATTTGCACTGCAAACCATGGAGGATGTCATGAGTCTGATGACGTCGGAATGGACCACAGCACGAGCGGTGCAATATCCTTCTGTCATCTGTGATCGAGGGGGACTGTCGATCCTCCGGCCGTTCTTTACGTATGCTGTCCGGCCACAGGAGGATAATTACATTGGTCCCTTGGACATCACTACTAGGTCGATCAAGTTGGCAACGACTCAGAGACTTCTGTCTCCAGCTTCCCTCCATAACTATGGGCTTCCAGTAAGAAGTGACTGGACACTTACTGCACTTGATCATCTCCTCCGATCCGGCGATTCAGCTGTGTTTAAAGCCTTACCGACTTCTTGGGATTCTTCCGAAATGGAGGTCACTCGGGCATCATTACTCTTGACCCATATATCGCAAGTCATTCTCCGGCACTTCTCTTTGATGGACTTTGTTCTCAATCGGGAAGAAGCAGAATTTGGATGTATGAAGGTCTTCATGCTGGAACATGGGCAACCACAGAACGATTCTGCGGAGGAAGTTTTCCGCGATGAAGTTGTCGGGAAACTAGTGGGGGATATCTTGCTTCCATATACATTCGGCGCTACGGAGACGTCGTCTTCGTCTGCGCCGGTTGTTCCTTCAACCAAGAAGGGTGACTTGGAAGATGTTTCGACCCGATTCCTCGGCTCTTCTGTCCCATTCTTCCAGTACTATACTGACTTCGTTGCACTGTACGACGCGATCTCTTTCTCCCACCCCGACTTTGCTCGCCTGCTCTTACCCCCAACCTCAATGCGGTATCCGCCAGATTATCGAAAGCACCTCTGGTCTGATTTCAGCCAAGTTCTTCGGACCATTCGTACCCCTCCGAGCCAGGTGCTATCGGGTGACCTCAAGGAATATCTATATCCCATAGAGACCAATCCAGAGCTCATTGGTGCCTACCTTCGTTCACTCTTGAAAGGATCCTTGCAAGAGTTTGTTCGGTTGGTAGCTTTGCATCACCTTGCTTCAAACATCTGGCCAGACCTCCGAGAAGACGACAAAAACAACGAGGAGCGTGCTGAAAGGCTGTTGAAGGCGATTGTCGATCAAGGGGATCATACCCTGATTCGGGAGGTCGTATCTTACCACCAGGTGAAGTCGGGCAGAGTGCTGCTGCCACCAGCTTGTTTCGCTACTGGTCATGATGGGGGTTCAAGGGTAGAATGCATTAGACGATGGGGGCTTGCAGAACGATTAGAGGCTTTGGTTTTGAGTACATTTAATTTAGTTAGTAAATGAGCCCTCATCAGGAAAATGACACATTGCCTTATTGAGCTTACTTGCACTTGTTTGACTTACACGCGTCTTACGTCTGGATTGGGCCTTGTGAATGATCTTTATGTCGGATTAAACTATCCAGAAACCCCCCTTTCCGCGTGAAACCCTAAGGTTTCTATCCAACCACTTCAGAAACCTGGGAACCACAAGCAAATCACTGATTGCCGATGGTCAAAATATTTGAGGTCCGATCGGTTCCGACATCCCTTTGGGAGTGTACAGTGCAACTCATTGATCCCATCCACTGCCCTTGACTATGGCAAAAACCCTCGCAATAATTGTCTCATCAAGTGGCTAGATCCCTCCCGAATGGTCCAAGGTTTGCATGTGACTCTTTTCCATATATCTCCTCTATTGAGTTGGAAGACGATGACGCGTCGCTTGAACTCAATTATGTCATACCTGAAATTTAAAGTCCGATTTTTCCATCATCTCCGACATAGGGTTTCTATAAATACTTCTTTCAGTTAGTAATGGGGGGGTTCTACCTGACCATGAGAAATCCTAGGGTTTCTGCCGGAAAGGGGGTTTCTGAGTAGATTGATCCCTTTATGTCTGATGGGCCAGACACTTTCAGACGTAAGCCAAGTCAGACACTTTCAGACAATTTAAGACAATTTCAGACACTTTTTAAGAACATTGAGAACAAGGCAGGCCCGATGTAGACAACATGTGGGGGGGCATTCGACGTTAAAGTACACTAAGCAACATGAACACATTAAGTATAACGACGTTGAGTCACCATCCCCACTCAAGTTCTGGTCTCCATCATGAATGTTGGCATGCTCGTAGATGTTATTGATATTTGCACGCCATTCGCAGCGTGACGCTTGTACAGTGGCAAGCGGCGCTGATTTCGCCGATGCATTTGATATGATGCCGAAGACAAGGGAGGTCGGTTAGGCTAGATGGAGGGAGGTGTCTCGTGGGCAACACTGAATGAGGTTGGTAGGAGGTGAGGCTGTGAATGGAGGGGAAGGTAGGCGACTTACCTTGCAGCCTCGCATGTAATCCTCTTTCAACGTCTCTCAATCATTTTCGAGGAGGAGTGGCAGAATATGGCGCACCAATGTTGGACTTGGAGCGGCGGTTGACGTTGAACGTTGACGTTGGGCGTTGGACGTGGGACGTTGAACACCGAAATGTGTGAAGTCGTTTAGACTCCGCTTCAAATAGATTTGATCAACATGTTCACGTTCAATGTTCAATGTTCAATGTTCAACTCGAGTTCTACTACCTTCCCATTCACTCAACTACCTTGCCATTTGCTTCGACAATTTCAGGTACATTGCACCGAGTCAGCTTCGCATTGCTAACCATACCCCTTTCATTCCGCCCTAATCATCTATTACAGCTGCCAGCACGACAACCCAAAGATGCCGCCAACGACAACCATGACACGACTTTCGATGACAACGACCACCCACGACCGCCCCACCACCACGGCTGGCCAAAAACAAAGACGACCCCCCACAAACGAAGACAAGCGCCCACAGACGAAGACACCCACCCAATTGGTCCCAGAGGGAACAACTATGTAAGCACCCCCGAATCGACACAGGCGACAGCGAGGCTATGTGAGTAGGCTCACCTCAAGCTCACCTGACCCCCCACTCACTTCTCCAATACAGAATCCAGATGCCACGTCGCTGACAGCGACGTGGCAGCTAAACGACGAACGACGACCCAAATTCGTCGTTCATTGTCGTTCTTTCTTTTGAAATACCACGGTAAGCACCGCCATCTCACCTTCTCAACCCACCTCTCTGAGACACAGCGCAACGACGGAACAACAACGCCGACGACACAGGACGATGAAGCCGCGACGAGGGGGACATGGGGCAACGATGACACGGCATAACGACGAGACGACAGCAATGACGTGGAGGGGTCAGGTTTGTGCCGAGCTAACTTCGTTGAGGTGACTCCCAGAGCGTGCACCACCTCTGTCCTTCCCCTCACCATCCAACTTGACGATGAGTGATCTCGGCGACGAACAGGCCCCAAGCAATTCACTATGGCAGCGCGACATCTCTACCACATCAAACGAAGCGGCCAGCGGTAGAAAGTGAGTCTCCTGCCATATCAATTCTCAATATTTTACTTATGTGTCTATTCCAGCCTGCTCGTGGGCATTCAACAACCTCAGAACATATCCTATCATGCTGCAAAGGTTCTCAAGCGTATGGAGCGACCTATTGTCGATGGCGTGGACTGCATTGTCGAGGTGTGGATGTTGGCAGGTATATGGGAGGTAGTCTCTTACATAGCACCCTTGTAATACCGTACAATGTGAAAATAAATGAGCCATTTGAAACTGTCTAAAATTGCCTAAAAAATGTCTGCTCAACTGAAATAAGATGATAATGCCTGGCACCAGACGGCAATGCCTTAGAGTGCCTTATGTTCTGGGGTGTCTTAACTGCCTTGCGCAAGGCATTTGTGCCTTGTACCGAAAGGTACATAGCTTTGGCAAGACGCATCAAATTTGTCTTGATCCGTCTTATGTGCCTGTGGCAAGACCAATCAGACACATCAGACGATGTGTCATTTTCCTGATGCTGTCGGAGGAGGTCCATGCAGGACAAGTTACATTGTCCAAAATCGGATACAAGTTTAAAAAAGTCCTCCACCTTGGTGTCATCCCACATATTGATGGTCATTAAATATACTTCATGCTTGTATAAATTAATGTTCCATTGAAATGGACCGTGGCGGGCCATGCGGCTTGCCGCGCTGCGTTATTTGTATGGTTATGTAAGGTTATCTACATTTGGAGGTCACGTGCGTGGTGCGGAAACTTAAAAACTTTAAACGGTAAGTGTCTCGGTATTTTGCCCAGAACACCGCCTGCTTCCAACATGCCGCCACGAACCAGAGCGAACAAAAAGCGCAAATTGGAGACTACACCTGACGAGGTGGCGTCGGTCGACCTGGAAGATGGTTGGCTTGACAAGTTCACAATTCTCCCTCCAGACGAGCTTGCCAGGGTGATAGCCCACATCGCAAACCATGGTCGAGTCAACACTGCTGCCATCAAGAAGGCAAGAATGAGCCTCCCGTCGTTCTCCGGTGTCAAGTGGGTAGATTTAGCAGCACGCCTTGGCCTTGACGAACAGTTCGAAAAAAATGAATTTGAGACATTCGTCACCCCTATGTATCTCCTCCCACCATCGCTTCACGAAATAATGTTTGAGGCAGAGTGGTTAACACAGCACGTGTACCAGGAGCGGCAGGCACAGAGCCGGGAAGCGGCAAGAATCCGAATGATGGACCCAGTGCGTCTGCCAAGTCATTTGTTATGCTTTTCATGATCTTACGATATGACCAGTATTTGGTTCGCATCATAGGGCTCTTCCAGGGACGACTCATCGATTTACCAGAGCAGGCCATGTTGGAGACGGAGTACGCAAGCGGAGGAGAGGTTGAGCATGAGGTTCGTGTTACTCTGCATCAAAATTTGTTACTCACCACATCCTTCTTAGATTGTTATGATCGGTGGCATACTTTTTTTTATTGCTGAGTTCAAACTTGGCTTGTCCTTGGCGGACAATGTCGCGCAACTTTTTGCCGAAAAATTAGGTGTGTCCTTTTTTAAGGGGGATCTCATTTAGTGTTTACCAGGTTGGTATTCAGCTGCTGCGAAAGCAAACAAGAAAGCCGATTTCGGAGACCTCCGCGTGTATGGGCTCCTCACGGATCTCACCGACTTCCACTTTTACTCTTACGACCCCGTTGCCGAAAAATTCGCCTTTGACGAGACCCTGATCGTTAACATAACCAGAAATGTGTCGTTCACCGACATGATCCCAGGTATGTGCCCTCTTCTACATACATAGCCTGCAATTGACCAGATATATCTAGTCGGCAACAAAATATTCAGTCTAATTTTATCCGCATATATTGATGGCCTGGAGGCAACAACATTGAAGAGTCTAGAAAGGGGAGGGAAGGGGGACGTGGGTGACAGCTGTCTCTAGCATTTTAGATGGTGCTGATCACATCCATAGATTTCCTCTCCAGGCTCTGCACCTATCCAACAAATGGGGCAGCAGAAAGCCCAATCCAAGCGAGGGGTATGCCCATAGTGAGATGTCGTCTGAGCTGATACAAATTCTAACACAGCGTTCACGGAAAAATCAAGCTCAGCCTGGGGTATGTTCATAATGAGATGTTATCTGAGCTGATGCTAATTCTAAAGCAGCCTTCACGGATAACCCGATCCCAGCAAGGGGTATGTTCATAGTGAGATGTTGTTTGAGCTGGTACTAAATCTAACGCAGCCTTCACAATCCCAACACACCCATGGAAAGGGGCGAATATCAACTGACGGCTGGCAAACTGCACTACAGTTCGCAAAGCAGTGCCGCGATAAGTTCGAGGAGCAGGCTGATACGGTTGATGATGTTGAAAGAAATTCAGCCGCAGCGTTGGAACTCTTGGCAAACAGGTATTCTGGATTTTACTGCTGTGCCCTTTCAACCTGACCACTGACCATGTTGTTCTGATACCAGCGTCCGTACTGTTCCCCGTGTCTCACGCTTTACAGGAGGGGAGGACCCTAGCTCTTGGGAAGAAAGACGACAACTGGCCCATTGCATGGTGCGCAAGAAATACATTGAAATCTGTGGCTCCTAGCCCTGTTGCCCACCCCACACAACGTTAACCATATCCCAGCTGCATGAACGTTCATTAAGAGTATGTACAACGACAGAGATAAGCAGTAGACAGCAAATACAGAACAGAAGTAAATCACGTTTGTAAATTTGTATCATAACATTGACAGGAAATATGTCACCGAAGGGAGCTTCACCCACACCGATCATAGTCAGCTGTAGTAGACATGCAGCGATCTCCAATCCGGGACAAGTTAGCCTCCCTTGGGACTCTGTGAAAGAGGTTCAGAAGAGAGAGACATGATAGGAAGACAACGAACTGAGAATGGCTTGATTGGGCTCATTTGCCAGGCTTGTTTCTGGAAAGCCCTCACCACCAGATATGTCAGAACGAGCTTGTCCAGTACCCTGTTCGACTGCTCGTCAGAGAGAGTGGTCTTCCAAATTGCATTTCTTTGTCGCTGTACATGAGAGGCGATATCAAACTTGAGAGGTTCGTGACCAAAATTAACACGAATAATTTCTCCTGCATGCTGAAGCCCCATTGACAGATACAGGTCTACGCATTCTCAAAAACAGCGCCTATGAACCCATCAAGCTAAATGTGTATGTATGAGCCTGACGGCGAACACACCAATATGACCCGTTCTTGGTAATAATAAAAAAGCACGACGGAACGAGAAATAGATCCCACTACCAATAATATCACCTGCAAGATGTTGGTAAGGGGACCGGGAAGTGTAAATTTGGACTTGCCAACATAAGTCGGACCATACGATGTTCCGTTTTTCTAGGCAGAAAGAGCACTCATCATCCCCGTGGTATCCCCATGAATTGGGTTCCCAGCCTGGGAGTCGGGAAAACTTCACGCCGTGTCCTGCAAAGCTGGAGATGACGAAGTCAATCTCATGTGGACCGTGAAGAAGGGGTAACAAAACCTATGCTGATGTGATATATTAGAAAAAGAGATGACATATGCGATGTGGGATACTGTAATCGTTCACCTTTTATGCTCCTTACCGAGAATCTCAACCTCATTGCAGTATATTCCACAAGTAATCGTTGCAGCAGCAGCATTTTTGTCCCTACATGAAGTTCCTGATACAGTATCAGGGCTGCGGAGATGTAGAGGGGGGAAACGAACCCTGGTAGGAGAGCTCCCGTCCATTCAACGAGCTTCAACGAGACATTTAAAAGGCTGTGGCAGTCCTGGTCACTCCAGCATGTAGGCAGTTTGAAAGACCACTCATTGGGGGGGGAGAACGGTATCGCGAGGAGGGGTAGTGGTGCTGTCATCATCGCTGTCTGAGGAAGCGGGCAAAGCGGAGGGGTGTGTGTGCATGTGATCGAGCATATGACCGGGTATGGTATATAGAGGCTGCTCTAAAAGTAAGTGCAGAGTTTTCGAGATTGGATGGCCGGGGAAAGGACAGAGAAGTGGAGTGTTGGATGGAATACCCTGAGATTAGTATAAGGCCGCAGGCTTATGTAAGCATTAAATTGTCATGGGGAGTGAGTCTGGTGCGGCGCTCTGCAGATGAAGATCTGTAAGACGGAGAAGGAAGTAAGAGGGAAATGGCGTTTTCAAGAGCGACGGAAGACCTGGTGCCCAACTGTAAGCGTGAGGAGAACGGAGTGCGCGATGACAAGGGTGACCTCAACGTCGAGGGTGCGCGACCAGGAAAATATGTATGCATCCACAGTTCCTAATCACGGTCCCAATAACTCCTGAACAGGCTGCTTCAATACAAGACACCGCAAACGCCCTCGTTGTGCACGATTCTGTCATATATGGACCTCGCAGCACGCAGTGTGGCGCTCGCTTCGCCATCCGAGTGTTGTGGCAATTGTACATCACAGTTTTGCGAGAGAACCTGTCGACTACACAATGTCAGCAGTACCTACATGCAAAATCGCAACAAATCGTCGAAGCAATGTTGCATCATACCCAGTTTTTGTCTTCAAAAATAATTGTAAGAAACCCATTTTTTTGCTCATATTATTGTAAACGCTGTTAGTCCCCACCCTAATCCAAGATTTTAAGGGTAGGAAGCAAATACTTGCTGAGATACAAGCCATTCAAGAAATCTACTGATAGAATTTGTGCATGTACTCTTTGTAAGTAGTTGTCTGAGTCCAGGTCTTTCACTCTTAGTCAATGATTGCGACGCTCACAGTCTTTCCTCAGGGAGAGATTCGAGAATGCAAGTCCAGCTGATTCCAAAAGGTTGTTACTACGCGATTTTTTTGCAACGCATCAGCAATATAATATGAGGAGTCAGAACAGCCAAGGACAGCGCTAGAACAAAAGAAGTGATCTAATCGGATAATCAATAGTTTGGACTGAGAAATCCTTGAGCATAAGGTTGAGCAATATCTCTCCCTCAGCACGTCGTCATGGCTGTGACGAAGAGCAACAAACACAGCAGCTGGAAGATTTCCAACATAGTCGCCTCAACTATGACAATAGAGCCGTTTGACATCCCTAGCTGGCCCCCATCACTCACACCCATTCAATTGGAGGCGTTGACACTATATGCCACTACATATGCACTATCCCACGGGCTACTTTATCTTCTGCCAGGCCCACTACCAGCAATATCAAGCGCGGCCATCCACGCTCCTTTCTCTCTTTTCCCATCACCTTTTCCTCGAAAGCTTTTTGAAGCTGGACAGAGAATCCAGAGGACTTACAATGTCCTTTACGCGAGAATCGCGATGGATGAAGAGTTTTTGGATAGGGTCATGGGAACAGAGACGGGTGTGGGCAAGGTCGATGACTTTATTGGGCAATTGTGGACTGGGTGGAAGCAGTTGAGGGATGAGGGGCTTGCTCAGGTTCATATTCCACGGCTATAAATGAGAGCAAAAATTCTCAACTGACCTCTTTCAGCACCTGCATCTTGGCCTATTTCGTTCCGACTACCTTCTCCACACCCTACCGAACCAGCCACTTTCTATCAAGCAGGTCGAGTTCAATACCATCTCCGTGTCGTTCGCATGTCTATCCCAAAAGATATCTGAGCTTCATAGGTACGTTGATGGTTGAGTGAGCGCGGTCGTCATCTTAGCTGTTCCAGGTACCTCTTATCGTCAACGCAATATTACAACTGCTCTGCACAACTCAAACCCGAGAACTTGCCGCCAAACCGGACCATCTCTGGCCTAGCAGAAGGGCTTGCAGTAGGGCATAAAGCCTATAACGTTCAAGGGTATGTTGTCTCTCTGATTCTGCTCCTACTCGTACGCTCATCAAAATAAGGTCTCGAATACTATTTGTCGTTCAACCCGGAGAACGCAATGTTTTTGACCAACGATGGCTCGAGTACGAGCTGCTGGAACAGTGCGCTTTCCATTCTCGCCCACCTAATTATCAGTCTGACGCACCACAAAGGCATTCCATCCACATTGTCCGCCAAACTTTTGAAGAACTCGCTCATTCGGCCATCGTAGACCCGCACACATCCATCCTCCGCGTTTCCTGCTCTACGGACATTCACCCATCAGGTTCCATTGAGATATCCACAGTATATTATCGCGCGGGGTATATGCCCAATGAATACCCAACCCCTGCGCACTACGCCACTCGTTTCCTTCTCGAACGATCCAAAGCAATCAAATGTCCTACTATCGCCCTCCAGCTAGCTGGTGGGAAAAAAGTTCAAGAGGTGCTAGCCCAACCTGGTGTTCTTGAGCGCTTCTTACGCGACGAGAAAAGGTATGGCAAAGACGGCATATTCTCCGAACACGAAGTCAACGAGCTACGGTCCACCTTCATGGCCATGTGGGGTTTAGACGTGGGGGAAAATCTCCTAACGGCCGATTATGACTCCATCGCATCTGGAAAAGAGGGATTCGGAGTCCTCAAAGCTAGAGATGACGCACATGCGTTAGTGCTCAAGCCGCAGAGGGAAGGTGGCGGCAATAACGTCTATAAAGAAGCAATTCCTGCTTTCCTGGACAGCCTACCGCCGCAAGAACGCCAGGCTTGGATTGCGATGGAATTGATTGTCCCTCCTGAGGGCACTGGAAACTACCTCGTTCGCGCCGGAACAATTCAGGCGGAGAGTCAAGCAGCGGCGAAGGCTGATGTCGTCAGCGAGCTTGGGATCTTTGGCTATGCGCTGTTTGGGGGCGAGTCTAGGGAAATCAAAGAAAAGGAAGTCGGATGGTTAGTCAGAACCAAGGGGAAGGACAGCGATGAGGGTGGCGTTGCAACTGGATTTTCTGTGTTAGATTCGCTGCTGTTGGTGGATTCGTGAATAATTGTAAGTCGCAGATTGTAATTGGTTTCTCCATTGTCTAATGCCCTTCCGGACAGATTTTACATCATATGTAGTCAATAGAAGGCTGACCACAAGATGTGTGATGCGGTAAGTAGCATTGACTTTGAACCTTCCCTTTTGACCTTCCAAGGGAATAAGTGTTCTCAGCACTCAGAAACCAATGATACGCCGGTCTGTTTCTAGACAACAAGATGTTGATTGTTCTATACATCTTCCGCGCTACTGCCGACATTTATCCTTACCCTTTAAAGTCAATAGATGAGATCTCAAGCACCTCCACCATGATTTTCCCCTCCTTATTGTTAGCATTGGCGACTGCTGGCACTCGCCTGGCCACAGCATCTATTATTTATGACGGTCGAGCGCCCTTTAACCTGACGAATGCTGACCTTGACGTCTCGGCTGGACCTTATTTAACGTCAGTCCTTGTACTTTTTTCAGTGCTTCGCTGGTCACTCATTCTACCCTTGAACTAGAGTTGTTAAGGGTGCACTAAACGCATCTCACGTTGGTCTCTCTAGGCCGCTACGCCCGGTTCAAAGTGATTAACCTGTCTACTTTCAGTATTCAACTCTCCTTGGACATTCCTTACCCCCAACCCCACTCTGGAACAAACTGCTCCGGGTCCCTGCTCCGATTGAACAGGCCATCTCAGTGACAATCGACAACAGCTCCGTGTTTGTCCCAGGTGCTGGGCCACCGCAATTCGGATTCCGGCGCACCGAGCTGATTGCACAAAAGAATGGGGATCATGCTAACCTAGTCCCCCTCATGGAGTCTGGAGTGACTGCGTTCCATTTTTCTATCAAACAAGACGAAAAGAAACCTCTCAATTATAGCCACGAATATCAGATCGTGTTCATCGAGCCTAATGATGGTTCTCATGTCTTCGGAATCCAGCTAGGTTTGTAAACTCTTCATCGTCTCGGTCGCTCCTCTACAATTAATCACCACCATAGGCTCCCCTTTCACGATCCCTACTGGCATATTGCCAGCCGCAAATGCACATTCGTTCAAAGTACTAGACCACGCCCTAAACGTTATCTTCCAGACATCATTCTCTGCTTGCCACTGGCACAATTTCGCAATTCAGGTGGACTGGGACAACAGATCGCTTGCAGTGCTCTATTCCAAAGACGACGACCATCTAGCGGCGGTAACAGCAGTTGTACCAAACCTGTCCGCGGCTTCTGGGTCCGCTGGGCAAGGTGATTTTCACTTTGGGGTCCTCAAGGTATGTGAATTCAAAAGGAAGATCTGATAGACTGATGATTGATGGATGACTTTAAAGCTTCCCCTTGTGAATCCTGTGGATTCTGCAGCGGATCAAGGTGATGTAGCCCACCATGGTCTTCAGGAGGGCACGACAGAAGGACTTTTGTACTCTGGGGTGTTTGTGGAGAGTGTGGAGAGTGGTATTAGCGTCGGAGCTGGGGCTTCAATAGCGAAGATAGGTTAGATATCATGCAATTTGAACACAAGCTATTACATATCGTGAGCGAGAAAACAAGAGATGTGAACCAAGAGTCCCAAGAGTCAAACTGCAGACGTGCAGGGTCATCACCGTTTCACCAAGCAAGCTAAGCTTCTGCCGCTGCCGCTGGTAAACGTCAACGCGTCAACCTGGACTTAGTAAACCTCCTTTGCCGAATGACGCAACATAACGCACTACCGCTTGCTGGAATGTCTATAAAAGCTGCACTGCTGGTCAAGTGAGAACCACCGCCCTTTCGACATTCCCGCTTCGAAGTTCAACAACCTACCAGATCATGTCTAAAGTCATCCTCGTTACTGGTTTGCCTCACTATTCATCCACTCAAAAATTATATGGGCTGAATCTATTGGGTTTAGGTGCCAACTCTGGCATTGGGTTTGAACTCACCCGCTTGCTCGCTCAAATGGGGCATACAGTTTACTTAGGAGCGAGAAATCCGGTCGCAGGTCAAGAAGCCCAGTGCGTCGGTCTGCCGAATATTACACGTTATATATCGTGACCGATTATCTTCATAGAGATAAGCTTTACGCTGAAGGGCTAGACGGCGTCAAGTTCATCGAGTTGGATGTTACAAACTTGACGACCATCGTCGCAGCGAAGGAAGTCATCCAGAAGGCAGAGGGACGTCTTGACGTGCTCGTCAACAATGCGGGTATGTTCATGAACTTGGCGCATCCGTTCCTTATGTTTGACGCTCAATTGAAGGTGTCAGCTGTATGGATCGACCGCAGGCGGCGTCGACCATCGATCTCGCTATCGTCCGCGAGGCATTTGAACCCAACTTTTTCGGTTTGATCCAAACAACCACAACCCTCCTCCCGCTCATCCTCGCTGCCCCTAACGGCGTGATTCTCAATGTCTCTACTGACATGGCGTCAAACAATCACCAATCGAAATCGGATTACCTTCACTTCGCGGCTTACAACACCAGCAAGGCCGCTGCCAACTCATATACTATCGCGCTTTCACACGACTTGAGGAAGGAGGGCATCAAAGTTAATGCTGTGACTCCTGGGTACACATCGACCAAGTTGAACTCCTTTGGAGAGGGCGGAAAGAGTGTTATGGCTGGTGCGGAGATATTGTTACCTTGGGCATTGCTGGATAAGGATGGTCCTACCGGTAGGTGAAACAGTAGCAGTGTTACTCTGAACGCGCTCACTCGGTAAATAGGTTTGTTCATTGATGAACATGGCAAGGAGATGCTTTGGTAAATCTGTAAATCTGTATTTTTTTGTATAAGTATGGTGAGGAAGTTGTAGCAGCCGGAGAAACGGCCCGCGGCCCTGTGCAGCATCAATTAGCGATGAGTGAGCAACTGGTTACACTTGAGACAGGGTCCAAAGAATATTCAGGACAAATTTGGACATATGTACGTCCATAATTGTGGCCATTTGTAAAATAAAGAAGCTGGTGTGCATCCGGAAAACATCAATTGTCAAAATTACAAAATGAAGAACAATAAGAATGTTGAGCACATTCAATTTACATATCTAAACAATTTCTTTGGGAAATAACCTTGGTAGCCATGGCAACACCACTCAGCTGAAGATTATGTTGAAGAATAAAATAACGGAAATGACCACTCGTTGTGCTCAATGTTCTTATTGTTCATCAATTTGAGATTTTGATAATCAATATTTTCGGGATGCACATCAGCTTTATTATTCAACAAGTGTCGACAATTATGGAGGTACCTTTGCCTAGATCACACATTGGACCCTGCCTCAAGTGTTAGCAATCTGTGATCGGAAATCACCTCGGCCTGAGTAAACTTGAGTATTTGAGTGCTCGACTCCCATGGCTTTCTCCACTTCCAATTACCAGGCTGTTCCAACCGAAGTTGACATTGACCTAGAGGCAGACGGCTTCAAGCCTGCAGAACAGGAGGTACAACAACCCCTAACACAACGCACGGTCCAACAAGCACCCAGACATTCGCCAGTTCAATTTGAGTCCAAGAAGGCCTTCTTTCGAATTCTCACTGCAATCACCATCATGTACGGCGTTTTCTACGGGCTGACGCGTTCAGGCGTAGTGAGGCGTGGGGGAGGGTGCATCGGGGGCGCACACCGAAACATCTCCACGAAGGTCTATACTCTTCCGTCGGGGGACAAGATCCCCGGCATTGCTTTGGGTGAGATCCGGTCATAGGCATCAGGTCTTTTCACTGGGACTGACAAGGGACTGGTAAAGGTGTTTGGCGTGCTAATCCTGGTCGAGTTGGAGAGGCCGTCAAGGTCTGGATGGTTCCCTCACATTGTGGCAGGTCGATTTACTCACGTCGAACGTGCAGACGGCCCTCCGGGCTGGGTATAGACATATCGACGGCGCGTGGGTCTATGGCGTGAGCTCCATGATTTAAAACGAGTTTCACCTTTGCTTATCGTCGCGGCAGAACGAAGCTGAAGTCGGTGTCGCGTTAAAGGAGAGTCAAATACCACGGGATCAGATTTGGTTGACCTCCAAGGTGCGTTCATGTCCCTCAGAGCTTGTATCTAATCCTCAATTTACATGGCCCACACCTAGCTCTGGAATTCTTTCCATGCACCGGAGGATATTGAACCCAATCTTGACGACTCTCTACGAAAACTAGGGACGAATTACCTCGATCTCTACCTTATTCACTGGTGAGCATTGTTTCTGCTCTTTCCAAGGAAGCCGACCGATCTACTTTTAGGCCTGTGGCGTTCAAAAAGGGCACGAGGAATGAGATTGACTATGATCTGACTGAAAATCCTTATCCAACATGGCAAAAGCTCGAGGAAATGGTGGAGAAGGGGAAGGTTAGGAACATAGGAATTAGCAAGTAAGTGCCTCCGATAGGCATTTTATTCGTTGTGCTTACCTTTTTTGTAAAGTTTCAACATCCGCAGGTGATTTATCGTCACCCAAACGGTTAGGGGGTTCCGTCTTATGACGTCCACGTCCATAGAATTCAGAATCTAACTGCAAACCCGCTCAAAATCAAGCCTGCTGTAAATCAAGTCGAGCTAAACTATTGGAATCCCCAGCCCGAGTTACTCAAGGTTCGTGGGATGTCATTGTAAATTTTCTGTCAAAGTTGATTGCATACATTCCAGTGGGCCAAAGATAACAACCTCCTCCTCGAAGCGTATTCTCCTCTGGGAAGTGCCGAGAAAGTTAAGGAGTCCTTGGAGGTTCCCCTGGTTGGCGCTCTTTTGTATGATGTTCCACCCAACACAGCTGACGTACAGGATCATTACTAATTAGGTCAAAAATATTGCCAAGGAGCTCAACATTACTCCGGCTCAGGTATACATCTCCTGGCATTTGCAGCGCGGTGTATGGCTTTTCTTTATTGCACATATCCAATGAGGTTACTAAGCGACGAATGATACAGACCGTCGTTTTGCCGAAGAGCGTTACGCCCTCCCGTATCGAGGAGAACTTCAAGGGTGGGTCCACCGTTCCGCATCATCTCCTCTCTCAGCTTGCGACTGATCTTTCTTCCAATAGTCGTCATCCTGCCGCAAAAGTCATTCGATGAGCTGGAGAAAGCTGCTGCATCCCATCCACCTGAGCGTGCTGTGGACCCAAGCAAAGGTTGGGGGATAGATATCTTTGAATAAACTTAACGCGGATAACTACAATCGTTCGTGGTTATGTGTACGCGGGATTGCTCCAGTATTTTAATGTTTATTTCTAGAAGGCCAGAAAACGGAGTAGATGAAAATTATATATTTATATAGATACTGAAAGAAGCAGCAAAAGAGCGACAACAATAACCTGAATTTGGGCAGCAGAGAGCTACAGACCGGTCTCGAGGGGGAAAAAAAACTCCGAAAACAATCATCATCTATAAGACATCGGACTCGGTTTCGCCTGGAGGAAAACTGTCGCCAAAGGCGGAAGCAGAGGTCGGTGAGGATGCGAATATTGTCCGAAAGCGAGTCTGTGGCGACGCGGGTTGACGCGTAGTATACAGAACTAATCGATGAGTGAGGAAGAGAAATAAAAACTGGTCCGTCGAAAAACTTCGGAGGCTCGGGAACGATTTATCATCCCTCGGCGAGAATGATGGATGGTTCGAGGTTGTAGGCTGCTGTAGGTAGAAAACACAGCTTGGGGGTACTACTAACACAACCGAAGCTGGCAGTTGCATCGATACTGTAGATGGCCACAAGTTTTAGATTGCGGGCCAAACCACAACTGTTGACGGAGAAATCGAGTCCAGGCTCGCCCATCGAGCTTTCCTAAAAGGTCACCTGTATCCGATCGGACAGGATGTCGTCAACTTCGACAGCACTGTCGAAGCAGTTGTCAGTAACCTATCGTCTTGGCATTACTTGCGTGAAGCGGCTCCTGATAGTTATGTATAAATTCGGACTCTCATATGGACCCTTTCCAATGCTCGCAATAGTTAAGGAAGAAATCCCGGGGACTGAAAAGTATCGTAAGTCCAAGATTAGCCAACAAATTGCGAGGTCGAAAGGGAAACATTACCGTTTATTAACGCCCAAGGTCTCAGAGTGGCAAGTTGGCAGTACTGAGCGGCAACTCAGATTAGGAAATAAGCCTACCCTTGGCCTACCCTAAAGTAACAGGCGTTATAACACCTTTCCACTGAATCTGTTTCTTCGGAGCACCCTAAGTACCTTCGAAAAAGTGCTTCTGGTAAACCCACCAGAGGGGTAGAAACGCCAGGTATGTCTATTCTCCCTCATATTCTAGTATCTCCTAATCTTTGTTCCTTAGCGTTTGTTACATCGTATTCGAGCGGTGTCTGAGGTGCGATAACGTCCTTGTAAGTTATCTTAGTATTGTTGGGGCATCCGTCGTCCTGATTTTGCAGCAGAGTAGGGCGATAAGACCCTTGCAAGTATACCATTCCTGTGGGGTCACTTGCTTTGCTGACTTCGGAGCAGTGTTGGGTTAATATCGTGAACTCGACACCAAGGCAAGACTTGATAACTTTGTGATTGCAACGGTATGTCCAAATTGTGTGATCTGGCACATACTCATCGCTTTGTTGTCGTTAGCGAGCAATTACCTTCTAATCCATGCATGCTACATTGTACATGTGTGAGGTCTCGTATGAGACGACCTCTCACGCCTTTTATTAGGTGTGTTAGGTAGCTGTGGTCTCGGTAGCTGGGAGTCACATGGGGGCATACTTTCTTTGAGGAGGTCCTGGTGAGGTTTCTGATGTTACCTGGACCAGCGGTTCGCCGCATTAGCAAATTAATTAACCCAGGCCACATGTCTTCATCACCACCTCCCATACAATTACAAGAGGTTATTGAATTCAAACCGGGAGAGATGAGAACCACAACGCAAAGGTGTCGTCCACAAGTAGGTTGAGCTGAGGATGATATTTCCTGTGATTTTGCATTGACGAAGATTGATTTTGTGGCCTGAGTAGTGGCATATCCTCCATGCATTGCTGTGAATGGCTGATGATTGTTGCTCGGCTTACACCAACCATATACCTTGCAAGTGGCACCGAGAGAATTACATACGGCTGAAACGACTATCGTACTTAGTTATTAATAATAATCTTCCTTGTGTTAACTGTTGACAAAATGTCGCAATGTAGAACAATGATATCTGTATTGTAAAGCTGCCCCCCCAATGGAAAAATTACAGGTGAAGGACAATCATTGCATGATGCGGTGGTACCACAAACTTTTGGGTGCGAAATAAATTTTGAAAGCGAGGGGTGCATGAGGACCTATTCAAGCTGCTTTTTTTTTTTTTTTTTTTTTTTTTTTTTTTTTTTGCACCGCATCTCAAGCGGGAATGGGCCAACTCCGGAATCGCCATGAATGGACAAGGAACAGACGTACATAGTTTCTACGAGTAGATCGGATGCTAGAAATCGGCGTTGGTCTCTTCCCTTGTCAGGGCCAGCCGATGGTAGAAACTTCGTGCAGTAACGACACGCAGTTCGCGACAATGCGCTACAGTATGAAGAAGCGACGGCGTATCTTTTTTAACGAGGGCGGTGATGGAATTCGTAGGCCGATGCTTACTAAAAAAAACCAGAGAGAGAGTTAACGCACCCCTTAATGATATTGAGTGAGGGGGTTCCTCTTTCTGACAATCTCGGGACCTCGACTGCTCACCGTCCTAATGGGAAATCGGATCTATAAATCTGCGTTGTAATTATACCGATCGTGACTGTCAGGGTGTATATCTCGCCTTGGATTTTCTGCGGCCATATAATTGTCAGCGAGGCACGCGAAAAGAAGATATTTTCGGGTCGGAGAGATCTTTTCTTCTTCCGGCCAAAAATAGGTACATATCGTCCCGCCGGGCGATTATGACGAGCCAACAAAGCCCCGCTCTCGAAAGCAGAAGGGGGATCCTTGGAGGTTGTATTGCAAAACTGGGGCGCAGAGAATCTTGATCTATCGTATCAATTGGCTTCGCCATAATGATAAAGCAACCCCTGATATTTCGTCAGGAGACTGTCCAGCGGGAGAAGATAACAACCAGATGTAGTCCGAAATCGTCGACATATAGCAGGGACCCTGACTTATATGCACAAACTAGAGCAAAGAGTTAATAGGACTCGCGCTTCGATAGCCCACTTGCGAAGCAATTGCGCGACCGCCGAGGGGAAGTACGTTGAACCTGATCATTGGAAGGGCCGCCCTACCAAAGAAGCTAAATTACTTGCGGACAAATATCGGCGCTTAGAAGGGCATACCTTGCTTGCCTTGAGTATGTGCATCAGATGAACGCCTTGCGTTGTGGATGTTCCTTGTGAGTACTCCCCAACGCTCGCGTTTAGGTTTTATTTCCATAATCAATCACGGAAAAAAATGTGAAAGCTGGCGCATGTACGTAAGCCCTGTATCCTCGGAAGAGGGCTCTTGGGGCTAGTCTACGTGTTCCATTGGTAGCTTGAAACGCTCCGGTTGTCCTGAAAGTGTTGCCCAGTTTAATGAAAACAGACAAAAGAAGCTCCTCAAGAGAGAGCCCAAAAGAAAAAATTCTTCATGATATTCTGGACATATAGAGGTGCGTCGGCCAAGGCCAACTGTGGGTTCTTCGGACCGGTCTATATAGCTGAGTGAGTTTCGGAAACGGAAGAGACCACAACCAAGCACAAACCTCGGAGTAATGCAAGAGTAACGAGTTATGTCAGATTTTGACAGGGTCCTATATTTCCCACGCGGTGCAAAAGGTCCCATTACGCGGCCTCTGTCCTCGACCATAAGTACAAACGATATCTCAGCTTTATTCATATCTTTTATCCTCGTTTCTCTTCAACACTACACGAGCCTTCACGATGGTAGCAATGACCCAACGACCTCAACAGCATTCGTTCAATCCGTACACTGAGAATGGCGGCACCATTCTCGCCATTGCTGGTGCAGACTTCAGCGTCATTGCTGGGGATACCAGGCAGAGTGAGGGCTACAGCATACAGACGCGGTATGCACCGAAAGTTTTCAGATTGTGAGTCACCATCTTCGATCTACATTCCAACGTACTAGTTACACAACCATCGGTTACGATTTTAGAACAGATAAGGCTGTCTTGGCTGTTAATGGCTTCGCAGCGGATGGAAATATGTTTGTAAAAAAAGTCCGACAGCGTCTGGAAGTATGTATCCTCCCCGCAGTAGTGTTCGTATTAACTTGACGATGCAATCAGTGGTATCGACACGCCCATTCGAAAGATATGCCCATCCGTGCCATTGCGCGTCTGATCCAGACAATGCTCTACGCACGTCGATTTTTCCCTTACTACGTGTACAATATCCTCGGCGGAATCGAAGAGGATGGTATGTCGAATTCACATTCATATAGTCCGACTTGTTTGCTTACGCCTTAATGTTCATTTCCTCAGGTACCGGTGCTGTCTACTCTTTTGATCCCGTTGGGTCATATGAGCGTGAAGCATGCCGTGCAGCTGGTGCTGCCCAGTCACTCATGCAACCTTTCCTGGACAATCAGGTCAGTTTCCCCGTCATCATTCTTCCTTTTCGCTTGTTGCGATGCCGCCCCGACTCTTTTTCCGTGACGCGCCTATTTTATTCGCACTCCGTTGTCATTATCAGTTACTGACGTCGTTCGATTTTCTTACAGATTTACTTCAAAAACCAAACGCCTGCTCCAGGAACCTCATTCCCACAACATCTACCGTTGAACACTGTGTTGTCGCTTGTGATCGACTCCTTCACAGGTGCCACAGAACGGCACATTGAGGTGAGATATCGAACTGTGCTATATCCTTTTTGAGAGTGTTATTCATATGTTTGATAGGTTGGCGATAGCCTCGAGATGTATGTCGTCCTGGCAAGGGAAAGCCCGTCCATCCAAGCCCTACAAAACATAGTTGGGATTCAAGAGAGGACCTCAACAGCGGATGGCGAGCGTATATTTGTGATACGAAGAGATCTCAAGAAAGATTGAATGTTGTCGTCGATTCACGTAGTTTCTTTTTTCTTCTTGACGCCATGGATGCTACTTGATAAGCTGCATAAGCTTCGCTCGCGCCATCCTTCCCTCCTTCTAATCGGTAGAAACTTTTTGTGTAATAATACTGAACTAGAGAACTATCCTGGAAAGTGTAGGATATGCGTACTTGTAACTGAAAGAATGCTTGAGTGGGGACGCGAACTTGAGATCTTGGGTGCGTTGAGCGCTAATGCCATGGGAACATTGTTACGGCTTGTTGCACCCTGCAACTTCCTTGTTTCAACGTGTGCATTCCTGATCTCTGGCAAATTCTCGCCTCGACCTCCTTTCCCGTTGCCTACAACGCTCCTTTCTGGACCCGCTAGAGGCGGCAACGGTCGTATCAACCATCGAAGCCAAGAACAATACTCAGAGAGCCAAACAAAGTCAAACTCTCGCTCCACTCGTTTCTCTCATCATCTCCTCGCCGTCGCCGTCGTTCTTCACCCTAATCCCTCCACAATTTTAATCGTTCCCCACGTCCACGACGCATCTTTCACCCAGAAAACACTGGAAGGCCTCGCTTCCTCCTTTTAAAACGACACACATATAGACAAGACATGATTCTCACATCGCTGCTCATGGTGATGCTTGCATCGATAGCTCGCATATCAAACGCCCAAGCGATTGTTTATGATTTGGCCCATAATGCCACCACCATTTATGGCACTTGGAGCTCTGGGAGTAAGGGTGTCACAACTGGTGCAGTAAGTGGTTGAATTTCCCCTCAGACACCATGTCTGACCTGTCCCCTTTTCTAGACCTTTGCCAACCCAGCCAACATGTCATTTAACTACCCTAAAACAACAGGAATCTCATACTCTTTGTGCGTCACTTATGGATAAACGAAAGAAGAGTCACTAACTGCGTAATTTAGCACAACTGACGGTTTCTACGAGATCGCAAGGTACAGGTTCAACAGCAATGGTGAATCTTGTTTCAATCGCCCGTTTCTCTCGCCGGTGCTTATTTCGCTCGCTCCTAGGCTCAGAACCAACGTGTATAACGGGGGTGATTGGCTGGGTTCATGGCACATACACCCTCAACACTAATGGCTCCATCACCATGTACCCCTTGGGCGATGGATTCCAACAAGTCCAAGATCCCTGTGCAGCCGTATCCAACTTTATAGAGAACTACAACCTCACCGAATACTACACGCAGTGGAGAATATTCCAGGATCCCACACAGGGATACAAACTCCACATGTTCGCGTTTGATGGGTCACCGTTAGCTCCCATGTTCCAGCTTTCAACAACGCCAAACATGCTGCCCACGCAACAGCTGCGGAATGTGACCGCGGCTGCTAGTGCACCGAAGCGGCGTTCGGTTGACGTTTCTTCGGATGCCAACGAGGTTCTTGGGCCTCGTTGGGTGGTGGGAGTGCTAAGTGCGGTAGGATTGGTACTGTCGGCGGTTTCATCGTTGGTGCTATAGAGCAGAATTAATTCGTCCGTGTTCTTTTCTTGGTTAGATATGTTGCGGCAATGACGAATACTTGCTTTTTATCAGGGCGCCGGCACTCTTCTGTAATCAACTTCTTTGATCAACACCTTCGTTGATCTCTTTTTTTCGTTTTGGTCTGGCGGACCTTGGACCGGTTTTGTTCATTTATCTATTGCCTTCAGACACTTTTTATTCCATTTTTCAGCCAACCTGGTCATCCATCACTGTCAGGCTCTCGACACGTGTATGTATGAGCATCACATAGCATACGATACCCCCCCAGACTACGCAACTCACCAGTCGATAGGGTCATGGGTAGTGGATCCAGCTCACATTCGTTGACCGCATCATCATGTATTCCTCATACGCAATCTCGTATCTTATCTCTCATCGTATTCTACACCGTAGACCGGCTAACGATTTCACGATTTCATCTTCGTACACTACCTTGTACTCGTAAGCTTCATGTGGTATGCGTGCGCCTATGAGTGACATGTCACATCCGTGACAACAAAACGGGAATTTTTTTTTCCATGATCAAACGTTGACCAAACACGCATTTCTGTCTCTCACCTTCCACGCAGCCAGCTTGCAATTACAATGCCATAGAGATTTTTTGGGCGCGCAAGCTCAATGCTATCGTTAGCCCCTAGACTTTTATATTCTTGATGTTGGCGCAAAACGGTGAGTCCCCGTGTTTCCCTTTCATCTGCAAGTAAGTTGAAACTGCCATCCCAGATAAACTAGCACCCAAACTCGAGACTATCATCAGCCCATGGACTCATGACTTCTACAAGTGCTACGTAAGTCCAACGGCTTTTTTCTTCGCTTTAGTACGTCTTGAAAAATACTGTGCTCCGCGGACTCGTACACCGAGAGCGCGTAAACCCCATGTGGATTACTACGTTGCCTTCCTTCTTATCTATCTCTTGATGAGGATGCCTCATTGACGTTCGAACGTTTCTAGATGCTTCATCGATTACGCATGTCCAAGGTCCAGCAAAGTATGTAAATCGGGAAACATACACCTCCACATCGAAGAAGGGTGAGTTGAATTCAAAGTTGTCTATTCCACCTCCCGTTTTCTTGATGAAACCATTCGCGGATGTAAAGAGTATTCGTACTCGCGAGTCCGAGAGCGCAAAAACCCATGTGGATTATTCCGTTGCCTTCCTTCTGATTCTATCTATCTTTTTGTTATTGTTTTTGTGGTAGCTCCAGGCTAATCATCCCCTCGATTTTCAGACTTTGAGGCAGAGGCACATTGTGGCTTGCTGTGTCCCGACTCAACGTCATGTATTTTGTTGCTGTTTTGATTTGAGAGGCAGACATCAACGTCTGTCCCAACATCATAAATATTCTTCGACATCCGGGCTCCATTTCATAATACACAAGATCTTTATTTGATCATGAAACCTTTTCGCCCTCGAGTCGCGGCCCCTTGTTTCATCTACACACATTCTTAGCTCTTCAACACACTTCCAGCTGTTATTAGGGCTGGTCTTGGCGTCAATCTCCCATTGTCGCAACACATCCACATTTTTACACCCAAATGTTCAAGCTCAATGAAATTAAATACGTTCTCAAAATCTCTTTGAGTCTTCGGTGCTCCGTGGACTTCTGGGCGATGGCCTGCGCCGATCAGTGATAATGGTAAATCTATACACATCCGTTACTTGGCATTGATCCCTACATTCACCCTGAATCCGATGCGACGCAGAGGATTTCTGCGAGGTTTTTGCGGGACCCAAAAAGCTTAACGTGGAGCAGGCGTTGTTTGTAAAAATGACAGGAAGCTTTCATCCACATTGGCACGTCCGTGGTTTTTCCGTGCCAACAGGCAAATTTGTGTTCGCCTTGGCCGCAGCATCTTCTACTTGTGGCACAAGACAGTGTTTTGAAGATTGTAAGGGAACTATGTCCCATATTTGGAAAATATAGACAACGCCGTATTCCAGAATCCTACTGGCCGCTTTCCGCGAATAAAAATATCGACTCCGGATCGTCAAATCGAGCTGAACCGAATTGCCAGCGAGGTGGTACATAGAATGTGTTCCACTTGAAAAAACCCGTCCACTTGTCAGCGCTGTCGGGGCTACAAGCATCAAATAATGCTGACCGTCTTGTGAAATCAAAGGGAGTTACGTTCAGAATGGGGACACAGTGATGACTCTATTTTGCAAAGGAGAAGAAGCGGGACGAAGTTGGATGAGGTTAGCTGAGGTTAGCCAGAAGTGACAATGTCCACAGTCATAAAATGTACCCAGTTTGAATGGTCAATCTTCTTGCACAACCCCAGATCTAGAAGCCGCATTATCCCCCAAGATAACGTATCATTCGAAAGCAAAGAATAGCAGATACGCTCAGACAAACGTAGTAAAGAATGTCAAGATGCCATCGGGATGGAGTACGTTGGGAGTGTGTGCGTACGACAGCTGTGAGGCTGCAGTTGCCAGAATCTGGCAGAAGCGTCCCAAGTTAACGCCATCGTTGTCCTAGAAAAGCGGAGCGATAGCCAACCCCAAGAGCTAGAACAGGAGATATAACGCCATTATATTTTGAGTAGCGCAACAACAGTCCTGAAAGAAATTACATATTGTCAAAGTACAAATCAAAAAAGCTCCAGAAAATCATGAGGAAGACAACTATCCAAGCTTTTTCTTTCGTAAAGCTTCAGCTCCCCATTGGAACAGACGAGAGTAAGCCGCCCTCGCTCCCCGTACTTGACTACCAAATCCTTGATCTTATCCAACGCTTTCCTCATCAGCTTCAAATCGGGTTGAATGATCTGCTCAACGTTCTGCAGCTCGGGAGATGATAGTTTCCGCTTATTGACTTCAATGAAACGGCCGCGCTGGTGAACGGCGAGGAAGTGGTGCGCGGTCTGGGAGAAGAAAAGCTGTGGATAGGCTTCCTTCCAATCATAGAATTTTTGCCTAGCTTCCGAGCGAGTTGTCAACTCAATGACAGCCGATGCAGAGACGTAGCTTCCGCCTTTAACCACGGTTAAACCGTTCTTGGGAGAGGGAGAAGGCTGATCTGAAGACGGCTGACTGGACAAACTGACCCCAGAGAGTGATTGGGCAAGTTCGTCGATACTGGATATGCTCTTTCGTGGGTAGGATTTCGCGGGAGGCGGAAAACATGCGTCAACCTCAAAACGGACGACCATTTTCAAACCACTGAGGTCCTAGGGGACAATAAGCATTCCGGTCGACAGCAGTGGGTATTTGGAACTTACGTAGGTCACAATGCGATGATGCCCTGTGCCATTCTTGCAGCCCGGCGCAGGAGTGGTGGATTCTTTTTCAAAGTTGAATCCAAAAGTCCGCCCATCAAATTGTTCTCTAGTGCACTTTTCCCAGCGGTTGAAAAGAACCGTCTTTTCTCCAGCGAGTTGCATATCGATCCTAAAATCTTTCACTTCCTTCTGACCAATCCACCTCGTCAATTTTCTTAGCCCGTTTCGATCAGTAACGAAATCGATGGAGGACCAATCGAAAGGAGGGTTCCCTTCATCTTCTGTTTTCTTGTTGACGGCGACGACCAATGGAAGAAGGACGGCAGACGGCATGCGGAAACCGTTTTGATCACGAAACATGAGGCCGATGTCTGGTTGGACATTGTAGGGTGTACTCCTATTTAGCCACTGGGGCGGAGAACCTATCGACGAAGTTAGTGTTTTTCCTACCAGGAGGAAAGTAGGACATGCATACCAGGCACAATGATAGTGGGCGTCGCATCATTGGTCCAGTTGTAAGAACCGATGAAGTCATAATCGGTGATTTTGATGTCCTCATCTTCATCCCCTGGCAGAGGAATTGTTATGGTTTGTAACGGCGTAGTATGTAAGCCCTCCAGTATGTCGCGATCCGGCGGTAAAGCATTGGGAGGTGTAGACAACCTGTAAGAATTGGGCGATACAGTGGAGGATGGCCGTCCCCGTGCAATACGACCATCAGGAATGCGGGGACGCGCACTGGGAGTCGGATTTGAAGTGTTTCGCCATGAAGACCTCATAGGTGGAGCAGACATGAGGGGGATGAGCCCACATTCGGCTTTGCAGGGGTTTATAAGGCCCAACACTAATCCTCGAGCGCCTCTATAACGTGGAAGGTGCGCATTGAGTGGACGATAAGAAGCGCATTCACTGGGTCTCGTGGTCCTTGCGAGTCACTTGTTGCGTAAATTAGAGCCACTTGAGACTTCTAGAATCCTGAAACCCCTAGGTACCCCAAGCGCTTCCCCGAGAGCCAAAATGACAATGCAGCTGACTCGCAAAATGGCACTCTCGCAGCCTCCTAGTCCGAATCTCCGAACCAGTCAGAATTCGGTTGCATTTGAGAAAAAGACATGCTTAAAGGAGAAAAATCCACGACCGCTCACAAGAGCTCGCAGGCATATAGGATAAGTGCGATTTTGTAGTCCAGCGCACGAGTATGTTTCTTCATAAGTTCATTGACGGCCGTCGCCGGGCCGGTCGCAATAAAAAAAATCCGACCAAAATCCTTTGCAGATCTAGAATTTTAGTCAAGTACCTCCATCATCCGCCAGATACCACGCACTTTTTTGGAACATAGACGCGGAAATTACTAGACGTGCATTTCCAGAAGCCATTTGACGGGCAATCTTCAGGATGAGTATGTGGGATGTTCACAATCTCTACAGCTCCACTGACAACTTGTTACTGGCAGACTCAGAAACTCTAGACGGTCGATTGCTTTTCGCAATTCCGAAGAAAGGTGATTTCGAACAAGATCTTTCAGAGATGTATGATGACACCTCACAGGAAGATTATATGAAAAGTGTTTGGCACTACTGGCTGGTGAGATCGTTTGCGATGTCATCTAATCATCATTCATTTTCCTCCACAGGTGCGGATATCCAGTTCCGACGAAATAATAGATTAGATGTTTGTCTTGTTCTGAATCACCGCATTGCCTTGTATGTGATGGGGCTGTCTTTCTCGCCCCCGCGACTGATCGTTTCTCAGAGTCTTCCTTCCTGCAGCAGACATTCCCTCCTTCGTCGGCAAGGGCGACGTCGATCTCGGTATTACTGGTCACGATGTCATTCTAGAGTCGAACATGCAAGATCTGGTAACCGAAGAGCTGCGACTTGGTTTTGGAAAATGCTCGCTCCAAGTGCAAGTGCCAGAATGTTCATCCATCAAGACAGTAGACGATTTGGCTGGAAAACGCGTCGTTACTAGTTTCGAGGTTCTGGCTGGTAAATATTTTAGTGAGATCGACGATCGCCTACAACTCGTGGAAGGAAACCGCACACAAATAGAATACGTTGGGGGCAGTGTTGAGGCTGCCTGCGCACTCGGCCTCGCAGACGGTATTGGTCAGTTCCGCCACTCCGTAAAAATTAAACTCTTACTTACTTTTGAAAAATTTCGCAGTTGACCTCGTTGGTGAGAGGAATTCATTCACTGCATTCGAACCAAACCCACACGCGATACAGAATCCGGTGACACAATGCGAGCCGCTGGGTTGCACGCAATCGCAACTGTTCTTGAAACGGAAGCGGTTCTCATCAGATCTAGCGTACCCAAGCACCCTCACTTGACGCCTCTTATTACTCTTATCGCAAGGCGAATCGCAGGCGTCATCGCCGCAGGCAAGTATGTAGTTTGCGAGTACAACATTTCCCGCGACAATCTGGCAGCCGCTATCATTATTACACCTGGCCGGAGGGCACCTACCATCAGCCGACTGGAAGAGGAGAATTGGGTAGCCGTCAGCAGTATGGTGGAGAAAAACAAATGCGCCCAAGTGATGGATGAACTTGTCAAGGTCGGTGCTGAGGACGTCCTGATTTTCAACCTCGACAACTGTAGAGTTTGACTGAATAATCAGTTGGTGCCGCGAATCTGCTGGAGAATGACATTGCGACTCACATGCATGGGTAACCGTTCTCAACTTGAGACCAACTGCTCCCTTATCAGCTCATCGGTTTTAGAAAAGTTCACAATGTGAGATTAAATCCACACGAACAATCACCATGGCCATCTCTTACCCCCAATCAGAATTTGCTTTCTCATAACGACCATTCCCTCTCGACAACACACTGCCCACATCCTCCACTCTTGGGTCGTCGAAGACTCTTGTAAGAGTTAGATGAGCATCCGGCCAGTGTCGCCAACACCGATTGCTTTTATCCCCGCCTATGCCACCTTGACTACCACATTAAGCTACCTGCTCCTTCACCTCGAACTCCATGTGTTCATGTTTCCGCGAACCACTTCGCATTGTATGATGGCTAATCCACATCCCGGCTATCCCAATGTCCGGCTTCTGCCTACAAGGTGGGTGAAAATTTTTGTATTTAAACCTAAGAGAACTGAGCATTCTCCACAGCATCAATACGAACCATTCTATCTCATCTCGCAAAATTTCTCCCGTTCGCACTTTTTGCTGTGTGCGCCTGCGTTACAATTGCAGTTCCATCTCCAGTACACGCTCGATCAACTAGAAAATCGGCGGTCGTCTTGAACTCCACAATATTTTGCCCTTGCGGCTCGGTTTGTCGCAGCAAAATGTGCACCACTCCGAAGAACTTTTGCTGAGAATTTCTCATACAGAATCCACTGCCTACGGTCAGCATTAGACGCCCGCGAAAGTCTTCGGCACGTTCGCATGTAGCCGTCAGTCCGTCGCCGCGGTTACCGACTGGCTGTGGAAGTTGGGTTCTCTCCTGACTGTTTGCTTCCCGCGGTAAACGAAGGCTGGATCGAGCTCAACGCCACGGTCGCCGAAGTTGAGAAGCTCCTCAACACTGAATACCATGTTTATGCTCATTCTTTTGGCGATGAACAGTTTGGTATGTTGTCAACGTCAGAATAGACTTTATATCTGATATATATATATTCTGTAAGATGCCAGATTCCGTACCAGGCCATGTCGAACCTCACATTGACTTCATCATAACTGTTCGTTTCAACCACCAAGTACAAAGGCCCGAAACGTATAGGCGGTTTAGGGTCGTCTCGAGGAAGTTTGCCGGGTTCAACTCGTTGCTGGCAAATACTTAGTTGAGGACGAAAAAGCCACGTGACATTAATGTCTTACTCCAACAGTTTTGCGCTTGCTGCAATCTCTACCAGTACTACTATAGTATGGACGCGTAAAGCGCGTTTCTTGCCTCGTTATCTTAACCTTTGCAGAAGATGAATCAGGGAAATACGGGTTTCTCGAAGAAGTAATGTGAACTTCAATGTGAGTACTCTTGCAGTGGCTTGTACAACGATGACGAGCCCGACGCAGGCGGCCTCCATTTTTGTTTTAAAATATTATCCGCCGGAAGCCAAGGGTCGTATATAGATGCCTTCTCCTAACCTTTGCATCGACCTTGATCCAGTTCCCCGTCCTTTCCCCTTTCCCCTTGTTTCCCTCATGCGCTGCCTCCTGCGAGTACCGTTCATCTGTGGCCTCGCGTTTGCCCTTCCTTCGCCCTCCGACCATGTTGTTTTTGAACGGAGGCAGGTAGAACCCCATGGCTGGGTCCCAGGTCGTCGATTGGAGGTTGACTTTATGTTGCCGATGCGCTTCGGGCTAACACAGAACAATTTGGATCACTTGGACGATATGCTTATGGCTGTATCTCATCCCGATTCGCCCGGTTATGGTAAACACTGGTCGGCGACTGACCTCGTCGATAAATTCAAGCCAACCACCCAAACGATTGAGGAGGTCGTTCGTTGGCTTGTAGGCTCTGGCATCCATCGTGATCGTCTAGGTCTCTCTATCAATAGAGGGTGGATTCATTTCAACGCTACCGCTGCGGAGGCTGAGGAAATTCTCAAGACCGAATACTACGTCTTTACTCATGAGGATTCTGGCGACGAACAAATCGGTGCGATTCTACCCCTGACTACTATATACCCTAATTTATTCGTTTCTAATCATCAAGGCCGTCAAACTTATTCAATCCCAGCTCGTATGGAAAAACACATTGACCTGATTATGCCCACCGTTCATTTCAATCACCTACCTTCCCCAATGGTCCAGCGCAAGCGTACTGGCGGACTCGGCGCTCTGGAATCCCAGCCAGGTCCTCATAGAGTGGAAGAAGAGGTTACGGTTACTCCCACTTTGGCCAAATGCGATAAGTTGATAACGATGGAATGTCTCCGCGCGCTTTATAACATTGATTACACACCTGTCGCCACAAAGAAAAATTCTTTTGGGATTGGTTAGTTTTGCGAATTTCATGTCTCTGACAACCTTTAAACGCGAATCCTCATAGCGGAGTTTACGCCCCAGACCTATGTCGGTGGTGATCTCGATTTATTCTTCAAGTATGAATTTAGCTTTTTAATCTGCACGAACTGACCTCTTTCCTGTAGAAATTTTTCCTCTACACAAGTTGGTACTCGCCCCCAGCTCGTCTCCATAGATGGAGGTTAGTTCACCTGCAACCTTCCTACTTCTAACAGCTCTAAGGCCGCTTTTATGTTGACTTATCAAAAAAGGTGAGTTGCAAACCGATCCCTCGAAGCAAGGTTTTAGGTACGCAGGGGAAAGCAATCTCGACCTCCAGTACGCCATGGGTCTCACAAATCCACAAACGATCACTCTACTTCAAACTGGTGACGATGTGATAGGTTCGTTTTGGTTCTCATCCATCATCCGATGTCCAAACAGGCGCATTAGGTGGTTCATTCAACACATGGATTGATGCGGTGGACAAGTCGTACTGCGCACTGAATGACCCCGTTTTGGTAGGAGTTTTTTCTGTAGCATCGCCATTATCAGCAAGGTCTCACCCCCTGGTAGGACCCCGTTTATCCAGATCCCACAGGCTACAACCGTGCGTTTTAAACTCCCATCTCAACCACAGAAACTTTGTTTTAAGTTGTGACCATAGACCCTCCCTCATGCGGTATAATTTCACCCCCCAAAGTGGTTTCCATCTCTTACGGTCAGGATGAGGCGTCTGTGACTAATCGATATGCCAACCGACAATGCAATGAATACGCGAAGGTCAGCTACTCCAATTGCAATATTGCCCTTGACTGACGATATTATGGTTCACAGCTTGGCATGATGGGAACATCCGTATTTTACAGCAGTGGTGACTACGGCGTCGCAGGAAACGATGGCAATTGTTTATTCACGCACTGTGGATAATTTTACACTCACTCGTCGTTATCCATCTCATATCTGGATAGATCCATCTGATTCAGGCCCAACAGGCAAGGTCTTCAACCCTTCATTTCCCGTAAGCTTTCTCCTTCACACAGCGTTTCTTTGAGTTTCCCGTTGATTTACGGTGCCCTTAAGTCTGGGTGTCCCTACGTCACTTCTGTCGGAGCAACCCAAATCAATAATGGATCCACCGTTCATGATCCCGAAAGCGCCTGCCAGCGAATTATTTACTCCGGTGGAGGGTTTTCCAACATATTCTCGTGCGTTCTTTTGTTTTCTTCCTGACAGCAATCTAACCAGTCTCCAGGGTTCCTAAATACCAATCTGCCGCCGTGCATACTTTCATGACGAACCATACACCGCCATATTCAAGTTCACTCTATAACAATGATGGGAAATCGCGCGGCTTCCCAGATGTCTCCGCCAATGGGTATGTCTTGCGGCCTGTTTTCTTGTGTCCGGTCGTTGACATATAACTTCAAGGGCAAATTATGTGATTGGTAAGGTGCTTCCTGCCTTCTTTTTTTCAAAATTTAAAACCACTACGTTTCAAGCGATCGGCGGAAAATTTGCCACTGTTTATGGCACTTCAGCATCGTCGCCCGTCTTCGCCTCTATGATCTCCTTGATCAATGATGCTCGGCTTGCTCAGGGCAAGAACTCTGTCGGTTTCATAAATCCTACGGTAAAGGTTCCTTCATGGCTTCAAAATAATCAATCTGAATAGCACCGGTGTTCGTATCTTAGCTTTATAGTGACAAGTTTACGTCCGCATTCAACGACATCACTACGGGTGGCAACCCCGGTTGCGGTTTGACATTTCCTGATTTCTTTCATCGTTGGCCTAACGCTCTTCCCTGTGTTAGGCACTAAGGGTTTCAATGCGACAATTGGATGGGATCCTGTTACAGGTGCGAACGCCTTTGTGCAGTCTTCCCGACAGTGGATATTGACTACCGGTCGAATCATAGGTCTTGGTACACCCAAGTTTCAAGAACTACTCGCTCCCTTAAATTGGAACGCTGTTTCAGTATCTCGCCGCTCTGGTGTATATATATGCGCCTCTACGGCTGATTTGAATTCAATCAATGATTTCGAGTCCTGCCCTCAATACTATCGCTTTCGTCGCAACGAACACCTTACTGACATTAGTTTCACAGCCATGACTCATGGGTCGTTGCAATCGCTGGCGAGTCTGGTCAGTTAGCCTTGCATCAGCGCGCAATCACATTTTCAAGATTCTCGCCAGCTCATTAACTTAGTTGGCGTATTCATTCCCGAGGAGTTGTCTCTCGATCGCCTGCGCGCCCTATGCGCTCCAAGGCCAGAATAGCTCTTGGTGTTGCAAAGCACGAGATTGAGGTCACTTTAACACATGCACTGGTATTAAAGATGACAGAAATGATGCTGTTCCCTCACCCTTGCCTCACCCCCTCGCCCCGTTCAGCCCTGAAGAATGTGGAGACTTGCAGGACTCTCCGTACTTCTAGGTCGAAATTCCGGACAACCTCATACCTGTAATGCGCTTCGTTCTCGTCGGTGCTGCTCCGAGGATCAAGAGATTTGGCTGGCATGGTAGACTTGATACTCACTTTCAACTTATCAACAAACCTGGCTAATTTGCGCCATAATGAGTGGAGGAATCTTGATTGCTCTACAACCTACAAATTGGCATTCGGAAGTAGTCAACATAGTACAAGCACCTAACTAGTTGTAAAGTAGAGATACTTGGCAATGCCGGAAAGTATGTCCTGGGGTAATTGATTTGAAATCTCACTCGAGAGTAGCACTCTCAAGCATAAAAAAGATAACCATGCGGCGTCACGAAGACGGAGCGAGTAGTAATCCCTTCTTTGCAAAATGCCTACAACGTAGACAAATCACTCATAACGAGCCCTGCACACGGCAAGACCGATAACCTATCCGGGAAAGTCAGAACGACGAACCCAATGTATGTTTCTACAATTCTCGAGATCCAGCCAAAAGTGATATGGCGGAAAGACGTTCCTCAACGACACGAACTTCATGTCGGAATAATCAATGGCGAGTCATTGGCCAAATGACAAGCCTTATCAATGTGGGACATCGGATTACAATGCCCACTTATAGTTGCGCCAGGCCCTCCCAGGGACGAGGCATTAAATGTATACCGTCTGTAAGCAAAGTATCAGTGGGTGAAGGATGGAAGAGCTGAGGGACGTACGATGGCTTGTACTTCGCCATCAACTTGCACCAGCCCTCCTAGGGACAAGGCATTCTGTATACCATCTGAAAGCACAATGTCAGGAGGTGAAGAATGGAGTGGGAGATGGGGGTAAGCGACGTACGATAGCTTGTACTTCGCCATCAACAACTCACACAAGACGCAGATCCGCTGACGCTCTGGTGACCGCATATCGTCTCAGACTCTGCTGAATGGCGCGGCCCTCAATGTCCGCCCTGGATTTTCCAATCAACGAGACGAGCGTGCAGGATGGTGGGCTGACATACCAAAAGACGAATGCCTCTGGTCCAACCACGAAGCCACTGCCTGACCCAGACAAAAATCCTGCGGAGAGACGTCAGTAAGCCGGCTCGCCACTGATAAAAAAGTCTTTACCCTTTTGCTGTTTGCTCTTGGTGGTTGGGGAAAGGGGCTCCGAAGGGATGAGATTTATAGTTTCCGCCTTATAAGTGTGGCTTGAGGGCAGGTCTCCGGCGTGATCCGTTCCGTTCCTTGATTTTTTATCAAATATGACGTTTACGGTTTAGGTTTTCCCAATTTATCAACCCGATCAGTACTATGTTTGTTCAGGTGTTTGAAACTTTTTCACCGCTGCGCGATTTCTGCCTCACCACTTCATTGAATTCTTTAAATTTTTAACAAGCCAATAATCTTTTTTCTCTTCTATATGAATATCTACTTTTTTTTGGTATAAATGTGTTGTGTTCGCTGTCGGAGGCGTTCCGGTGCTCAGGGTTCAGATATATCAGGAGATTGAAACTCGTGTCACACTAGGTAACAACGAATTTGGCTGATGGATGATGTGCGAATGTCACGCAAATGTCACGTTTTTCGAGCTGTTTTGCGAGCAAAATTTGGTATTTTGCCCTTCCTCCCGAGAGCACTTCATCTCCCCCTCTAGAAATTTGTAGGTAGACTTTCAAATAAAATTTAAATGTACTTGGAAAGTTTCAGAATAAACAGTCTAGCCGATCCAAAGGGATCTGAGAAAACATTCCAATACTTTTGTTTGGTTGGTGTAATGAAAAGCACAAAGTCATGCCTCCAGAGCACAAATCTTCGAATCTCCCTCTGAAATTTTGGAATAGTAAATCTCATGCATAAATACATCTTCCCTGAAATTTACAAGATCCTAAGGTAAGCGGAAGGCAAGATAATGTGCAGTTTCAAACTCTTGATGGGTTTCAAACACCTGAACAAACATAGCAGCTCTTGAGTAGCTCAAGCGCTCAAAGCCTATCGACAACCGCTGCTTTTACATGATGTTCTGGAGCGATTCAATAAGGAACAACTAGACCGCGAAAGGTAGGGTACGACCTCCCTAACCTAATTTTAATATTTCCTTCGAATCTAAGGTCTTGAGACTGTGAAAAGCCCTGATGCCTGCCGTGGTATATATTTCGTTCTGAGGAAAGCTATGAATGTCAAACTGTTAGTTACAAGAAGTACACATAATTTACTTGCTTAATCGTCATCATCCACATCAAGATCACCCTCCACGCCAGCGCCCTCACCCGTGTCATCAAACATGTCCTCGTCAATAATCCCATCAGCGTCTTCCCCGGAGTTGTGTTGCCAGCTATCTTCTTCTATATGCACCACGTCATCAACGGAACCCATCCCGATGCTTTGGGACGCGGACGCCGCTGCGGTCGCTGTAGATGATCGGACGTGAGTCAGGATCTCCTCCATGCGATCTCCCAGCCTGTCCTCCAGTTCTTCTACGATCTGCACATTGTATTGAATGGTCAGTGGGGCCGCGGTGAAACTAAGAGAGTGCATCATACAACATACAGTTCCACAGCAAGTGTTGGAGCAAGATTCACCACCTGCAGCTTCTCCGCCTTCGTTAGCTCGTAGGGTGCAAGATCCTTCACGAGCTTCGTAACTCCTTCCGCGGACTGAGACGACGTTGGGAGGTAGTCAGCTGAGAGGTAACCAATAGCCTGCATAGAACAATTAGTAAACCTGTATTAAAGCTCATCAAAATTCCGTACCTCCACTTCGATAGTTCTTAGATTTTCCGTCGCCTCCAGATGCGCATTGATATTTGCTAATGTAGAGGACCCATGAACAGTTCCAGAGGCCTCTTCCTCTTTCTTGATGCGTTGTGCTAACTTTGTGCGGGTGAGGTGATCACTCTCGAGCTCCCGCAGCAACGTGAGGACTTCAAGATTTGACAAAAGTGCAACGCGTGGGTTGACTACCTTTGGTTCATTAGTGGGATATCCATCACAGAACCGAGAGAAAAACATACCTCCATTGATTATGGACTCACGTTCGAAGATATGTGTAGATCTGTTTGGTTATATAGTTACAACGCTTGGCTTCAAGAGTTCAAATAGCCATTAATGATCGCTCTGGCACGAAATTTTAGGGGTTCTGGGCAAGTTTTGTGGTCAACGTCATATGGCAAGAAAGGGGAGGGAATTTTCCACGGATGAGAATTTTTTTTGTTTGTCAGGCGTTGGTCAGGCGCTATAGATATTTTAGTGGGCAAGAAAAATGCCCTTTGCCACCAATATCTACACCAAGTACAAAGAAGTCGTATTCGCACCGACAGAGATGATTTGCTACCGCGATAGTGAGGAATGTGGCCCTTCTGGACAGATACATGTCAAGTTACGTAAGGATCCTGCATGATGGTCGACAAACAAAGACTCAAACAAAGGTAATACTATTCCATACCGTCGCAATTGGTTGGGAATATCCTCAGCAGCCATCCTTGACTTTTGCACCAAGTAAGGATCGCATTATTTATCTATCTTAGCGCTGCTGATTTCCTGGATTTCTGCCGCTTTTTCAGCCATTTTTATCGCATTAAAAAGTAATGCAACGACCAGGTGAGTAGCGAACGCATGCTGCTCTTTTTGCACCACTTATCGCGCAATTTTGTTTTCAATCAATCATTCCAGGTCAACCACAGCAGAGGGCGCCAAGTCTGGCAGCCCAACCTGGTCTCGCGAGCCAGTTCCGACCACAATATCCCAGTTACGGAATGCCACCAAGAAATGTTCTCCAGGCGACCGGCGGTTATGTGCCTAGCCTCCAACCGAACGCCCATCGAACGACTACACAGCAATCCCAGGTGCAGACCATCACAACTCAGCCTGTCTCAAATTTTCTGCAAGCACGCGGACAAAGCAGCTACGGATTTGGTGGAGCTCTTAGCCAGCATCAACAATCAAGCACACTGCAGCAACAACTATCATCTCAGCAGCAGCAACAAACGAACGGGACTTCAAGCTCGATGCCTCCGCATATCACACAACCGTCAGGGCTCGGGACATCACCCTCAGTGTCATCAACGAGTGAGGTTGGCTTAGACCCTAACGACTTCCCCGCCCTCGGATCCACGCCAACGAATAACGCGACGAGCAGTAGCAATAATGGCACGGTTGCGGGCCCAACAACAAGCTACGCCAGTCAGGCGGGGACGGGAGTGCCGCTAGGCGGAACAGGGGTCGGGTCAAGTGCAGGAACAATTGGCGGGGGCAGTGGATCGGTGACGCAGGCGAGGGATTTCACCCCAGATGATTTTCCTGCATTAGGAGGACAGTCACAGACAAGCCAAAGCCAGAACTCGCTGCAAAGTCAACTTTCGAGCCAAGAGAACCCCTCACATCCACCAGGACTGAATGGTTTCCAATCATTAGATCAACATCGCCAGAATCCCTTGAGCGCTCTTGGTGGTACGCTGCAGCCGGGAACGCCGGGTTTGTTGAACTTGGGAACGACCCAGACACGGAACGTTCATCCTGGCTTTCAGCAACAAAGCCAGACGGAAGCGGAGAAGCAGCAACAGAGGGTGAGCTCTTTCGGCTTTTTTTTACCACTTCTGCGACATGTGTCAAACCACGCGCAACACTCATTTTGTCATTGATGCTGGTCTGACTGGGTTACAGAGCAACTATTCTTTGAAGTTGAATCAGGCGTCGCACGCGGCGTGGAATTCGCCGAACCTCAATCCCAGCTCTCAATCACAACAACTAAGTGGTGCTGCTAGCAGTGTGGGTTTTCATCCGATATGAGTACAAACGAGGTGCTTAACCGTGTTTCGGGCGCTCCAGCAAAATGGCCAAAGCACACATCCCACCGCACCACCAGGTGTTCCTCCCCCGACATCGGGTTTACTTTCGCAGTCAGCGACGCATGCTTCCGGTACAGTTGCTAGCACGGCCGTGCCAACGAGCGCACCACCGCCGTACACATCAAACGGCCTTGCACCAGGCGATCTGAACACGACCAACCCGAACCACAATGGAAATACGCATCCGAGCAACACAACGCCGAACCCAAATCCCACATCATTGCAAGCAAACTCAACATCGCACCTACAGCACCCACAAACCCCAGCCCAACAAGTGCTGATAAGCGCCGCGGACAGATGGGGCCTACTAGCGCTCATCGCCATGATGAGAAATGCGAACGTAGATGCAGATCATGGTCTGAGCAGCATAGGAACAGATTTAGGAACGATGGGGTTGGACATGGGATACCCTGGGTGAGTTGCGTTGCGGGATCGAATTTCACAAGCTTAACGGACGTAAATCAGGAATCTGTATTCGACGTTCATCACACCATGGGCAGATCAATCGGCAGCACGCTCAGTGGAACCCGATTTTAACCTACCAGCATGCTATCTTAGCGTGCAAGCGCCACCACCTGGGCCAATTAAGGCTGCTATGTTTAGTGATGAGACGCTATTTTTCATGTTCTATTCGCATCCGAGGGATGCACTCCAAGAAATAGCTGCGCAAGAATTGTGAGGAATTGTCCTTCTATCTTAACTCTTGACTCGTGCCTCCGTTTTACTTTCCCATTGATTCATGGTGCTCCAATCCTCGTTGCTCACTGCATGTCATTTCTCATTTCAGATGGAACCGCAATTGGAGATACCATAAAGAACTTCGGCTATGGATAACGAAAGAAAGCGGTACATCACCTTCCCAGAAGGTACAAGGGGGAGCAGGCGAGCAAGGACAATACACGTTCTGGGATCCAGAAAACTGGGGAAAGGAGCGAAAAGGTATGACAGTGTTGTACACTGATCTGGAAGAGAAGTCAATTCCTGCATTCGTACCTGGGCCGGGATTGGTGTTGGCGCCGCAGACAACGGGACAGGGGCAGACAGCAGGTCAGCAGGTTCAGCAAGGGCAGCAGGGACAGGTGCCAACGTCGCAAAGAGGCTCGTTTCAAATGAGCATCCCAGGATTGTGAGGCGATTGATTCCCTTTCCTCGTATTTGCTGTTCCCGCTCCTACTGCCTGACATTATTTTTCATTGTTGCTTGTTCTCCATCCACCAACCCTTTTCTTTCTGACCTCTGTACCACACTGTACTTGACGTGATCTCTATAACAATGCTCGTGTGTTGGTCCACATCGTCCGATGTAGCAAACAGATTGTTAAAATTGGATTGAGGTGATCATCGTATAATTCATTTTACGGGAGTTTCAAGGCAAATGGAGTGGCACTTCCAAAGGCGAAGGCCTGTTGTGTCCGACATGGTGAGCGAGCCTTCCTGTGGGTTCCTCGGGTGATGATCGACTGCCCACCTATTCTCGCGACTTGCATGCACGATCCGGCTTGGTATCTTATCCATGATTAGAGCGATGCTAATTGCGACCATATATAAACCGCCCTTCAAAGCATCGCTCTCTCCGCAAAAGTCCCGCTTGGAATTCCCCTTGTTACAAGTCAGCAAGCGGCATCACTTTGAAAATGTCTGAACAGGATACTCAACTTCCCGCTCTCTCTCGCGCTGGGCACGTCTCCCATTGTTCCCGTTTTATAAATGGTGAGCGCCACTCTAGGCTACGGTACATCCTCTTGCTTATCGCCTGCGTCAGGTCTTCCTGGGACCAGGACTGATCTTGACCCATCACGGTGATCTCGGCTGACTTGACGAGTTCTCAACGTTGCATTCTTATCTTTGTCGTAGATTGGCCATTGCCTTCTACTGTATCGGTTCCCTTGACTTGCTTGGTGAACTAGACGGGCGTATAACCCAAGCCGAACGCGAATCGTGGAGAGAATGGGTCTGGGAGCAACAAGCAGGTCGGCAGTTTGGCGCCAGACGTAGAACCCTACTCACACCTAGTTCTCTTCGCAGGGGGAAAACATGGGACTGGCTTCAGACCAAGTCCTTTCATGGTTGCGCAGGGCGGTCCTTTGGCACCACCAACGGTTTGTGATCCGTTTCCGAAGTCACATATAGTTTTGACATGGTGCCCTTAGACCAACTATGCACATTGCGATACACCCCACATCATCATGACGTACACCGCACTACTTACCCTTGCCATTCTTCGCGATGACTTTTCCAAATTGGACCGATCAGGGCTGCTTAAATTCCTCCGGTCCTGTCAAAGGGAGGACGGAAGGTAGGTTTCTATTTTGGAAGCGCTTACATGCTCGTTCAGTGCATTCCTTAGTTTCTCCACTACACCTGGAAGCGGCGAATCGGACCTTCGCACTCTGTACTGTGCTTTTGCTATTAGCAGCATGCTTAATGACTGGAGCGGCATCGATGTTGCTCGAGCTACATCATTTATTGCCTTGTGCAGGGTATGTCAACGTGGGCTCACAAATTATCATTGCTGAGCAGCGATTACTTGCCAGACATATGAAGGGGGATACGGGCAGTCGCCATTTTGCGAAGCGCAAGGTGTATACTCTCCTCAATGTTACTTCTGACCGGTCCCTGACCTCGGCAAAGGAGGAACGACGTACATTGCCATAGCGTCGCTTGGGCTGATGCCCTCGACATTTTCCCAACGCCTGACAACATCTGAGCGACAGAAGACTATACAATGGTTGTTGAGCAACCAACATGAATCTGGAGGATTTTGTGGGCGGACCAACAAGGATGCAGACGCTTGCTACTGCTTCTGGTGCGGCGCTGCTTTGAAGGTATATCACGATCCTGCCACATGCGACGACTCCTGATGATCATGTTACCTCTAAGATTCTCGGCGCGGGTAACTTCGTCGACGCCCGCGCTCTCGCAGGCTTCATCGCGCGATGCCAGTTTAAATTCGGCGGCATCGCGAAAGCCCCAGGTGAAACACCTGGTATGTATTCCCTCGTTTCCAAAGCCATCCATGATTCACATTTCAATGTTGCAGATCCCTACCACACTTACCTCTCATTGGCGGCATTGTCCATGTACCCGCCCAAAACATTCGATGGGGACGCCCGTCCGGAGACCTGGACGTTTGACCCCTTGGATCCTTTGCTAAACGCGAGGATGGGGACTGCCCTATGGGCCCGGAAATATATTCCGGCGGTCTGAAGCGAAACAGCCAAAATTTCGCTTGTTACATTTTCTCCTTGCGCCTACCATGTTATTGTCTCATGATGTACCCTGTCATTCATATTTCAAGCAGCCTGCTGCCGGCAGCTTAATCGATACTGTGTTGTCTACCTCTCGTCGGCAAGCTTCTTTTCTTTTTTGTTTGCAACGCCCATACCTCGAGGAGCCGATAAAGGCCTGAATCGACGCCGAACCCTCAATTTCCAAGTTGATCGATTTCATTTCCCCCACCGGCCATTTGGAAGGCTCAAGCTTATGAATGGAAGAAAATAATTGCAGACGGCATAATTCTTCTTGATCTAGAGTGCTTTGCAACGTTGGTATCGGCGATTTCACTGTCGAAAATCATAATTGCTCTGGTCGTAGAAATCAGGTACACTGCTACTCAGTTACAAGGACTATAGAGTCCGCGAACCCTCCGGCGAAACTTTGCAAGGTTTTGATTATTTCTACACCGCTAGTTCTCCAAGAATAGCATTTAAGTCTTTCAAGCTCATGAAACAAGTGCATAAGCCCCTTCGCACCCGAGATTCTGGCGCGATCTTGAGGTTCTTCTGCTCTTTTCAAAAGTGAACGATCGGAGGACGGGCCATTATGTGGGTCGCCAAAGTCTGCCCAGCCGGTGTGTAATTTGAAGGGCAAAAGGTTGCCAAAGATTACAAAACAAACGTTCAGGTGTTGTAACTTTCGAAGGTTAACCTTGAAGCAGCCAGGCGCCGACTGGAGGCCTCGAATTGGACCGTCCAACAAACAGTGGTGCCAAAGAAAAAGAGCTTGATCTTGTCCCACCCACAATTCCTCCTCAAACACCTGCTTCCAGCGAAAATTCAGAGTTCAATTGATTCAACAAAGAGAAGTGGAGCTTGAGAACCGGATCAAAAAGACCGATGGGCTCATCAATTGAGCTGATATCGTCGGTGAAAAGATGCTATGCATAGGGCGAAGCCAACGGCGTCTGAAGTGGTCTCAGCAGTTTGTTTATAGTGGTCAAATGAGGCAGCATCGGATGGTTCGATGACCAGAGCGGTGCAAATTTGAAACTTGACATCAGTCGGAGGCGGTGTGACCATTGTGACTGGTCGCCATATACGTGACAAGAACGTAAGCTAGCAAGTCATCCCCCGCTTTTGTTGTTCGACGTAACCACGACTGAGTCTCTGCTCATCGTCACTTCCTTTCCTCTGTGCTCGTCGTTTATTGCGTTGACCACGTACTTCGCTAGACCGGCAGGCTCCGCTGGTCTCGTCTAGACAAACACCGCTACGAGGGCGACGATTTTACGGTTTCACAACCGCCCGTCTTCCTACTCGCATCTTGTTTGCTTCTAGCTCAGTCCACAGACTCGACGTCAGGACATTCACGGCTCTTTTTCAAGTGAAACCACCACACCCATCTTCTGAAGAAATCAACCCGAGTTCACTGAACAAGTTTCTCATTCACACCAACCTCTTACCACAACCCCCTTTTTACACACAATGAGTCTTCGTCCGCCTTCTACCAGTCCGAGCCCGTCGCCTGTATATGAGAATGGCAAATCTATCGCACGCCAATCGATGGGACCGTCGGCTCGTGGCACTCCGACGCTAGCCCCAGCCTCACCACGCCCTGGAGGACAACCTAGTGCAAGGCCCACTAGTGAGCTATTGGGTAGCGGTACCATGTTCCAAACGCCTGAAGGTAATATCATCTTTTAATACATCTGATTTGAAACTTATCCATGGTACAGCGGAAGCACTCGATCAGTGGTTTGAAAACCTCCAAAACTATGAAGCCACTTTGGTAAGTTATCAGTTTTCGTCTTCATCTAGATTTTGACAGTATCTGTAGGAGGATATGGCTGCTGCCTCGCTCGATGTAAATTTTAAAGAAGAGCTCAGCGCCATTGAGCAATGTACGTTTCAATGACGTTAGCGCTTACACGTTCATTGACCTATCTAATGAATAGGGTTCAAAGTTCTCTCTGAAGCAGAGCGCACAGCCGCTCTTTACAGTCTTCTCCAACATTCTACTCAAGTTCAAATCAGATTTTTCATTACCGTTCTTCAACAAATGGCTAGGTCTGATCCTATGACGGCGCTTCTCAGCCCAGCTATGGGAGGTTCGTTTAGCTTCCCTTTCCATTGTACTTATCATTTCAACTTGACGCTGTAGGATCAATGCAAAGCCAGATGGAGGCCAAACTTGCAAGCATCAAGTCCCCTGGCCTGAAGTCTGGGCTACCCTCTTCGCCAACCACACGCAATTTTAGTGCTGGGAATCGCCAGTCACTAGCTCTGGACAACTCTTCAAACTTCCTTTCGCCTGAGTCTGCGGCGAACCCTGGTGGTCAGGATGCTGCCGCCACTCTCGCTCAGCAGAGGGCAAAACTCAAGGCTAGTAATGCTGCACACCGCATTTCCGCGCCTGTTTTAGCTTCTCCCGGCACGGACATACGTGCTTCTTGGGGACCCTCTACCCTCTTGAGCCAAGTCACCGAACAGAATCCGCCTGTTCAGGAGGTTGTCATTGGTACCTCTCGTCCTAAGAGCACCGAGTTCTCCGGCACCATCGGATCTCCTCGTCCCACGGAGACGGAGAACAACAGTTGGGCAAGTATGGTCAATACTCCCCTCATACCCATGTTTAAGGACACTCGCCCGCCCCCTTCCGTTCAGGCCGTCGACCCTGCCGCTCCGAAGCACTGGTCTAGAAATGATGCGGCTCCGGGCGTTCCGCGCATGGGCGATCCCACCAGTCGTCGCCGCAACAACAAGCTCAATGGCGACAATCAGAATAGCGGGAATATCTACGATGATAACGGGAACCCGATCAATGCAGGTCAACATCAAGGTGGCGCTGGCGTAAGGAACGCATCAGGAGGTTGGTCAGGAACCAGGAGCCCGGCGCTCTCCAACACATCCTCGAACAGGTTCGGAAATGATGACAATAACAATGGAATGAACGGACTTGGGATGCAGATGGGAGGATTTGGCATGGGCTTAGGAAGCCCGACGATGGGTATGGGGATGCCCCTTGGGGGAATGCAGCCACTGAGTCCGTTCAATATGAATTTGAACATGCTCAGCGCGATGGGAATCTCTCCCGAGGCTCAGCTTCTGGCAGCACAGATGGCCGCGAGTGGGTTCGGACAACAAACCAATTGGCTCGGAATGCAGCCAATGTCTGCTGGGCTGAATAACCGGCGCAATGGGCCCCCGAGTGGGCGTTCGCCCGGCCTCAAGAGCGCGTCGAGTGTGGGGAGCCGCATGGACGGCAACAACACGCCAAAGGGAGAGGAGGACGTGGATCCGGCGCTGTTGAACGACATCCCAGGATGGTTGAGGAGCTTAAGGCTGCATAAGTATACTCCGAACTTCGAAGGTGCGAAGTGGCAGGATATGGTAATGATGGATGAGGCCGCGCTCGAGGCGAAGGGCGTCGCGGCGCTGGGAGCAAGGCGGAAGATGTTGAAGACATTCGAGCTCGTCAGGAAGAAAATGGGGATGGAGGAACCGCCGAACAGTGCTCTTCCGAGTGCTTCCGATGGAAGAGGCTGAGGGCGTAGCAGATTGGCTGAGTTCTTGAATGATGAACAAGCAGTATACCATTTTCTCTTTCTTTCCCAAGTTTTACTCCTCCCCACTCTCAGAATTTTCAAAAGTGAACGCTTCCGATTCTCCCCCCTATGTCTCCCCTCTCACAGGACACTATGACTTGATGCGTAATAGGTCTTTCTTCCATTCCACGTATCTCAGCCCATCTCTCGACAGTACTGTAAAGGCCTGCCAACGTCGGTGCGATATGTATTTGAAGCGTGTAACAGTCTTTTCCTACAATGTATCGGCCGCAGATAGCCTCGGACCGACCGCCGCTGCCAGTGGGCGCTGGATATGTCTGATATGTATACCCCAAGTGCACCCCGTTTTTGCTTTTGTTTCCGTATTCAGGCTGTACAATGCTACAAATGTCGCAATTATCCCATTATCCCCGTGGTCCATCCTTCCAGAGTTCCTTATCATTTGTTGATTGGTTCTTCAACGTCAATCTATTCTCCCAACAACGCCCCTTTTCTGGATTCTTTCGTGTGGTGCCACTGTGCTGATTTGAGTCCCCTTTTATCGGGTCATATATAAGAAGATCTCGTTATAGCTCTTCAAACAGCTCTTCTCCTTCTGCCTTGAACATGGCACCTAAATCGAATCACTCCAGTCGCAATGGCTCCCCGCTGCGCCCTGCTTTCTCGGGCACAGCGTATTACAGACCAGACAACATGTCCGTTGCTGATGACCTGCACCCCGTCATCCAGCCTGGTCGCGTGGCCGTCATCACTGGCGCTGCGAGTGGTATTGGGCGTGCGGCTGCAAAAGAATTTGCAAGGTATGCTTCATTTCGTTCTGTTTTTTTTTTTTTGCTTTCTCCTTGTAAATACTATATGGAGCTAGACATACTGATAACAATTACCTTTCTCATGTAGGATTGGATTAAAAATCGCCATCGCTGACGTTCAAGAGGATAAGCTGCTTAGTGTCGGAAAGGAGCTTGCCGTCGTGATCGGCGAAGCAAACATCTTGATCGTCCCAACTGATGTTTCCAAGCTGGATCAGGTCGTAGCTTTGAGAGATCGAGTTTATGAAGCTTGGGGAGAGGTGAGGATCGCTGGCCGTCCTCTCTCCCTCTTTCTTCTCCTTCATCAAATCCTTCTTCATCTTCCAACTTCTACCCATCCATGTACCCCCACATTGCTGTACCCCTCATTCCCGAAATTCGCTCTCGCTCCCCGTTCCACACCCTTATATGTGCTCACCGTGATGTAGGTCGCCGTGCTCATGAATAACGCTGGCGTTGGTAACGTAGGGACTTCCTGGGATGGCATCGAGAATTGGCGCAAGGTATTTGACGTCAATTTGTTTGGGTGAGTGGCCACCCTCTTCTCCCTCCTTGTTCGATATTGATTGCTGATACTTCATCGCAGGATCGTGAACGTGCAGCAAACTTTTGTTCCTGTAAGCTGTCCTTGTACCCTTTAAAAAAACCGTAATCATAATACTCGTATCCAGAGTATGCTCCATCAAGAGAATCCAGCCATGGTCATTAATACTGGATCCAAGCAAGGCATCACAAATCCACCGTATGTATTGGTTGAAATATCTTTTCGCACACTGTCCCTGAGGATTGACCCGCGCTGATTGTAGGGGCAACGCAGCTTACAACGCGTCCAAAGCTGCAGTTAAAAGTCTCACAGAGGGCTTATCGTACGAGTTGCGCGAAAACGCTCGTAGCAACGTGACCGCACATCTTTTCATGTAAGTTTCCGTCTCACCGAGTTATAACCGAATCTATTGAATTACAATCACTCCACAGCCCAGGATGGACCTTCACTGAACTGACTGGATCCAATGACTCAACAGAAAAACCAGCTGGGGCTTGGTCGGCTGAAGAAACTGTTCTGTATATGCTTGACAAAGTCCGATCTGGAGACTTCTACATAATTGTTCCAGATAACGAAACGAAGAGAGAAGTCGACCAGTTGAGGATTATGTGGGCAGCGGCGGATGTTGCCGAGGGAAGACCGGCGTTGAGTCGGTGGGACCCTCAGTACAAGGCGCTCTATGAGGAGTACATGAGGGATGGGCTTGCTCAGTTGGAGTGATCGGACGAAGAAAAAACGGAAGCTGTATGTTATGGGAGAAAGGAAAATCACTTGTATGTTATTCATAGACTTTTTCTTTTGTCTTGCCGAAGTCTTTTATTCTTTCAAAGACTCGCTTAGTTATTTTTTTACCTTCCGTAGTCGTCATTCAACATGACAATCGCGACGTCAGGAAGAGGTCCGGGCGAAGAGAACGCGGGAAATCTTACGGCCGAAAATTGACGTCAAAGAGAGCACAAAATTTGAACTTGTAGACAACTTGTAGATGGCCGCAGTACAAGTAGATCAAGCTCCGTCCGCGCATAGCCGTGAACAGAAAGCCGTCGCCGACGCGCTCCTGCGCAAGAATGAGGGAATTATGACCAATATCTTAGGCATAGGCACTGATATGTGGGTCACAAGCTCCCTCCTTACACGTTTTGAAGAAATTTTGGGGATATGTATGTGAAAGTACTAAGGGTTATGAGCAGAGAAGAAGTCAGGAGTTATTCTATCAGGGTTCGACTTGACAAGAACATCCCATGAAATCACAAACGTTCGGAAAGATGCACGTCTGCCAAGTGGCAACCGTACCAGAAATATGATATGACTGGTAAGAGCAAGTTCATACCTGTTCATACCGGCGCATAGCAGTCATGTGTTCCCTGAAACGCTCAAGCTCCGAGTTCGCTTCATTTTGTTTCCACCCTATGTTCTTTACAGCTGTAAACAAAGATCATATATAAGAACCCCGCCTCACCCCCCACATTCATCTTACCGCTCATCTCCCATCGATGTCCACTCCCGTTGAACCTACTGCGCGCGTAGCGCTGCTAAACAATGCCAACAAACTCACTCAACGTCTCCTCGACGTGAGCTCTGCACACGGCAGCGAAGCGTCCTTGCATCGCGTCGATAATGCGCCAGGATACACGACGCCCATTTTCAAAGGCAAGGAGGAACAACGTGCGTTGGTTGAGAGTGACGTCGCCGCAAAGGTTATCTTGTGCCTTATTCAGCCATCACCATAACTTTCTGACCAGCTATGTTGCGTAGGGCTTCATCCCCCGCGAGCTCGTCGCAGGCGAAGTCAACTGGTTTTACTCCAACCTCGGCATCGACGATACCTACTTCCAGAATGAATCGCGCGAGGTCATCTCAGACCATATCATTGCCCTGTTTGGAGCCAAGATCCTGGCATATACGAAGCATGATCCGACTAAGCTTGTTATTGACCTGGAGAAAATCGACGAGAACGGCAACGGCGCGACGTTCATTCATACCAGTGCTCCCGGCTTGACGACCACAGAAGGACCAGGCGCGACCTGCGAAGCTAGGTCTGTTTTTTTTCTCTTCCCATTAACGGCTATTTTCTTTGGGGCGTTGGATCCAGGGTTATCCCCTCTTGATCATGGGCTTGGTTGCCTTCATCATGTAGGCTGAGATCCGCGACGCCGAGTGTCACTTTCTACCCTCATCAAATTGTTGATGTGAATAACAAATCTAATTCGTTCCCTCCCTTGATACAGAATCGATGAATTATTTTTGGACAAATCCACACCTACAGACGCGTACAGACTCGAGACTTTCCGCTCTACGGGGTCCATCTCCGCCACCGCGTCGCAGCAGCTCAGGTGTTACTTTGTTACGAAATGCAACTTCCCCTCGAAGCCTCCCGCTCCTGGTGAGAAGACGGACATTCGAGCTGTCTCGGACTCGTCCTTCTTGGAGAAAGCTACGGCGAATACCCTGGATATATATCAGCAGGTATAGTATTCTTAATGGCTAAGTGAGGATCGGGTTTGACCAATCGCTGTAGGTTATGTGGAGTGTAGAGTCGAGGCATGGCCCTGTAATCGAGCTCTATGAAGTTGAAGGTACCCGCGAGAGGAGATTAGTCATTGGGTACAAGATGGGCGGAACGTCAAGATTCTTCAGCGCTCTGTCAAACTTGTACCATTTCTACTCCCTCTACTCGGCACGCAAGTATGTCGGTGAGTTTGATGTGATCTGTTAACCCCCCCAAACCTGGATTCCTAACTTTTATCTAGAACAATTCTCCAACGGTGTTACCATTATCTCCCTATACCTAAACCCTCTCCCCAACACCAACGCGCCCCCTATTGAGCACTCCATCTTCCAAGTCATGAAAGAAGCCTCGCTTCTCTTCTGTCTCCCTGACAACCCATACTTCCTTCCCAAGTCTCCGGGAAGCCATGCGGTTCAAGAAGCGACATATGCTTGTGCGTGGTTCTTCCTCCACGCATCATAGAAATGAACTCACAGTGCACAGATTGTGGCTGGATCTTCGCACAACACTTCTGCAATCGTCTTGGCCCGGCATATTTGCAGCTCAAAAATGTGTTGAACGAGAACGACGTGGCGCACGCAGAGGTGCTGAACGACATCAAGCGCAGGTTCCGCGAAGAAACCTTTACGCGTGAAAGTATTGCGCAAGTAATTCATGCCCACCCCGATCTTGCAAGTTTTTAACTCGTGCAATAAATTCTAGTCACTAACGAGAACTCCTTCAGATCCGCTTGTTGTACGTCAACTTTGCGATGACTCATTATCCTCCATCGGACGACGCGTCGAAGTTGATGTCAGTTAACTTTTCTTTTTTTTTTTGTGGAAAAAGTCTTTGAAACTGAAAGAACACATAGGCCGACTCTATCGTACCAACGCTTGCAAACCGTTCAACCCCTGAGCGACGCAGAGTTGTATGACAAGATTCGCCGAACCGTACCGAATAAGCACGAATTGCAAGTTCTGGAGAGCTTCCTCATCTTCAACAAGTGCGCGTTTTCTTATTCTCGTCTTGTCCATAGTCTTAACATGGTGGAAAATTTTAGACATGTCCTCAAGACCAACTTCTACCAGCCTACCAAAGTAGCGCTGTCATTCAGGCTTGCACCAGACTTCTTACCCGAGGTCGAGTACCCAAAGCAACCTTACGGAATGTTCTTTGTTATTGGTGGGATATTCTAATTTTTTGGCTTGGGAGGAGGTTGAGACTGATACCGTTGCGTATGCAGGCAACGAGTTCCGAGGATTCCACATACGTTTCCGTGACGTCGCTCGTGGTGGCATCCGGATTGTTATGTCGAGGAACAAAGAAAATTACTCGATTAACCAGAGGATGTTGTTCGATGAGAATTACGGCCTTGCATCCACACAATCGCTCAAGAACAAGGATATCCCTGAGGGAGGTGCGAAGGGAACCATCTTGCCATCGTTCGTATCTGTTCTCCCTTCACCCGATTTCCGTCGCTCATTACATAAATTAGCCTCGGAGCAACTCCGAAGCGATGCTTTGAGAAGTATGTCGATGTGAGCAGCGTTGGGTATCATTGAAAGGAAGAAATGAATGACACAGTTATCTTTTAGGCGATTATCGACCTTCTCATTCCTGGTCAGACTCCCGGTATCAAGGAGCCCATCGTTGATCTCTATGGAAAACCAGAGCTTTTGTTCTTTGGTCCTGATGGTAAGTCGTATCCCCGTAATCGCTGTGTGATCTTGCTGACAATTTGTGTCCTGTAGAGGGTACTGCTGATATGATGGATTGGGCTGCCAGTAAGCCGTTACTGCACATGAACTTCCGCTAAGCTAACATCTTTGTTCGTTCGCAGCTCATGCTCGTGCTCGTGGAGCTGAGACATGGTGGAAGTCGTTCACGACAGGAAAGAGTGCAGAGACGCTTGGTGGTATTCCTCACGATACCTATGGCATGACTTCGCTGTCTATCCGCCAGTATGTCCTCGGGTTGTACAAGCAGCTCGGGTTAAGGGAGAAAGATGTTACCAAGGTGCAGACTGGTGGTCCCGGTATGTCATTTGTCCCTGTCCCTGCCTTTCCTTGGGCTGATAATGGATGTGTGTTCGTTCAGATGGTGATCTTGGTTCCAGTGCGTACTAGTTTTGGGACAAGGTCAAAGAGGGTCTAACAATACCTTCTTTAGATGAGATCTTGCTTTCGTCAGACAAGACGGTTGCTATCATTGATGGTAGCGGTGTTCTTGCCGACCCAGTGGGTATTGACCGTGCGGAGCTTGTGCGCCTCGCAAAGTTGCGCGTTCCTGTCAGTAACTTCAACACCGCGAAGCTGAGCAAAGACGGCTATCTGGTCAAGGTTGAGGACCAGGACGTCAAATTACCTTGTGAGTTTTTCCTCATCCCCGAGCCTTCTTTGCGTCCCTGACGAATCAATACCTCCCAGCTGGTGAGGTCGTCCTTGACGGCACCGACTTCCGAAACGGCGCTCACTTACGTTTCAAGGCGGATCTTTTTGTTCCTTGTGGTGGACGGTCAGTCATTGTTCTTTTTTTCAAGCGAGGAAGTCAGCGCTGAAATCAAACGCAGACCGGAGGCTGTCAACATCTCCAACATGGCGGCTCTCGTCGATTCAGAGGGCAAGCCCCACTTCAAGTATATCATTGAGGGCGCCAACTTGTTCCTCACACAACAGGCTCGTCTCCACCTCGAGAAGCGCAAGGTCATCCTATTCAAGGATTCCAGTACCAACAAAGGTTTGTTTTGCGCTCGTTTCGCATCGTAGCACGATTTTGATGAGATGTAGGTGGCGTAACGAGTTCGTCTCTGGAAGTGCTTGCTGGTCTCGCCCTGTCGACTCAGGAATACATCGACCTTATGGTCTTCAAAGACGGCAAACCCTCCCAATTCTACCAAAGCTACGTCAAGGATGTGCAAGCCAAGATCACAGAGAATGCTGCTGCCGAATTTCACTGCATCTGGCGCGAGCATTCTCGTTTGCAAGGCACCAAGCCTCGCACAACCATCTCTGACGAGCTTTCGTCGACGCTCAACAACTTGCAAGCCGAGTTGGAGAGCTCGGATCTGTTTGATGATGTTCCCAGCAGGAAGGGCGTCATTCGCCGTGCCATCCCCAAGACGCTTGTTGATCAAGTGGGGTTGGAGGCGCTCTTGGAGAGACTGCCAGAGCCATACCAGCGTGCACTGTTCTCGAGTTGGGTCGCTTCGCATTTCGTGAGTCTCCGTTTCTCGCCTTTTTGCCATTCGTCAGAGCTGACGGATATCAGATTTACAAATATGGTGTGAACGGATCCAGCGTCGATTTCTTCCACTTTGCTAGGGACCTTGCCAGCCCTTGAACATTTGCTCTCTGATCGGAATTATCAAAGGAAAGGAAAGGAATGAAAAGGAAAAGGAAAAAAGGGAAAGCATATCAACTACATAAACCAAAAGCTTTCCGCAATGGACCTCCGCTAGTTACCCTAGACTGTATCACTATATCTCGTCGTGTTGATTTGACCAAGTTTCTGCATCTGTCAGCATCTGTGTCAGTGTGTCGGACTCTGACACGTGACTGATATCACTTCGTCACATGCGCTCCCAGTCGTTGAGCTTGCTTGGAGCTCTTGAAGAAACCTCTGAAGCTACTTACTCATTGTCCAGGATATTATGATGGGTCATCACCACCATATTGTTCTCCCAGATAAACCTGATCATGGTCTCCTACTTGCCAATCGGCGAACCGAAAGCACATTCGAGGAGATTCCAGTCATGTTAGGATCCTTGTCCATCCCCGTTAGATGAGACTTTCATGCGCTACTGATTTGTTCTTTCAATCGACCCAGCGACATTCAAGATGCCAAAAGTGCAGACCCCACGCTGAGACGGCAGCTAGCTTATCGCATTCGGGACGCCTGCGTTAATGTGGGTAGTACTCCACTAGCCTTATTGTTCACTTGTCGACACAATGAATGGCAACTTTTAGGTCGGATTCTTTTACGGTTCGTAATCTCGTGGAATTAAGGAAGGTGCAATATGGACCATCTTGAACTAATCTCTTTAGTGAAGAACCACGGTATTCCTGAGGAGGATATTGCTAATACTATCAAAGCCGCCAAACAATTCTTTGCCCTTCCAGAATCTACGAAGATGGGTGTTCGTCTTCTCCTTCAATCAGCGCATGATAATTATTCTGATGGTAATGGACCGCCCTTTAGCTCGATATCCACAAGTCACCGAACTATAAAGGCTACACCGCTCTTCTAGGCGAAAATACTGACGTATCAGGACTTGGCGACCTTCATGAAGGTTTCGATATTGGATGGGAGCCTCGTTATTTTGCGGAACATATGAATTCACCGGCGAGAAGCGATGGCGCCATGACGGGAGCGAATGTATGGCCAGAAGACCTGCCGGGTTTTAAAGAAGCGGTCCTCAATTACTAGTGGGTGTTCGACTCACACCGTTGGATCTCTATTGGGCTTGATTGCCTCTGACACAACGTCTACAGTCATTTAGCTCTCATACTGGGCCAATCGTTGTTCCCTCTTTTTGCCCTAGCTCTCGATCTACCGGAAAATTACTTCGATGACAAGGTGCGTAAATTCTTAGGTTTAATAGCGGGTTGCGTTGTCAACGTTCAAATCCACAGACGACCAAGCCGGCTGCTATCATGCGACTTCTACACTACCCGCCACAGAATCCAATTCCCGTTGAGACTTACAGTCGCCAAATCGGAATAGGAGCGCACACTGAGTGCATTATTTCGTAAATGGGCCATTTTCCCCGCTGAAAATGCTTCTTCTGCAGCTACGAAGTAAGGATAAGGATCTACACACTATTTTCGCCTACAATTTTTATGACAGTGCTTTACAATCCTCTGGCAAGATCCTGCTGGTGGGTTACAGGTTCAAAACACTTCCGGTAAGTGGGTGGACGCAGTGCCCATACCGGGAACTCTTGTCGTGAAGTAAGCAATCCTCTTTTGATTTTCAACCTTCCTGATGAAGTGACGCGACGCACGGTCCAATAATTCTAGTCTCGGAGATCAATTTGCCCGCTGGACCAGTACGTTTCTCAAATCAGCTGTCGACCTCCACCCGCTGATCATCACGAGAAGACGATATCTTTAAGTCGACCTTGCATCGCGTAGTTAACCGCTCTGGGGTACAACGGTATTCCATTCCTCTTTTTTTCGGGACGGATTATCAAGTGCTTCTCGAGGTGGGTGATTCGATTGCAATTATGGCAAACGTTAATCCTACCTTGTAGCCTATACCCACATGCGTGTCCCCTGGCTCCCCTGCCAAGTATGAAGTTATTACTGCAGGAGAGTATGTCAAATCGAGACTCGAGGCTACTTATGCCCACTCGTCCAAAGAGTGATCAAGTAGGGTTTGAGGTAATTAACCTTTTACAGGCCTCCTCTGTATATGTCATCATCACATTTATTCGAGTTTGGGGTCCGTGAATTTTTGCTTGCTGGGGCGCCGAGTGCAAACCCCGGTTAAGTTGGAGCAATCTACAGGATAACAATGCAGCACGTTTAATTTTCAGATTTTGAGGGAATTAGCGCCTTCTTAGTGGCTTCAATACGTTGCACGAAGATCACGATCCACATGCATGGTTCGAGGAGCAGTAACTCCAAATCAAAAGAAAGCACAGTGGCAGGTCAACATCTTATTTAGTGCATACCTCCTGCGGGGTGTCCGGCGTCTCAGGCTCCGCACCCGTGAAGGTTCCTAATCCTCTAAGCAGCGGTTTCATATGCGCCTTCAGACGTGTGAATAGCAACTCAGTCGTTCGACATGTATAGCTGCCAGTCAAAGGGCTTACGAGACGAGTTGAAATGAGTCGAAGGACGAGGGGACATGACGTCAAAACACGGAAGAACGGGACCCGAAGGAGCGAAAGCCTAACGGTTTTATCTTGAAGATACATCGACCCTGCAGAACGAGGCTGCACAACGAGGGGAGATTAACATGAGCTAGTTCCCTATCACTGTCTTGCATAGAACGAAGTTGCCGCGTGTAATGCTGTGGCGACTAGTAGGGTCTAAACCGCGCCAAAGCAATCCAGTCAGAATTGAAACCAGGGAGGATCATGGATGCCAAAATGGCTGATGGTCATGGAATAGACAAGTTTCTAACTTTCGGAGGCACTTGTGGCTGGTACGTCGATGCCAGTAAGAGGATGTAAACAGCGGACTCGACTTGGATTGTGTGACGAGAGGGGCGGGGTAAGCGAGCGCTAAAGCAAAAATCGTCTCTCACTTCCACTGTCATCACTGTGGAGCACCACATTTTCCTTAAGACCTCGCTCATTGACAAACTAATCTCCGCGTGTTCCCATCTTCATTCAATGCCGCGCTTTATTTAATTCATCCATGGCTTTTATGTAGGGTCTTCAGCTGGGCATCGTTCGGATTGTCGAAGAATATCATGTCGTTTCGTTTCCGAGGAGAAATTAAAAGCTGCTCCGGTCTCCTCAGAAGCCATTTTGAGGGAAGCCAGCGCCACTAGCACGTCTCCCCCACTCTAGAATCTTCGTTACGACCTGTCTATCACCATAGGTAAGTTTTTATCTCGTCGGACAACCCTCGGGACTCCAGGGGACTCCATGCTGAATGTTGCACAGTGGACCTCGGACACCCCAGACATATCGGAGTATCTCAGTTTACACTATGGTCAAAGGCAGCTTTCGACTTCGACCGTGAGAGGGATTTTCGAGCTTTCAAGTGAAACCGCCAGTTAATCTACGATGTATGCTTGAACAGTGGTAAGATGCACCACCGAAACCGGTATACAATCCACTACAGGTTGCCCAATAATTTCCACCCTCTTGCACCTTGCTTGCACCGAGGCCGAGTCAGGTTTCCGCATCGCCGGCGGAACGGGCCATCAAACTTGAAGGGTTTATTTGCATGATTGTAGGTCATGCAAGCGCCAAGCTCTATAAAATCCCTGTTCAAATTCGTCGTCATTCACATCTACAAACCCCACACCTCTGGACGTGGAACCAACATTACAGCCTAGTCCCCACTCTGAACTTCCCTCGACATTCGTGGCTGTACTCATTCCATGGCTTCCTCTTCTTCCTTTACTTCCAATATGACTGGTCTACTAGCTCCAGAGTCTGACGTCAATCCGACTCCATACGCTTCACCTTTGCATCCCGCGAACATCTTCAATGTCGAAGGCCTTGTTGCCGTCATCACTGGGGGTGGGACAGGTAAGCACTTTCTGCTCGCATTTGTCCCGCTTGTTATGGGAGCTTCGATTGTTGTAATGATTAAGGATGTGAGCTAACAGTCTTCGTATTCTAGGCATCGGTCTCATGATGGCGACTGCGCTTGAAAACAATGGCGCTACTGTGTACATTGTCGGTCGGCGGCTTGAAATTCTTCGAAAGGCTGCTCGTGAGAATAGTGTAAGTTCATTTAATTTCAGTTTTGATCCCAAGAGGAAGTCAAAACAATCAAACTTCACTTTTTTCGATGGAAACCTGATTTTTTTCTCTGAAACAGAGATTCGGCAAAATCATTCCGCTGGAGGGGGATATAACGGACCGCGCTAGTCTGCTCACCATCGCAGAGACAATTAAAGCAGAGCAAGGGTATATTGACTTACTCGTCAATAATGCTGGTATCGCGAGAAACCTCTTTCCACACCCGTTACCTTCCCCAAACGGATCGAATATTAGCCACCCACCCTCGCCTCCCGCGTCCCCTGGGCCAAGTTCATCAGCACCTTCCATCAAAGCGTTCCAAAGTGTTTTATGGGACTGTGGATCACCCGAAGATTTTGCAGAGACATTTGCCATAAATACGACGGCGGTTTACTACACGACTGTCGCTTTCCTTGATCTTTTGCATCAGGGAAATCTTAGGCGACAACGACTTGCTTGCCAAACCACTGTGCCCAACCTCGCGCGCCCACCTTATCACACGTCTCAAGTTTTGTCTGTGTCATCCTCAGGATCTTTTCGAATAGACTCCAAAGTCCTTTCGCCGTCTTACACGCTTTCAAAAAGCGCGTGCACGCATCTGGGGAAACTCCTGGCCAACCTCCTCGCGCCTTGGGGCATCCGAAGCAATGTTTTGGCTCCAGGCGTCTGGCCGAGCGGTATGTTTATTTATAGGTATCTCCTGAAGCACGACGCCTAACATCCACGTTTTGTATTTAAACAGAAATGACAACATCCCCAACTCCGACATTTAAACTTGACCCTTTTGCCCTTGCAGAAGCTGTGCCGTTAAAGCGCACTGGATCTCAGGAGGTTCGTTGATATTTCATCTGTGATCGCTCGTCTCCTGAATGATCGGGGATTTGTAGGATATGGCAGGCACGATTTTGTTCCTCGCCAGTCGGGCTGGTGCGTACGTGAATGGCGCTGTGTGGCTTGTTGATGGTGGCCGCGTTGGTTGTGTGGCGAGCAACTATTAGCTCAACCTCTGGCTGTACGAGACTCTTCGGCTCTTCCTCCTTATTTATTATCGTCGGTAATAACGCGGCGCTAGTGTGATGTGATTTATACCTAGGATAAAAATACCCATTTTCTGTACAAATATGAAGCCTTGGAGATCCCGACACCTCAACGGATCGGAGGACATGCGACATCATACTTTAATGATCGTTAACGTTACTTGCATCGTCCGCGGTGATCGACAGAGGTTTCGTTTTCGTAGATGAAATCCGAGGAGCTTGCAGTCAAACAAAGGTCGACATGATACTCAGAAGTGACCACTGTCCAGTTTCCAAATTTATTGCAAGGAACGGCTCCGGTCTATATCCATTTTGAAATCAGCTGAAGGTCGGACGAAGTTCTCAAATTAAATTCTGTTTCCATCTCCACGTGCATTACATTATCGAAAAAGAAGGGGGAATCGTGATATCTATGTATGTCTCCGTAAAATGAAAGAACAAATCGAACACTCTAAAACTCCTCCTCCTCTGCCAGCAGCTTCTCCACCTCGAGCGCAGCCATACACCCACTTCCTGCGCTGGTGATAGCCTGTCGGAATTTCTTGTCCTGAACATCTCCTGCGGCGTAGACACCCTTTACTGATGTCTGCGTCGTGCCAGGAACCGTGATGATGTACCCATCGGGATCGGTCTCGAGCTGTGAGCGGACGAGAGCCGTGGCTGGTTCGTGGCCTGAGAGTAGGTAGCGTTAGGAAACTATTAGACTAGGGAGCGCGTGAGAAGACATACCGATGGCGTAGAACAAACCGTTTACAGGAAGGTCCCGCTCCTCTCCTGTCTGTACGTTCTTTATGCGAAGGTTATTCAGGAGGTCCCCGTCACCTTGGCATTCGGTCGCGACTGTGTGCCAAAGGAGAGTCTGTTATATTAACAAGGTCGTTAGCCTTGCAAAAAAAAAATCTTCAGCTTGCCCACTCACAATTTTGGGGTTATTCTGCAAACGCTTTGCCATGATCTTGGAAGCGCGGAGTTCACCTCTCCTCACGAGAACGTAGACGTGCGAGCCGTATTTCGTGAGATCTACATCGCAAAGTTTAGATGAGATCAATGCAACATTGAGCAAATGAACAAACTAACATGTGGCTTCCTCAGCAGCGGAATCACCGCCACCGATAACAGCTAATGGTTTATTCCTAATCGCCTCCATCAGCCATCGTTCCATCAAGGGAAAAGAACAGGAGTTCAAAACAGACCTGAAGATCGGCACGGCACCATCACACACCGCACATGCACTTATTCCACTCTGCCAGTACGTTTGCTCGCCTTTCAGCCCCATCCGCTTAGCGCTCGCGCCGGTCGCGATAATCACCGCGTCGGCTGTCTCTGGCTCACCATCCTCCTGCATCTCGCGCCAGTACCTGAACGGGCGCGATGACAAGTCGATCTTGGACACCGTTTCTGTGATGATGGTGGTCCCGAAACGCACGGACTGTTCGCGGAATTTGTCCATGAGTTCCGGGCCTAGGATGCCGGTCGGGAAACCAGGGAAGTTCTCGACTGGTAGGTGACAGTGATATCTGAGCATGTGAATGAAGTATTGACGGCGCCGCTCACCGTCTGTGGTTGTGGTGAGCTGTCCACCAGCAGCGAAGCCGTTCGCCATAAAGCCCTCGAACATGACTGGGTCGAGGTTGGCTCGCGCGAGATAGATCGCTGCAGTGTGGCCTGCTGGGCCCGAGCCAATGATGACCTACGTCGTTGGAATTAAAAAGACTGATTCTTTTTTGCATTCAGATAAGATACGCTTACGACTTTGGAGTGCATCTTCTTGCTTCGCTCGCCTGCTTTAATGGGTGCCATCGATTTAGAAGACTTGTATTTTTCGAAGCGGAACGGTGCTGAGCAAGCAACAGAGGTGATAGCCCACTCGCGAAAGCGTAGGGTTCGACTGAAAAAGCGGGGAAACAGGATGACCAGAAGAGCTGGGTAAATTGCCGGATAAAAATAAAAATCATGGTCACAGGATTGCTGATAGAGCGAGTCACGTGATACTTTACTTCTCCCGTGACTGTCAGTGTCACTGGCAGTGTCAGTGAATTATTTTTCAGGCTGATCAGAGCGCAGCTACCAGCGTAATATTTGCCTACATACTTTCTGCAAAATTGCTGCGAGCTTCAGGTGAAATTTTATTTTTAGTTGCTACCGATACCAATATGGACGGTATAACAGCAATTCATTTGCCGAGCTATTGACGTGAAGACCAATAGAAAAGAGGACTGAAAAGATTGGCTAATTTCGAATATCTTTCTTGCGTTATTCCAATTTCCTTCGCCTTTTTTGACCTGAGTCAGCTCAAGATGACTGAAGGCTGAAGCTAAGCTAGAAATGGTACAGCCAGGCGGCGGACGCTTATGGTGCCTCCAGGATTTATTTATTGGGGTGGAAGCCTATGTACTCTGCATTTTTTAAACCTAAAACGTAGTCTGAAATCCATGTAAGTACTTGAGGGGTATCTATTGAAAATGACTGTCTCTGAATGACACCATGATGCCGTCTTTGCATTAAAATCATCTTTTTGGTCCGTCAATACTCCAAGTCACAAGTTTCAGGCGAGAAATAGCCAGATACCACCCATAACTCCTAACCATGAAGCTAGCGTCGAAAGGCTGAGGCACAACGCTGACGCTGAGTTGCCCGTCACAATAGTATTCGTTCCCGTCTTGCTAAACACGTTCACGGACGCAATTTCAAAGTAGGCAGTCGCATAGTTCGACCCGTTCCCAACCACGTAGTCATTATAGCACGTCCCTGGACAAGTTTCCGCGAATACATTCGCAGCACCAGCGAAGTCTTCATAAAAATAGACAGGATATTGTTAGCACAAGGCGTGGATCAGCACAAAAATAGACAAACCTCCACAAAGGGTGATGTCGAAAATTAAATTTTGCGGCGCGAAGAAGGTATCTATTTTACAACCCGCAGCAGGCCAGTTGCCGACTGGCGTGCCGAGGGTGGAGGTATCGATTGTACTTGAATTAGATGACAGAACGCTCGGAACGTTTGCACGGGAGAAGAACCAGATACTATAAAGAATCGCCATCCAATGAGTTTCTAATGTGGTCAAAGGAAAGAAGTCGATCAACGTACGAGATCCCAGTTTCCGCGAATTCGGTAACAAACATGCCTCCCCCTGCCTGTGCGAAACCCGCTCCATACGATGCCGTGCTGGGATTGGTGGTGATGCAGCCTTCGTTCGAGTTGGTGAGGTACGAGCAGTCGGTGGAGTTGACGAGGGTAGACGATTGAACCTGGGAGACTTGTTTACATCCAGCGAGGGTATGTAGCCCCATCTGGTTGTTAGTGACCATGTTCACGCCTTCGAAGGTGTCGATTTCACTTGATTTTCAAAAGATAACACATCGCTTAGCAACGGGGATGGGAAGGGTGGTGATGTTGTACTCACCCGCCTGTTGGCCAAGCTGGAGCTTGTGACCACCTAGAGTCAACGTTGAATGTTGAGTGTTCAATTCAACTTTGGAGTACATTTCAAGCATACCACGCCGGCCACACGGAGCACTGCGAAGAAGAGTGTTAATCTGAGCTTGGATCGAGTTATGGATTGGACGCACACCATAGGGAACGTGGAGCATGTCAACCGTCCAGACACTGCCAACACTAAATTTGTCATTGGTCGATATTCTAACGGTATTTCGTTTTTGGTTGTAAGGGACGGTGGAAGTGTTGTCAACTTTGATAATAGCGTGTTTTGTTGAAGGATCTACATAGGCGAGTTGCGAGGATGCCGCCACGGACGACGACACGAATCTGGTAGGCTGTCACGGTTGGGTTGGATATATATAAGCGCTGCTTACATGGCGTCTCCATTCGTTAGGTTATCATCTGAAAGTCGGTAAAATCATCCTTTGAAGATGCAAGAAACAAAACGCCTTGACGTACAGTTGTTGTAGAATTTCCAGTCATCAAAAAAGGTCGAGCCCGCGAACGTCTTCACCATGGTATAACCCGTCGCCGCAACCGGCGGTATAGAAGCAGTCAAAGAGACGGCGAGAGAGAGGAGGGTAACTTGTGGGTGTAACATGGAGATCGTTGCACAATCCAATGTCTTTTGTCCGGTTATATATATCAACACGCTCCACTGATGGCGTTGTTGGGGGGAAGGCGATTGGGAGAAGAGCCGTGGACAAATGTACAAATTAGGTATGACGGTTTCTTTTTTTTTTTTGAGGAGCTTGGGCGTTGTTAGTTGCTGCGCTTCGGCAACGAGGGGAGAAACGATTTACATAGATGGCTAAAAATAGCCGCCTAACTGTAAGGCTCAGTCCGCGTCATCGATAAAGGAATCGGAAGGGAGGGTAAGTAAGAAGGCGAAAAAAGTTGATGGACACATGGGAGTATTTGGGACCCCAAAACTTGCTAGCACTGTAGCCGCAGGAACTACGAGAAAGCTCTCGAGCTGCTTCTCTGTCTCCCCACACGGCTTTACATGGGGTGAGCACGTCCGTCGATAACGTTCAACGGTGCAGGTGGTGGTTTGCAGTTGTCGCTGAGAGACTAGAGTCGTTACTCCGAGTCCTGATTCGTGTGGTGAACGATCACGTGGTGAGAACGCGTGGAAAGTTCAAATTCCCTTTATGGCTGTGACATGAACGCTCTTGTTCAGCTGCTCCTCCTCTAGACGTTTTAGCCAACTAAAAGTGTTCCTTTTGTTGGAAGGTACGCGGTAACCTGATTTGTAGCCCATTATTCAGCTTATCTTGAACGGAACAGTCTCATTTTCGTAGGTCGTCCCAGAGGGTTTAATGACGATTGTGTCTGATTGTTAAACCAGCGAAACCACCCATAAATTATAAAGACCATTGTCAACATAGCCCTCACTAATTTATCATGGCCTCTATCGGCTCCGTAACCAAGCAGATAGCCGCCCTCGAGATATCGAACAAGAAACCTGGCCTAACCAGCGCTACCTCTTCCAGCCGACTTGGGCACACCAAGCAGTCCAGCCAAACCAGCGTCACCAAGCTTCTCACCAAATATGGTGCGCCCAACCCCTTCACAAATGCCATCAACAAGCCAACCCAGCCCTCCTCCCTGCGAAACCCTACTCCAAGCAGTCAACCTCAAGCGCCAACCACCTCTCACTCAACCATTGATATCGGAGCATACGACGGTGGTTTGGAACTTGAAAATGAGAAGCGTGGGGAACGTGTGTTCGGTGAAGCAGCAGAAGAACTAGCTCTGAATTCCAGCACTTCTAGGCATGCAACTCGTATTTTAATACCTTGAAGAGTACGCTGACCTCACTCCAGAAAATCCCCAACACGCGAGTGGACTCTACATGACTTCGATATGGGCCGCCCACTTGGCAAAGGCAAGTTTGGGCGTGTCTACATGGTACGAACGAAGAACCCCAACTATATACTTGCCCTCAAAACACTCTACAAATCCGAAATCGTCCAATCCAAAGTCGAGAAGCAAATCCGGCGCGAGATTGAAATCCAACAAAACTTGCGACACCCTAACGTTCTCCGTCTGTATGGCTACTTCCATGACGAAAAACGCATCTTTCTCATGCTCGAATTCGCTGGGAAGGGTGAGCTGTACAAACAGCTCTCGAAACATGGATGTTTTACGGAGAAGCGTTCTTCTCGGTATATCTACCAGATGTCTGACGCCTTGATTTATCTGCATGGAAAGCACGTCATACACAGGGATATCAAGCCGGAAAATTTGCTCTTGGGGATCAATGGGGAGTTAAAGATTGGTGATTTTGGATGGAGCGTGCATGCGCCTGGGAACCGAAGAATGACACTCTGCGGAACGTTGGATTATCTTCCTCCTGAGATGGTGGAGGGGAAAGAGCACAACGAGAAAGTTGACTATTGGGCTTTGGGCGTGCTCACGTATGAATTCCTGATCGGCAACCCCCCGTTTGAGGATCGGAGTAGTGTCAATAGTATGTTCTCTTTGACCCTCGTTGGCCTGAGCTAATACTGACGCCACTCACGTCATAGACACATACCGCCGAATAGCCAGAGTCGACCTGAAATTTCCTTCTAACATCTCAGCAGAAGCGAGAGATCTTATTTCGCGGGTTAGTGTTATCCTTCTTGCCATTAGAAATTAACTCACGAACATGCACCTAGCTCTTGCAATACGACCCACAGAGCCGCTTAGCGCTCACTGAAGTCCTTCGCCACCCATGGATCGTCAAGCACCGGCCTAGAGGTACAGGGACGGGCGTCACACGCGATAGCGCGGTCTAGTCTTGGTTCCTCTAAAGATTTCTTTCCTTTTCTATGCTTTTCCTAGCTATCATTTGTGCCATATCAATCGCATGGACTTCTTGTATTTATTCCCGTAGGATTTGGGGTTTGCAGCGCCTTTGAAGGGCTTCAAGTAGAGACTATTCGAGATACTTTCATCGCACCAGACTGAGATACGAACTGTTGATCGAAGAAATATTCCGTTTGTGGTATACGCAGAAAACATTCCTCCGCCTCGTTTCCAGAGGCCGAGAGTGTCCACATAACTTCAAATGTCATCTCTTCTAACTCTGGCAAAAAAAAAAGCCATGACGTCAAAGCGAAGTATTCAATAGATAGAATGTTTATCATGCTGCAGGGCATCGTCTGTATGGTTGAAGACATGGTGTGCCCCCTACAAGATAAGGTTGAAAAGTAGGCCGTTGGATCAAACAGGATCCCAACACTACTGGTGTACCTGATTGACTTGGGATCGTTTGGGAGGGTCTCGGCAATAATGGTAACGTCGTAGACGCCCTGCAGCTGGATCTTGAGGGCCGTTGTAAGACTGATTACACCTAGCCGAACATTGTCTTTAGCTAAACCTGACTTGAGCGCTATGGAACTCACCTGCGCCCAGCACAATGATTTCTCTCTTTGGCGGAGGTGCGCTTGAAGGCTCCATGGTGCTTGGATAGCGGAGTCCAGTCCACTTTCAAGATACCGCCCATATATTCTTCCTGACCTGCTTGCTGCATCCGAAGGTTGCGCGCTTTCATGGCGTCCGTAAACCTGTCCTTTTGTGCACCGTCATCGGGTACGGTAGGTGTGTCACGGACACGTTTTGACGGGCATTATTTGATGGAAGTACGATTCGCTACATGCATGACTCCATGGAGAGAACGAACTTACCCTCACGCATCGGCCAGTGGCGCCGGAATTTTTCAGCACGCTCCTCATCCATGGCTGTGGAAATTGCTACGAAGGACTCATCTGCTTTCTTCCGTGCCTCTTCGAAGTCCTCTTCATCAACCGATCCGTCCCGATGCAGAAGAATACCTTTTATCCTCATCAGGGCTCTGATGTGAACATCCAGCCATTCCTCGGGATAAATGATGTCTCTAAACTCCTTTTCGTGCCTCTTAGCATCCTCTTCAGAAAATATCACTGGACAGACTGGGTAGTTAATGCTCGTAGGGATGTAATCGCCATAGCCAACCGTCAGCGAGAGCAAGCACTGTTCAAGAAGGGGCAAGCCATCTGACCAAGAGTGCGATGAATAGTAGATGGCGCGGCGCATATCCTCCATCTGATGAAGGCGCAGCGCGGCATACAATGCTGGACGCAGCTGGCGAACTAGCTTAAGAAACTGATGGTTTGATGCCACTCGCCTGACCTCCGCGTGAGCCTCCGATTTTTGGGCAGCGCCCAGCTCGTCAAAGTTGTCTGGTAAGACAGGCTGCTGGAGGTCACCTCCTGGGAGCTTGGCGTACTTCAGATTTTTTGTGTCGATGTCGACCAAGTCGGGCATTACGGTTTCAAATAATGGTCGGATGGCCGCGCCCTGCCAGTCAATAATTGCAGCCACTGACATGGAATCGTCATCGTTGACGAATACGTTGGCAGCGTGCAAGTCGGGGTGAGAAAGGGTAGGGATGCAGTGTTCATGTGACGGAAGAACCGACGGGGCTAGGGAGAGCCACTTTTTGAGTAACACTATGTGTTGAACAGCGCTGTGTCGAGCGCCAAGCTGGTTTTGGGCGCATGGGGAGTTTGAATACGATTGGATCCATTTCATCTCGCAGTCTACGGCAGCCTTGATATAAGAGCGAACGTCCGTCCCTAAGCCACCCATCAATAATAGTGGAGCCCCACTATGGTAAAATCTTACATGGTCCCCGATCAATGAGCAAACGGGCTCGCTCGCCTCGGTAAAAGCGTCGCTCTACGCTGGGTCCGATGCGAAATCGCTCCGAGCAATCGTCAGGTTGTTGCCCTTCAGCGTAAAGGGGCTTTGCTTGAAGCAACGGATCAACATCTTCCTTATAATATATGCTTCCGTACTGAGAGAATGGGATGCCACCCAAACCACTCAGCAGGTTGGCGATATCGAAGATGTGGCAAGAATCGGCGGAACTGTCCGACACATTGGCAAGTATGTTACCCTTACATTTTTCCATGATTATGTACTCACACCCCACATTATTATCTGAGGACGCGTCCCAGGCCAGCACTTTCGGAACTGGTGCACCAATGCGGGACCGAACAAAGTCCATCGTTGCCACCTCGCTACGTGTAAGGAGACTCCGCGGTCCAGCATTACGAAACGGAATACGGGCGACGACATCATTGCCAGTATCAAGGCTGAGGCGAAACACACGGTTGAATGTACCTGGAAAGAATTGAGCATGTTTGCCTCGTGAAGAAAAGACAAAAGACCTTCTCCTACAACTTCAATCTCGTTGCATTCAGAGGCACCACATGCTTTCGCGGCAATTGCTCCGAGAGCCTCTACGTCGAAATCGAGTTGTCTTAAGGCCATTTCTGCTGGATCATCAACGTCTTAGGAGGACGAACTCTGACCCAGGCACACTCACGTTTGTCGTTGTTGTACAACCAGCGTCTCGTCGTACATGTCATAAGCAGCTCTGAGCCCACAGGATTGGAAGGGTATGCCGACATGAAGCGAGCTAGAAATGCGTTTGTTTGTTTGAGCAATGGTAGTGAGCGAATCATCTTACAATACCCGTGCAAGGATAAGAAGAAGCACGTGGGTTCCACATTGTTGTCATCTGTTGTCATTCTCCAGGGCTCTACCTTCTTGTTAACGACCTCGAGGACAACGACCAGCCCACCGCTAAGCTTCTCTCAGTTGAATATGAGTTTCGCGGATTTAGAAGCGGGTCACGGCCAACCGTCACGAACCGCATCCTCATCTATACCACAGTCTCGAGAGGATGCCGCATTTCGGGAACTACAGTCATCTTTATCTCTGCAAGTCTTCAAGATGAATGCGAACATTCAGTCTATTGTCAAGTTCGTTGATCAGCTGGGGACAGGGAAGGATTCGGCAGAGTTGAGAAAGAAGCTGTACGTGAGGTTTACCGACTGCAGCGCAACGTCTGACGAACCTACTTCCTGAACTTACAGACATGACCTAACGGAGACCACGCGTGCAATGGCAAAGCGAAGTTCTGATGACTTGAAGAAGCTATCAGTGCTACAAGCTACTTTGGTGCGCGATGGAATGAAGTAGGGAGGGGTGGTTAACGTTAATCCATTGTCTGCAAATAGCCCCATCAGAAGACTGCGCTCCAGAAGACGTCGCATGATCTTCAGTTCTCTCTCGTCGCTTTTCAACGCGCTCAGCAAGTCAGTGCAGAGAGACAACGAACCGTGGTGCAGGGTGTCAAGCTGGCGGTTGATGATGACCAACACACACCGTTCGTCGTAGTTTTTTCACTGTTCTTCTTTCTCGAAGACTGATTCTATGATTTATATACTTCAGACGGCCTGCAGAGCTTGAATCAACACCGCAAGAACAGCGGCAGGCGCAGATACTTCAGGCGCAACTATCACCACATGAGCTAGCCTACCAAGAATCTCTCATTCAAGAACGCGAAGCTGAAATACGGGAGATAGAAACGGGAATTCACGAACTTGCTGAAATCTTCCATGACCTTGGGACGCTGGTGAACCAGCAGGGAGGCATGCTAGGTGCGTTAACCGCGTGGTTTCCCCTGAGTTGAGATGACTCACTATGGCGCAGATAATATCGAGTTGAACATATCTTCTGTGGCTCAGGACACCGGCGCCGCTTCAGAGGAACTTAGATCTGCTGCGGTGTATCAGCGCAAAGCGGGTCGACGCGCGCTGTGTCTCATGATTGTTCTTGTCATCGTTGTGGCAGTTGTCTTACTTGCCGTGGGTTCTCACTTTCGTTACCCTATGGTATATTCTTACCGTGCGATCTGCAGATTCTTTCTTAGCCTTGGATACCCTGTAAACTATGACATCACTTTAATGCACACGACCCTCACTTCCAAACCTTCCTCCCTCCAACATCCGGTGGCACAGTCTATGCTGATAGCATCTTTCTTATTATTTTGATTCTCGGACGTAGTTCAGCATAGTTGGGAGTGTTAGGTGCGTAACATCATGTATTTATCAAGAGAACTGATGCGATGTACGTTATATTTTAGGTGGCCTGATAGCGAATCCTCTATGTATTCCATATGTTATTATCATGGACTCGATGAATTTTGTAGCCTTGGATTTTGATGTCGCCCGATATTTGAGTCGCCCTCCATTGTCTGCTTTGACGCTGGTCGATGCGAGCTAAGCAACTTTATATCGATATGTGGTCCTGACTACTACGGCTCGCGGGCCGGCGCAGGCTTTCTCTTGACAGTGTGTAAACGGTTTCCTCGACGACGTGGTTCTTTTGTTGAACCTCCAGATTGGATGATGATATGTTTAACAATCGTGAGTCGCGCGTTCTTCTTGACCAATCAACGACATCACGCATCAGCGCTAGCACTGGCCAGGCGTTGCCCATGTCCCACAGTTAACTCCACCCAAAGGCGCCCGCAGCTCTGACACGTTGCATGAAGGCGAGGCTCCAGCGGAGAGGTCAGAGATCTCCGATGGCTGCGAGAGCTTACTTCCTCCGTTCACTTACTTAGGCTCAGGCTGGCAAGCTTCATCCTTTTCATTCTATAAAAAACTCTAGCGAGGGATCTCGTCTTATATAGCCCCCATCCACACAGCGTCTGGGCGTGTAGTCCTTCCTCGTTCACGACAGACGGTGGTCTATGTCCCAACGATTTTAGGAGTTCCAACCACCCTTCGCCGCATACAACCCCGCCCCATATTTGATCTCTATGGCTTCTCAAATCCCTCCAGATGTGATTGATGATGTATCGGAACAGTACGTCCATTTTTTTTGGTTCATTGGGTTTTTGTTCTCAATTGATACCTCAGGATACGGACGAATGTACGTCTTGTCTTTTCTATGATAAGAACATTGCATGTTCATAAGAAGCCTTGGATAGTACATGGGCTTCGCAAGCTTTACTATCCTCATCTGGGATCACGTCGATACGTTTACTGCCGAGGTGCGTGATGTTCGCTATGCGTTGAAAGCTTCTGTTTACGAAGGGGCGTAGGTTGAGTACATATGGCAAGGACGGAAAGGACCCAGTGAGCAATATTCCAACTTTTCCAGCCCATCTCAGTTCTGACCATCCACCACAGTCGTATACCTTTTTTTAATTGTAGGTGGTCAGGATTCCGACCGAGATGGGCATTCCTGAGGGACCTGTGATTCCAGAATCGATATCTGACACCTTTGGGGTTTATCGTCAATCTATTTGGTGAGGCAGCACCTCACCTCACTTTTTATCATCCGCACTTACCGGACCTGTTACAGCGTATCTTTCACCCGTCTGGAAAACAGATGTAAGCAAAATCGTAATCGCCTCTCCACGTTCCATTAATAACTCAGGTTCGCTCACCGCTCTAGACGTTCGTTCGCTCTTCTTCGCTCCTTGTGCCCCCGGCCTGAAGAAGTTCTTCCCTTTTGCACAGATGTAACCACTTCATTCGGTTTGAAGGATCCATGACCGTGATTGGCATCAACATCGTTGGTGCGTGGCCCATCGTCCGTTCGTTCAGGAGAGCGTATGTAACCTGACATTAACTGTTAGCTATGATGATGCTTCTTCGTGTGAAGGCGCTTTATCACCGCCACTATTGGGTCATCGGGACCGTGGTGTTTTTGTGGTTGTTCCAGTTATGTATGAACTCGTGGTTGTTGACGAGGGGAGAAGGTACGTTCTCGAAAATTTTGATGGGTAGGGAGTTGAACTCGGTGATTTGAGCAGCGGTGGTCCATAATAAGGCGTCCGGCGTTGTCGGTTCGTCCCCCCCACTCCCTTTTACATTGCATGCTGATAGAGGCTAATTCATGTCGTGTGCCGGTTGCAGCGTGCACGATGATATTCGATCCGGCCATGTACGTTTCTATCCCCATTTTTATTTTACCTTGAATCAATGTTTTCATTATCAATCACAGCAGTAAACTGGCATCGTCGTCTGCGTGGCTCCCGCTTTTGTACGATACCGTTGTTCTCATACTCACCCTCAACCGTACCCTCCCGTCGCTCAGGAACAAGAATTCGTCCTATGTGATGAAGAGGCTCTTGGAGGATGGTTTGATTTATTATACGTGCGTTTTAGCTTTTTTTCTTCTGTTTGGTATGGGAGATGATGAGATGTGTAGTGCCATCTTTGCTGTTACACTTGTGTTGACGATCATGATCGTCGCTGCTCCCCCTGGGATCAAAAACATCACTGCTCAGTACGCTTTATTATTTGCTTTTCTATCATCTCTACTAAATGCACCCATAGACTTGAACTCCTGTAAGCTCCTTTATCTCACTGCCATCCAACCAAAGCTCACGATCCTATCAATCAGAATAACGGTGACAATGATGTCTCGAATAACTCTGAACCTCAAGAAATCGGCACACAAGGTACACGACACCGGCATCCGTCCGGAGCTTCCCAGTTTATTCACGCAACAATCGCGGTTGCATGCAAACTCCAATATCAAAATCGTCACGCCAGGGTTTGATAACCAACGCCGAGTAGGGCCTACATTCGGCACGGGTAGTGTGGATACGACATTTCTGGGGGGCGGTGACGGGGACGAGGATGTGGCGTTCCCGATGGTTAGGGTGCCGAATTATTACCGGCGGAACACCCACTTGAGCACGATCACGCAGGAGAGCTCGAATTATGAGCTTGGGGTTGGGAAGTCGAGCCCGGCAGGGGTTGGGAGGGCGGCTTTTGAGGAGGGTGCTGAGACTGAGGAGGATTTGCGGGGGAGTGTGGTAGAGAGCACCAGCCCATTGACGGCGCAGGAGGAAGTTTAGAGATTACTGCAGGACATTGTCCAATATGCTGCATACTGATGAACTACTATGTTTTTCTCTTGGATACATATATAGACTATTGTCTACCCTGTCATCGTCGTCGTGTTGATGTGTGTATTATCAGGTTTGTTGTCTGAGGTCAATGCATTCCCTGGATGAGGACAATATGGCGGCGTAATGATCACCCCGTATTGAGTTGGACAATGGGGTGGGTCACGTAAACAGCAATAAGGGCTGATGGTGGTGTACGTACAGGTTGGTATTGTGTATATAGAGAGAAAAAAGTGGGGATGATTGGAATGGAGAGAGCACTGCCTAGGAAGAACAAGAGAGGCAATGTTCTGCAATGTTCCTGTATCACGTGGTGTAGATGACACCGATCGAAGCCAAAATAGGCAATGACGGAAGTCGGCATCATTCCGTGAAGTTCCTTATAAAACCACACAGCCAAATATCTCTTCTCCTCCTCCTCCATCTTGCCACCTATCTACTCACCGAATCAATGGCCGCTCCAGCTCACTATATCCGCACAATCCACACTTCGTTCACCGCTGCACATCCATCCGGCGCATGGGCAAACGCTGCCTCAAATACTGCTCGTTCTAATGTCCTTCTCACCGTTAATAATAATACGCATCATCCTTATCACCAACACCAGCAAGCACAGGCTCAACTCCAGGTGCAGCACAAGTATCCCCCAGGGTTAGGTCTTCCCAGCGGTTCTGGAGGCAGACGACGAGCGCGTAATCCACCTTTGCCCTCGTCTTCTGCCTCTCAGCCTCGTCCCCCGTACAAGTTTGATCCATTTGCTGATGAGCCGCTGTATACTTCACCCCCACCATCATCGTCGCCGTTCTCAGCTGCTCACTCGGTCCTGTACAACACCCCTCCGCAAACTCAACCTTCTTCCTCCCATCCGCTGTTGTACAGCACCCCGTCCCGGCCGTACACTATCCAAATCCCGCCTGCGGGCCCAACAGAAGTCATCCGAGCTACTTCTTCTACTTCTCGGTTCTACGAGTTCAGCGCTGCGGACAAGGAGGCTAAGGCCAAGCTGGTGGCCGGGATTTTATTGAACAGGGTGCATGCGGTAGGCAAGCCGATCAGGAGGCGACCGTCGGTGGGCGAGCAGCCGCGTGCGTATGTCAAAAGTGGACTTTCGAGGGTCGTTAGCGTCGAGGCATAGGTGGCTTGTTGATCACGACATTGAACAACGACTGCGATTAGCAGGCGACGACCAACAACAATTGTAACCCTTGGCGCATTATTATTACCCATCCCACACACTCGTTATTCCCCTCGCAACTTCAAGCGTTGTGAAAACCTTTCACTGTCATTCCCTGCACGTTTTATTCCCCCTCCCATCCGAGTACCTTATTGTTTTATACATATCCCGACACGCTCCCTCTGCATCCATCATCCCCTCATCCATCATTTCCCCAACCCAATCATCAATTGTTGTATATTAGCTACTCCCGCTCTTCTCTCTCTTGTCGTCACTTGGATATTATCGCATAGACTCCGACTCTTAACGCAAGGTACACGTATTAGTATTATTTTCTTGTCAATACAACACATTTGCATTATCTGCTGGGCTTTGACATCTCCGAGTAAGCGAGCACGGCCATGTGGCTGGTAGAACTCTCAAGAAGACTGTGCACAGCTACCCCAACGAATGGAATTTTCAGACTTTCGCGAATCGGTGTAGCCGGAGCTCGCGGAATCCATTCATCATTCCAGACACGTCAATTCCACGTCAATCGTTACCACGAAATGAAGTGGAACAATAGCTCTGAGGACTGCACTACCAGTGCTACATTTCGGCTGTAGTAACTTTAGAAATATGCAACCATTCTAATGGGAACCACTGAGTCAATCTGCTCTCCACAATACAAAAGGTTTGTTTTGACGTCGCCGAACGAAGGTGAAGCGTACTTGGCAGAACGCGCTTCAAAATGGTTGTTCAGCTGCCTTTGTCAATTCTCTACTCCAGCTGCATTTTTGTAGCGTTGCACGGTTGAGGTGGTTGCAAGTTGATTCTGAAAGACGGCTGATTGTGGTAAGTTCAAGTTCAGCAACGGTCCTGAGAACCAATGCTTCGGCCTCTCCATGGACGACGGAAGCTGCCATAAGATCGAAACAGAAGGATGTGCATGCGTTCCAGAAGTGCTCGTTGAGGATTGGCAGGTTTTGCTGGTGCTGTTGCCTTTATTTCGCCCCAGATACATACACGCCACCTTATCCAATCATAAACCTCTCACAAAGGCTCTCCAGCACAAGTCAGGTGGTGGGTAGTAAGTTATAGAAGATGGAGGGGGCAGAGACGAAATGGGCGTCTGCGTTGTTGTTGCTGTTGTTCTGATATGGCAGAGCGCAGACGGTGGGTAATTGTAACCAGACGAGTTGGCTCCCTCATTTCGGTGGACATTATCCGCAGCCAATCTCCTACAGAGGATATTTGGCAGGCCATTCCGAATCCAGATGCGAAAGGCATCTCTGGAATTGATCCATGAGATCGTCAATGTATTTTTGGCTGGCAAACAATTTCTAAGTATCCTCTTACCTTTGCTGAGGCCACCAAGTTCGCAAGGACCCAGCTTGCGGAAGGATTGGTGGACTGGCGAGAGATCAAGGAGAACGGAGATGATATTGGAGAGCAAACCAAGCGGGATTCGACCATAAAAAGGAAAATATGTGTAGTAGGATTCAGCGGCCCAAACAAAACTTTCAAGTCACTTTGAAGTCGAAGGTCTGATGGAGCTCAGAGTAGGCAAGTTTGGCAAAGGGCCCAAGTGTGATTGGGTGGATCCCAAACCGACGTCGATGACGATGGCGCGACGTCAGTGAAGCTTGTTGATGCGGAATCACATAACTGTAAGCTGGCTCTAGGTATGCCTGCTGTGTCGTCTGTGTAAGGCCCACTGCAGGGGACAATGCAAATCTGTGGTGATAAGCAAAAATGATTCATTCGTCCTAGGATATGTCCTGCGCTTCGCTCCGGTGCCCGATACATCCTAGTTTCAGGTGATTGACGCGTAGCAGAGCCGATTGTTCACTTGGATGAGTCAGTTGGTTCAGTAGGCTAATTGGGTGGCTGTTTCTTTTTTGTGGCGTTGCGCAGTTGGTGGATGTGGAAGATGGCCGATTGTGGCAAGTTTGGCAACGGCCCCGAGAAACGGTTGTGGAAGTTGAAGCGGTGTCACACAACCCATATCCGCACGTCTGTGGTCAGCGCAGGACGCGACTTGGTCTGTGAAAAGCGTGTATTTTCTCACCGCCTCTCTCTTTATACCCTTTCCATTCGTCCCCATACGCTTTTTCTGGCCAATTCGACGTGAACCATGACGACACCTTCAAGACCCACATCGATGTCGGCCACCAAGGCTGGGAGCTCAAAGTCGCTCAATGATTATGTCGGTGTTCATAGATTCTTGAAGTTATCGAGGCTGAATGTGGTTGATCGATAGCAACTCGGGGACTCGTTGGGCAAGGGAGCGTTTGCGCAGGTGTACCGTGCGTGGTCCCCACATTTTGCTTCCGCTAGCGTAAAGGTTGACCCGCTGGATAGGTGCTTTGAATTGGGCAACGGGGGAAACGGTTGCGGTGAAGGAGATTCAGCTGAGCAATATACCAAAGGGCGAGCTCCCGGAGATTATGGTGAGTGGCTATATTTCCCTCCTCCGATGATCCTACTCTGATCTGTTCTCAGTCTGAGATTGATCTACTCAAGAACTTGAACGTAAGCTTGACAAATCAATCATTCATAACCATGGTCAACGCCTGTTTAGCATGCAAATATTGTCAAGTACAAGGGATTCGTCAAAACTCGAGAATATCTATACATTATCTTGGAGTGAGCCCTCTAATGACGTTCCGATAGCGACGCTGATCTCTTGCAGGTTCTGCGAGAATGGATCCCTGCACAACATCTCAAAGAAATTCGGAAAGTTCCCCGAAAACCTGGTTGCGGTGTACATCTCCCAAGTCCTCGAAGGGCTGCTCTATCTCCACGACCAGGGTGTGATCCATCGGGACATCAAGGGTGCCAATATCCTTACGAATAAAGATGGTACCGTCAAGCTTGCTGATTTTGGAGTGGCTGCGAAGACGGGGGGCGCCACTGATGCCGCTGTAGTGGGGAGCCCATACTGGAGTGGGTGTTTTCGCATTGTACTGCCCGTGTGTGAATTTTGCTGATGGGGTGCGCAGTGGCACCCGAGGTTATAGAGCAATCAGGCGCGACGACGGCGTCTGATATTTGGAGTGTTGGTTGCGTCGTGATTGAACTTCTCGAAGGCCACCCACCGTACCACACATTAGATCCAATGCCTGCCCTTTTCCGAATCGTACAAGACGACTGTCCGCCCATACCCGAAGGTGCCTCCCCCATAGTCAAAGACTTTCTTTACCACTGCTTCCAGAAAGACTGCAACCTACGCATATCGGCCAAGAAACTACTAAAGCACCCGTGGATGGTGTCGACGCGGAAGCAGATGGAGGCTGGGAAAGGGAAGCCTGGAGGTAATGCGGAGAATAGTAAGACGGAGGGTGCAAGGAGGCCGAATTTTGATGAGGCGGTGTTAAAAGTGCAGGAGTGGAACGAAGCTTTGAAGTGTGAGTGCAGTGAAATTGCGTTTCTTCTATGTGGTGCTCAACGTGGAGAATAGCACCGTCGAGACCGTCAAAGAATCCGACGCGCCATGTGAGACCACAATCACCTACCCTCCAACGGTATGCAGAGATTCCTACGTCAACGTCGGTTGGGTCCCTCGCGTCGAATCCGTCAGGATGGAAGGGTGGTTCTGCGCCCAACACGAAACCTATTTTTGTAGAAAAAATCCAGCCACTTTCATTCGTCCTTCAGGCTCCAGAAGAACAGACAGACAACTGGGATGATGATTTCGAGGAGGGAATTTCGTTCACCAAGCTTCAAGGTATGCCCTTCTTATCTGTTGCGTGTGTTTGAGGTGTTGAAGGTCTTCTGCTATAGCACTGGAAAAGACCACCGTAGATGAAGAAAAACCTGAGGTCGAGGATAACGCGCAAACGATTCGGCCTACTCGTAGTCCAGGGACCAAGCCGGTGGCTCTGGCCCAAGCACCGGCCTTGAGTATAGCTCCCATCGTAGAAGATTACTCGGACTTGGCAACTGAGGAAGACGAAGATTGGTTACAGGAGAAGGTTGCTGACTTTAAGGTATAGTACTTTTCATTCCTTCGGGCCCCAGATTGCTGACATTATACTGTGTATAGATGAAGAACTCCGTCCGTCGAGGGCTTTTCCATCCAGACGACATCAAAACTATCGGCCTAGCCAACCCACCACCTGGCCCACTATCAGCTCCTCTACCCACGCTGTCTAGAAAGTCGTCCCGTTCAACTCTAAGTCCACTGAGCACTCTGGGACCCTCCTCTACCCACTCACGTTCAGCGTCCTTAGCTGCGCCTGTGGGGAACGGGGGATCTTTCGGACGTGCGGAAGCGAAGAAGTTGCAGAATCAGGCAGAGTTTGGAAAGTATACTGAAGATGATGATGAGGATTATGAAGACGTGTTTGGGAAGCCTAATGGAACTGGTGAGTTTCTTGTATTGAGTATGATTGCCTTGACTGAGAGGTTGGTAGCGACGGAGCACCAGATGCAGACGCTGCAATTGAATACCCGCTTGTCAAATAAGTCATGGGTACGGCATCCTTCCTTCAGGTATGAGTGGATGCTGATAATAGTCCACAGTTGGGTGATGAGACGGATGAAGAGGATCCATTTGCTGAGGTACTTTGCTCATCCACTGCTCTCTTTCATGGCTGACAATGTGTATCAGATCGACGAAGGCTTTTCAGAAGACGATCTGGACGCCAACCTCCAACGTGACAAATACGCACGCCTGTGTAACGCAGTGAATCAGCTCATAGACGAGCTCACTCCTTCTGCTCCTGATTTCCAGCTTCGGGATGCGTGCGATCAATTGGTATGTGATCTCGACTCTTGGCTGGCTTTCCACGATGATTACTGAGGCCTATTCGAACTAGCTGAATATCATGTCGGAAAATCCGGAAATGCAGTCACAGCTGGTTTCATCGCATGGTATGCTTGCTATTCTGGAGGTGTTGGAGGGGAGATGTTCGCGGGATGTTATAATGAAGTTGCTTCAGATCATTAACTTGGTATTGCCCTTTCTTCTTTGAGTGTTTGTTGGGTATTGACCTTTTATCAGCTGGTGACGGAGGACCTCGGTTTCTTGGAAAGTTTCTGCTTGATTGGGTAAGCGTTTGAGTTTCACAGCACCTTGATCGCTTCTGACGAAACCTAGAGGAATTCCGGTGATGATGGGTAAGCTTTATTCTCCATTGATGGCTAGGGTTTTAAGACGTCTCGATAGAATTTACTTCAAAGAAATATCCTTCAGAATGTCGACTTGAAGCCTCCAACTTCATTCGTCTCCTTTGTCATACGTCCGTTCTAACACTGCAGATGTTCATATCGTACGTCTCATTCCTGTTCGAGCCCCAACACCCTTCTCATTCCTTCCAGCTGTCGTGGCCTAAAAGTTTTGGTCGATCTCCTTGACGAGGATTACGGCGAACAAACCGAGCTCGTCGAACATGCTTTGAATGGAGTTGGAAGTGTATTCGAACTGCAAAGCCCAACAACGAAGAACGATTTCTGCCGCATGTTCATCCGTGAGGGTCTCCTGGACCCGCTCTCTGCAGCCCTCCTCAATGTGATGGCTAACCGTGGGAATTCATCGAACGACACAAAAATGAAGGTCATCCAGATTTTGTTGGTCTTCTCGCAGGTTTCGCAATCAGATATACATGTCCGGAATGCGTTGGGAACGAGGAAAGTCATTCGACGTAAGTTGTATATGGGAGGTTTTGTCGCCACTTTTGACCGTAATCATTGTTTTTAGGTCTTCTTCGAGCATGCGAGCTTTTGGAACCAGAATGCCTTGTTCAAATGCTCAAGGCTGTCAAGCATTTGTCGATGAATGCCACCTTATTAGAAGTCCTTCAGAACGCGAACGTTTTGGAAATTCTCATTCGCATTCTGGATGAGCAGTCGTCTGGCCCTCACAGCACTGTAAGCTCATTCCCTACAACTCGTTGATGCATTTTTTAAAAAGGTTTTGTCAGGAAATATCCAATCATGTGTTTCAGATATGTTATAACCTCTGTCGTCTCAACAAATCGCGTCAAGAAGAAGCTGCGCAAGCAGGCATCATTCCTTACCTCAAGCGGGTCATCGAAACAAGTTCGCCTCTCAAGCAGTTTGCGCTGCCTATTCTTTGCGACTTGGCCAGTGCCGGAAAGAGCTGTAGGACCTTGTTGTGGCAACACGATGGCGTATCAATGTATGTCAAGTTGCTGGATGATCCATACTTTCAAGTCAGCGCTTTGGAATCGATCTTGTCGTGGTGGGTTATTCGCCATTGTATTTTGGTTTGGATCTTCACGTTGACTTGAAATTTAGGCTCCAGGATGAAACTGCACGAGTAGAAGATGAACTCTTGAAATCTGAATCTATCGACGCCCTCCTCAAATGCTTCGTATCGGCAAAAAATAACTCCTTTGAGAATCTGCTGGACCCCTTCCTCAAAATCACACGATTATCGACCCCTATCACCATAGCTGTGGCCAAATCATCTGCCTTCTTCAAACGTATAGTCGACCGATTGGGTCACAACAGCAAGGCTGTCGTCCGTCTCAATCTGTTGCGTATTCTTCGTGGGGTGTGCGAAGTTCACCCCAATCGTGCGATGTTGGTTGAGCGATATGGGTTACTTGGGGTTGTAGAGCGTCTCAGCCGTGGTGGCGGTGATGGTGCTGTTCTCGTCAGAGAACTCGCGAGGGAAATCGTACCTGCCCTAAAACCAGCATTGAAACCTGTAGCTGCAAGGTCCAAGACACATGGATCGGCGGATCTCTCATCCTCGTTCTCTTCTCAGAAAAACTTGGTTATCGCGCCGAAGAAGGTTAGAAGAGCGGCCTCGGAAACGAACGCGTCTCCCTTTGGGAATGGTTCTCTTGTTGTGGGATTGAATGATGTGCCTCCCCCTCCGAGGTTGGGCTCCGCGATCTCGAATGGTGGTGGCAAGATGAAAACACCTTCCTCCACATCTTCAGCAAGGCAACGATTGGGTGATATACCCTGGCAGAACACAAATTCCTCTGCAGGCAGCCGGCGGTGATTTGGACAGGATTCGAACTTGCTTGGTATCTGGATACTGTATACTATAATTTCATCTCTCTCTCTCTCTCCTTCGTTTTGGTAAATTATTCTCAAACTGTTTTCAATCGTTTTCGCATTTCATTTGCATCCCATCGTACCCGCATTGCACGTACACGTACAACATTCATTGGCATCGTTTTCGTTATCTCACACTATGGCATCTGGGTCCCTCACTAGATATTGATGTTTCTAGCCCAGAATAATTTGCCACACCATGATACAATCAGGGGATCAATATCTCCTTTGAATACATCTCAAATAATATAGAGTTAAGTATATCAATGCGCGAGACCCAACGAAGATCGGCTATGCTCAGATCTTGAGCGAGTGTTCCGCCGGCCCTCTTCCTTAGTCTGATCCTTGCCTGGTCCTCGCCAGATCGATTGGCCAATTTCGTGATCCCAGATCTCTGCACCAAATTGGGTGAACGTCACGAGCGTTTGGGTGGGAAGGAGAGGCACTTCTGGGAGAATTTTGAACCAAGCTGTATTAAAGAGATCCATTCATAAGCTGGGAGATGTGCTGAACAAAACAAAAACACGTACGACCGTTATGTTTTTCTTCAAACCAATGGATATACAGACCCTCTGCCAACTTCACTTCCACCGAAAGATCTTTTGCGCCATGAACCGTGATCGCTTCTCTGGGCGGCTCAAGACGCGTCCAAACTCCTTGCGAACCGCCTCCGTATCCTCCACCCCTCCCAACGAATCTTCTCCAACCCTCAGGACCAAGGTTCCAATTAATATTATAGTGAGTTGCAAATTCTTTGGGGAACCATAACCATCCTGACCAGTTCCCGGCTATGAGCTCGATGGGGTAGGTTGTGCCTTCCGTTGAGAACGTCGGTAAGAAGGAAGATGGTTTTGATGGCAGTGAGAGCATGGGATAGTTGGGGAACGGAGTAGGGAGTTGTTTCCATGGCCATTGCGCGGCGTAGACGCCGTGGAGGTTGCTGAATTTTGCGGTGTTGGGTTGGGTTAGATGGATGGGTATGTCGACTAGTAGTTGTGGGACAATAAGGAAATTTATTTGGGGTTCTCGGAGGATGAAAGCTGAAAATTCGACTTCCTCTGAAACATACTCGTTGGTTAGGTTGATGCTTTGACAACGAAAAAAGAGGAAAATATACCTGCGGCAAAATGAGGACGGTGGTGGTTGAAATACCAGACCATTTTCGAAACGTGGTCGTAGAGATTTAATTTCTCTTCGGTTTCGTGACCTGCGCGGAAGAAGCAAAGATGGCCCCGCATGTACAGGAGGTCAGCGTCTCCACCTACAGGGATGACAACGTCATAATCGGTTGCGTCCCAGGGGACTGCGAGGTAGTATAAGCGGTGTTTACATTTTGGTAGAATTCCGAGCTTACATTGAGATTTAAAACTGACAGAAACAAAAGGTTAGTACTCGAGTAACATTTCAATGCACAACATAGAATCATACGTACTTGCCCACGAACGTATCTGGATCTGCCCATCCCCACCACTCTACACCTGGATCTAATAGGTGTTTGAAAACATATCCACGCCATAGTCGAAAGTGGGAATGGTACTGATATAAAACGTTCAGCAAATTGGCAAATCCGAAAAACTACGACAGTACCCACCGAGTCTGCAAGCGCTCGAGCGATCATTTCACGAAGAACATGGTCGGCTTCTCCTTTATTACATTTCCAACGCTCACAAAAATAATCGCGGTGGAAAGCCCAGTCTAGTTTTTAACATCAACAATGGTGTAGATCGGCGAAACTACTGCGACTCACATTCGATCAAGGAATAACAAACAACCTTTATGTTGTTCAACGAGCCAGGAGGACCCGTCCATTGTGTGAGGTCCACGCACTCGTCATCCTCATCGCCACGAATAATGATAAATACAAGCTGCACCGTGTCCGCATTAGCGCGAAACGAGGTGAAGAAATTGTTGAGGTAGGGTCTTTCGCCTCCTCTCCATATGGCTATAACAGAAATTCGAGGGTTGAGGGAAGGTTCTTGGGGCGATACAATGACAGGTTCTGGGAGGGATACAATGACAGGTGCTTTTTCCTGGACTTGTACATGCTTTACAGAAGAGGTGAGGGAGGTCGGGGTGTAGCCAAACAACAAGTAGAAGGACAAGCCAGATACAAATAAGAGCGCGATGGAGATAAGTTTGAGCTTCTTCCAGCGCTCGGGATGTAGTCGGGTCAAAAAACCATCGAACGAAGACATGGCATTGGCAGAAAGGCGCTCACCAGAAAGGGGCTACTGCCGACAATGGGCCGGTCCTTTTGCCGGAATAGCAACAAAAAATGCCAACAATACTTATAGTGTTATCATTGTGATATCTAAGTCTAAGTAAGTCCAAAGAGTTGTGTTATGTACAATGCAAAGATGATATAGATATTGTCCAAGATGTGGTGTTTGACGCTCTAGCGATACATAGCAGTCAATGCAGGGAATCCCATGGTTCGTTGCGGCCTAGTCTTGGGTGAGTTTTACGTCGATTGTGCCTTTTCGTCTTCTCCTCTGGGTCCTTGCCTAGCCCGCGCCAGATCGTTTGGCCCATTTCGTGATCCCAGATCTCCGCACCGAACTGGGCGAATGTAACCAGCGTTTGTGAAGACTGGAGGGGCGAGTCGGGCAGGTTAACAAACCAAGCTGTCCAAACCCATTATAAGCAATACAAAGACGAGAAGAGGAATGCACATACGCCCATTGTGCTTTTCTTCAAACCAGTGGATATAAAGACCTTCTGCCAGTTTCACCTCCACCGAAGAATCAGTTTGGCCAGACACAGCGATGGCCTCTCGCTGCCGCTCTATACGCGTCCAAACCCCCTGCGAACCCCCCGCGTGTTTACCACCTCTGCCGACAAATCTTCGACAACCTGGCGGGCCAAGGTTCCAATCTACATCATAGTAAGTCGTAAACTCCTTAGGGAACCATATCCCTCCAGACCAGTTTCCTGCGAAGAGCTCGATTGGATAAGTCGTGCCATTCGCGGAGAATGTCGGCACGAAAGAGGATAGGCTTGTTGGCATCGAGAGCATAGGGTAATTAGGGAAAGAAGTGGGAAGCTCTTCCCATGGCCATTGGATGGAGTACACTCCATAAATGTTGCCAAACTTAGCAGTGTTCGGCGTAGTAAGATGGATGGGTATGTCAACTAGCAGCTGGGGCACGACAAGGAAGGTGATGCGGGGATCACGGAAGATAAAAGCAGAGAACTCCGACTCCTCTAGGATTATGGGTGAGATACGCGACGCAGGTTAGAAATAATAGCTAACCTGCGGCATAGTGTGGACGGTGATGATTAAAATACAAGACCATATTCGAAACATGATCGTATTGATTTAGCTTCTCCTCAGTCTCGCGACCAGCGCGGAAGAAGCAAAGGTGGCCACGCATGTAAAGTAGGCCTATGTCTCCACCTACGGGTACGACGATGTCGTACTCGGTCGCGTCCCATGGAACTATGAGGAAATATAAGCAAAATAATAATCTTCCCTAAAAATATGGGCTTACATTGAGATTTGAAGCTGTTGAAGAAAATAGCACGTGGGTAACAGTCCAATGCAAAATAGTATCATACGCACTTGCCCACGAATGTGTCTGGGTCCGTCCACCCCCACCATTCAATACCTGGACTCAACAGGTGCTTGAAAACGTATCCACGCCATAGACGGAAGTGTGAATGATACTGGAAAAAATAATTCATTGGAACGGCTCATTATCTCCGAATATGCAAAAACGCGTACTGAATCTGCAGGTGCTCGCGCAACCATTTCACGGAAAACACGATCGGCTTGTCCTTTATTGCATTTCCAACGCGCGCAAAAATAATTACGATGGACCGCCCAGTCTAAAAAACGTCAAGACGCGACTCATACACGGAAATAGAACGCGACTTGCATTCAGTCAAGGAGAGACAAACGACCTTGATGTTGTTCTGCGGGCCAGGAGGACCAGTCCACTTGGTAAAATCCACGCACTCATCCTCCTCATCGCCGCGAATATTGATGAACAAAAGCTCTACCACGTCCGAATTGGCGCGATATGACGTGAAGAAATTATTAAGATAAGGTTTTTCGCGACCTTTCCAAATGGCTATCACCGAAACGCGAGGCTTGAGAATAGGCTGCGTCGGTGGTAAAGAAGGCGCTTCATGAACATCGATGAGGAAGAGATCGTCTTTGGGAGAAGAGAGACTTGTATGGCCAAACAAAGAGACGAAGGAGAGGACGGAGACAAACAAGAGTGCAGCCGACCCGACCTTGATCTTGAACCACTGGTCAGACTGGAACCTCACCCAAGCCACCTTCAGAGAAGCCAGGCAGAGCATTAAAGAGAAAAAAGAGAAACAGTTTTACATAAATTCTCTTCCGGAAATTTTATTTTGGACTACTCGCACCACAGCCGTAAGTTGGCCGTAAGTAGCCCTGAAGCCGCCCATAGCAAAGTCTAAGATCTCATCAATCAGTCATTCGGAAACCACAGATTTCTACCATGTAAGATTTTGGTATTCCACTTACTCTACCGTACTACAATAGCTTCTTCAATCTGGGCGGTCTATGTACCACTATCGGCCTCGGATCCTCAAAGTTCGGGCCCAAGTTGAAAAACTTCAAACTGATTCTTCTCCTTTCTAATCGCCCACAAAATCGACGCGGAGGAGCTTGCGCCAAGGATATGCGCAACCTGCAAAGATCAAGAGGGGGATCTGGTTTATCAAGGAGGACCAACGAACCTCTCAAGCAGCTTACAAAGTTTGGATCTAAAAATAACCTTTAGATGCGATGGTGACGGATTCAATGACAACTTAAGAGCACGTACATACCTGGACACTGCGCAGTGGTACAACCGATACGTTTTCTATCCAGTATTAATATTACGACCAGGATCTGTGTGCGTTTTCGTTCCTAATTCGCATTTCTTTCAAGAGTTGTCGGAATCAATTCCGTTGCATCGGCCGCCGCCCAGAACGTCCCTCAACAGCCCTCAACGCCAACCGCTGCCCTCTGTGCCTTGGTGTATAGGCCCAAGGAGGTAGCAGCTCCGGTAGGAGCCAGAATAAGGTTGAAGACTGTGTTGCGGGCAACGACGGAGTCCGCAAAACTCCTATTAAATTCGTCGAGGATGTCCTTGTATATACATCACGGAAAATCAAGAATATACAGCACGGAAAATCAAGAAGACCGACGGACGGGGAACATACGAAAGATGAGGTTTAGTAGACCCCAACTTCTTCGAAGGGTCCACACTCGGCGCACAAAACTGATTCGCTCGATTCGCAACGGCAAGAGCGACACGGCTGCTGATTTCCTGGCTGTCCTTTTCGCGCAGCAGGTCAGAGCGCCTACGAAGGCATGGCGCATCTAGGTGTGCAGATTAGGAACTTGTTGCATCCACCAAACACTCCAGATCTCACTTTATGGAATCCAACTGTAAGAAGTCTACATCGCCCCCCAGGGTCAGCACTCGAATGGGTATACTGTCAAAAATTGTTCATCAGTACGCCGCCCCCGCAACGAACAAGCAACTCACAGGAAGTTTCCCAAAAGTTTCCTTCAAGTATGGCACATGCCTGCAGAGACCCAACAAGCCATCAACTTCATGAGGCCACTCAAAAGCACAAAAACGAACCATAGAATAGCAATATATATTCCAGGGTATTCCTCTGCGTAACATTGGGTGGTTTTGAAGTCGAGATGGTCAAATAGAGTCGGATAAACAAGTCCAGACAGCGCGTGATCGTTACTGGGACGCACTCACGTGATACGTGTCAGGCCATTTTGGAATTTTGATGTGAGAAGTGGTGTGGTTTTCACTTTTCTGTCTTGACCACGACGCAGGGATAAAAGGCTGTCCCGCAAAATACCCAGTCCTCCACTCCCCTTTCCTCTTCACCGGGACTGGTTGCCATGTCGTTCCTCAACGCCACCACTATACCCTCGCCGTACTACGACGCGCTCTACCCAGCAACTGACTTTTCCTCCTTGACGTGGCTGGAACAGCAGTGGGTTGCGTGGTATGTCTGGATCGGAAACCCTATTATCGCTACGGGGTTAATGAGTTTTCTCATGCATGAGGTGAATAGTTGGCAGTCGCTACTGTTTGTTGCTCTACTTACCCCTGGTATGCAGATTGTATATTTCGGACGAAGCATTCCATGGATTATTATCGACGCTACACCGTTCTTCCGTAAATGGAAGCTACAAGCCAACAAAATTCCTACGGCCGCTGAACAGTGGGAATGCACCAAGCAGGTGCTTTTCTCCCATTTTACCATTGAACTTCCTTTGGTGCGTATTCACTCTTACGCTTATCGCTTCCTGAGATTAATGGAGAAATACTAGATCTGGCTCTTCCATCCGACGGCAGAAGGCCTTGGAATGAGCACGTATCATGTCCCATTCCCTTCGTTGAAGACGATGGCGCCTCAAATTTTCTTGTTTTTCGTGTTCGAGGATTTCTTCCACTTCCTTGGTATGTATAATCAAAACTACCGATTGTTTCCGGTCTAATTTACCACGGTAATCGTATAGCCCACCAAGCGCTCCATACCGGTGTTTTGTACAAGCACATTCACAAAATCCACCACAAGTACTCGGCACCTTTTGGCCTTGCAGCTGAATATGCCCATCCTGCTGAGGTCTTCATCCTCGGTGCAGGCACGATCCTCGGTCCACTCCTCTACGTGTTCTTTACGAAGAACTTGCACATTATCACTGTCTACGCCTGGATCGTCCTCCGCCTCTTCCAAGCTATCGACGCGCATAGTGGATATGGTCAGGACCTCCCTTTTCTCACCGTACATATGTTTTTATATTGACCATCACGTACAGACTTCCCCTGGTCATTACACAACATCATTCCCTTCTGGTCCGGAGCCGAGCACCACGACTTCCACCACATGGCCTTCACCAACAACTTTTCCACATCCTTCCGGTGGTGGGACAGGATTTTTGGAACGGACGATAAGTACCGCCAGTACCGTGCACGGGTGAAAGCTGCGAAGAATGCGATGAAGAATGCGTCAAAGGAGGAGCAGGAGAAGATGGAACAGAAGCTTAAAGATGAGGTGGAGGCGGAGGGGATCAGGGCTGAGGCTGAGGCTGAAGGCAGCGCGCCGAAGACGGTCAAGGTCCAGTAAATTGGATACATGTTGATGCCTAGAGTATATTTAATAATCTTATATCGTAATGGGCATTCCAGGCTGACGACCGTCGGCATAACATATCTAAGTCTTATTGAGATTTTGGTACTTCCACTTGGCCTACGGTACATTTTTGTGTTGCCTACCCCTCCACCATGTCTTCGGGCCCCTGTACCGGCCCAGCTTCACCTTGTTCCTTGTCCTTTCGGATAGCCTGCACAACATCGTCGACACGGAGGAGCATGCGCGCAGCCTGCGAAGAAAACAGTTCAAAAGAGAATCTAACACGTCAAAGGGGTTTAAAGGGGGCTAACATACCTCGATGGCAGTTTTCAAGGTTTGGATCTAAAAATAATTTCACATCTCGTAATGAGTGAAACGGCAACGCGAGAACATACCTTGACACTGGCAGATTCGTACAACCCATACGTTTTCATGTCCACGCATTTTCCAGTGTTACCATCAATACCCCAGGAGCTCTCTCCGTTTGCGTGTTTCGCCCTCAACTCAGTCAATGCCCTGATCGCGTTTCCCCCGCTGTTCTGAACCAGAGTCCTGGGAATCACTTCCATGGCATCGGCCACAGCCCGGAAGGGCCACCCCTCAACGCCAACCACACTTCGTGCCTTAGCATGTAGCCCCACGGAGATAGCCATTTCGGTTGCACCCCCGCCAGGAGCGAGAATGGGGTTGAAGACTACGTTGCGCGCGACGGACATAGCGTCTGCGAGATTCCTATCGATCTCGTTGAGGATGTCCTTTGATGGACCACGAAGGAGGATGGTGCATGCTTTGGGAGTTTTGCATTCAGTGAGGAATGTGAAGTATCTATGAACAGGTAAGTAGGAAGGAAGATGGGCAAAAGAATAGTAGAGCTCACTCGTCTCCGATTTTTTCAATATTGAAGAGTCCACAGTCAGTGCCCAAATCCGCTTCCCGAATATCTTCGATGCGATTGACGATGGTGGCCCCAACGGCAAGAGCGATACGGTTGTTGTCTGATTTTCGTACTCTGCGGATGGCAGATACGTTGTGCTTTTCAAAGATGTGTTGCGCGATATCTGTGTCCTATGTCAGAGACAAATATACCTAAAAATTACGGAGAACCTACCGGAAATGCCCTTCTCTGTGATGATGAGATCTGGCTTCAACTCCATCAACCTGTTACATTGCGCCTTAACCTGCTCTTCCTCGATATCCTGTGCCCGGGCCCAATCACCCTCCTTCGAAAACTCCATATTCGTTTGACTCTCGCCCTTCTTATACTCCAACGGGCAATCCAGAAGAATAATACGTGGGTTCTTGATCCTCCTCCGCATGTTGGGGTGCGTGATATCTTTGTTCAACATAACACCGTTCAAAACGCAACTTTGCTCGATCTCGCCCCCAGGCACTTTTTCAACACGGGCATAGCGCTTGATGTCCACTGTCTTCATCCCGTTTTCGTCTTGCGCAACCGTCCGCACGGCCTGCAGTGCCAAATGACACATGAGATTTGACCAGCGCTGGACGAATTTGGTGCCGATCGACGTTTTGATAAGAGCTAACATTTCCTCATCGTTATTCACATCGATAGGGATAGATATCCGCTTGACGATTTCTAGGGCTTCCTTGAGAGCTTTGTTGTACGCGGAAATGATGACGACAGGGTGAATGTCGCGTTCTAGTTGTGATAATGATTGAGCAAGAATCTCTCCAGCTGTAATTATGTTAATCCAACGGCAATATTAAACGAGAATTTTGCGCACCAAGAATAATGACGCTGGTTGTTCCATCACCACACTCCTCATCCTGTGTTCGGCTCAACTCAATCATATTCTTCGCTGCAGGGTGAGCCACGTCTATTTCACGCAAGATCGCGTTTCCGTCGTTCGTTAGCCTTTGATACACCTGGCATTAGCCTCTTTTCCTCTCGATGTCAAAATCTTAACGCACAGGATACCCCCCATCGGATCGAGAATCATCTTCAACATTGCCTTTGGTCCCAGACACGTCCGGATGACATCTGCGACTGTCTAATAACCATGAGACCCATAATCCTCGTTAAAAATGATAATCGTCCACCTTTGCCGCGGTGATGTTCGAAATCTGAGCTTTCCGCCCCGACTGCCGTTGAGGCGCAGTGTCTGGTCGAGTAAATCATGTTCAACTCTTCGAAAAGGCAAAAAGAAGATTTTTACACACTCATAACAAATATTGGCGCTTGAGACATCGTGAATTTCGTGGATTTATCGAGCGAATGTGCTTTTGTGTCGTTGCAAGTCGAGGAGTCGTGCAGAAATTACAACGCGTCTTTGCATTATGTAATTTGTGATGCGTACAAATACAGACCCCTCGTTGTCCTCGTCTCGACGCTGTATCGTCTTCCCCGACATTCTCCAGCCCTTGATTCGAATTCAGGGGATACAGCGCTGATATTCGGATTTTGAAGTTGTCAACAACAACGTAAAGGTAGCCGTAATGATGAACAGCTAAACGGTTGTATCTCCTCAGGGAAGACAGTGAAAGTGGAAACCCCGCCTCCGACATCTCAATTTGCAACGGAGGCTGCGCAGGCGCGTTCTCACTCAGCTTCATAGTTTAGAGCGGAAGCACAACAATCATATGAATTGGCGAGTACGATGATGGAAATGAAACGACACCTAACCGGGTACACCGACACAACTCCTTCCCTTTGCCTTTCCGAGTGATGGAGATCGCCATGAAGTTTGAACTTTGCCAATCTGGAGCTCGCCACATGGGTTTCCTTGTTCATTTTTCGACCGTGGCAATCTTATCGTCAGAAAGGACAAGCTCCCTGGTGTTTCCGAAGGTCACGGCGGTGTCGAAAACAGACATAAGGCGTCTATCACCGGTACATAAACCAAAGCCGAGATGTCCATAACGGCGGCCCCGCTCTCCTGACCTTTGCTCCCCACACTCTCTCTTGTCTTCAATCAATAATGGCAGCAGTGGATGTCCCAAGAACCTTTGGCGCGCTAATGATTGGCGGTCTCTTTGCCTCAATGTTAGCTTCTTTTGATGGACTATCGTTCAATCAATGACCCGATTTCCTTACCCGATTTCACAGCTTGGCCGGGACTGTCGCGGTGCAAGTCATCGTATACTTCAAATTGTACCCCAAGGACTCCTACAATTTAAAACTCCTGGTAGGTGCAAAAATACGATGTCATTACACGCTGCCTTGCTGACATCTCTGCGCAGGTTCTCTGGGTTTGGTAGGTACCATACAGCTGGCTGCCATTTCCCATCTGACTCCCCCTTCAGGTTTCTGGACACATGCCACACCGTTTGCATTTGGACTTCGTTATGGAACTATCTCATCGACCACTTTGGCGACACGGGGAGGATCCACTACATTCCTACGTGAGTTTTTTCCCCTTTTTGTGTTATTGTCATTCAATTTTTAATTTAGGACTCTCGCGGTTCGTAAATTCGCTGCTTCGTTATTGTCCTAGGACTTAAACGTTCGCGTCGATAGCTCACTATTGTCTTCACGGTATGTGCAAATTTCTGGAGCTCAGATTGAGGCCGATCGAAATTTAGGCAACCTTGACGATCTTTGTGCATCTGTGCGTCAATTCTACGGGTCTGATATCCGTTCATTCTTCTCATTTTCCATTGTTTCAGCTTCTTTGCGCACAGAATCTTTATGCGTCAGTCTCATACGTTTCAATATCGCCCAACCACTGACTCCGGACCGATGCAGTCAGTAAACGGAACTGGGCCCTGACCATTCCAGTTGTACGCAATCGTTTCGTCATCTTCATTCATCACGCCCGTACTTATAAATAACTCTCCGCTCAGGTGATACTTGCCTTTCTTCGGCTCAGTAAGAATCAATCTCTTTATGGTATAGACCCTAGCCTCATTGACCATTTTTGACCCATCATCCGACGTACAGCCGCTGCCTCAGGTACAGTCTGTCAGACTCGAGTGTCATTATGACGTTCACTGATTGTGTTTTCTTTTTTGTTGGACAGTTACAACATCAGAAATGTGAGTTGCTGACCTGCCGACTCGGCTTGTGCTAATCTGGAAGCATGCTCTCAGGATTATCCTTCACAGCTTTCCTCTTTTCAGGGCTCACTTTCGAGTAATTATCTCCATTCATTTCTGTTCTTGACCGTGCTTCACATCTTATCTATCAGTGGGTCTTCACTCTCGGTTTGACACTCTCGTCGGTTGTGGATGTCCTCATCACAGGATCACTGTTCTTCCTCCTTCAGACTAGTCGGACGTCGGCGCCAGAGTAGGTGCCTATTTTCTTTGCCGTACCTCATTGATTGATTTTCCCTCTGCTGTGCAGTCTGAACGCAATCATCGACTCTTTGATCCGTTATGCCTTCGAGACTGGTTCGTTAACATGGTGTGTATTTTCTCGAAGATTACCCCCCGATCTCATTAATTGTATGTCAGCGCGGGAACCGTTATTTCCTTGATTTGCGTAAGTGCATGGCAACATGTGGAGTAACCCATCATCTTACTTCAACTTAAACACAGTGGCTAGCTATGCCAAACAATCTGGTTTTTATTGGGTTACACTTTGTAATCGGAAAGCGTATGTACTTTCTTGACCAGTTAATTTTTTTCCATTGACCCCTTCGCAGTATATGCCAACTCTTTATTGGTCACGTAAGGCTCTCGTCTACGTCGCTCGGTGCGGATTTTGACATGCCCAAAAGGTTGAACACACGGCAAGTTCTCCGACACGCCCGCAGCGCTTCTGGCGGTGGATCTGGTGAACATCGTGTTCCCGTCAAGATTTCGGGTGGTGGACGCTTACGAAGTCCTGATCCTGACGGATTCTCTGTATGTTTCTTTTTTTCACCATCACCACATCACGCAAAATTACTCATATGAATGTCGCACTTGTTGTTAAATCGCTAGCTTGGCCATGCTCGTGGAGATTCGATCAGCAAGGGTTCAAAATCACAAGCGGTAGGGCAAATAGAGTCGAAACCGACTACTACTACTACCGATGCCTCGATCGACGTCTGACCAAACATCTCTGTTTACTAGTTGGAAGTCAGCGTGGAAAGAAGCGTTCAACTCACCCGTGACGACGAATATTTTATCCCGCTCACCGTACCTCCTGCCACTCTCGCACATGACGACTCACGTCGCTACGATGATGACACCCTCTGATAATTTCACGATAGACCAATCTTTTGGTAAATTAGTACTCCTCAGTTTGGTTACAGTCGTTTGCATAATTCCGTGAACACCGAAAATTCTTTTTTTGGGCGTGACGTGACAAGTCACCTGATTGACCACACTCTTTCCCTGAGTATTGCTAGGCCTTGTGTCTCGTTCTTTCGCATTTTGACCAGCGGAAATGTATTCAAAATCTCCCTTTTCAATTATGGAAGATCTATTGGTTTTGTCAAAGGATTGATTACTTTATCATGGTTTACATAAGAAATTGTGCATGATTCTGATACAAACCTAATTGAGCTTGAATTGAGCAGTAGGCCTGGTCTCTATTGAACCCTCTTCAAAGTACTAAGCCAGCACAAGTATGTAGCTTCGGATGGTCAGATATAAGGTTTATCTAGAGCCATGGCATGGTTATCAGGATGTGGGAAAATGTCTTTTTTGGGCAGGTAAGTCATGTCACACCCAAAAAAAGAATTTTAGGTGTTCACAGAATTATGCAAATGACTGTATTGTGTACTGCATGATAATTCTATTCTCTTCTCGAATGTCTGAAATCTAGGTTGTAAATACCTGTCTAAATAGCAAAGTGTGGAGGTCAAGGTTGAGAGGACAGTGAGTGTTTGGCGAGTGTCCTGTAATGTGTGGCTGCAAGATGCAAAGCAGCAATTAATCTAAGCAGAACCACAGGTCGAGAGGAAGACTGAAGATCAATTCAATGCCTACCTTCAATATTTTCCACTGATTCAATTGTTGAGTTTGAATGTCCTGCTTTGCATGCTGGCTCATTGATGTATGTACTAACTGAAGGGGCACGGTGGCTCAGGTGGCACCATCGTTTGTCTGGCTTGGGTCCGCAAGGTCTCAAGTTCAATCCCCCGCATGTGGAAAACAACTTAGACACCATGTGCATTCAATGCCCCCAGGAGACGCCGAGACGGGTCAGGTGTATGGGAAGGTGACACAGTCTGTTGTATAAACCCTGATGCCGAATATGACATACCCACGCCCCCCGATCACAATGATATCATGGCCACATTTACTCCTCTTATCTTGGAAAAAGAAGATATGCCGAAGAAGCAGACTGGAAGGCGTGGGACAGGCCCTTGTGGCTGACAAATGATGTGCGAAAATCACAGAGTCGAGGCTGGTAAACCAGTCCCCTTGCCGATCAACAAACACCAATATGCCAAAGGGTTGGGTTATTCCACACATCTACCGATTAGGCTTGAACGAAAATCTTAGGGGGCGTGAGGCCTCTGCTTGAGGAAAGAACTAAGGTCAAATGGGGTTAGTCTTACAGGGTTAGGGGGTTTCCCCACAAGAATGCCTGCTGGCGATAGCCACATGATGGTGTGCCGTGAGATCTAGGTGCAGTGATAAGGTAGCTCAGGGAGTAAAAGAAGCGATTAAGTTCCTACACTTGTAAGGGTTAAGCCATGGGCTCCCCTGAAAGTCCTGATTAGTGTTACAAATGGAAAGTCACGAAAGCGGGCATAAACGGCAGGACAGTTATGTAGTTTAGGTAGCTCATACCCACGAAAAGTCCCAGTCTACATACTATTGTCATGTAACATGATTGTTAGATTATCTCCGAATAATCATTGACATACACATGCACTAACTGAAGACCTGAAGAAAGCAAGAAGTTTGTTTTCAATGTCATTTTGGAGTCGAGTATCTTCAGAGATTGGTTGAAAAACTGGTAGGTCTTGTCATGGGTTCCATAGTTATTGATGGGCATTCTCATCTCACGATTTTTCGGTCTCCGGAGAGTATCGTTATGACTTTATCAGTGCCTGACAAGTGCAACAGGAGAGCTTTGATACCCCTATGTAATAGAAGGTTTGCAACCAAAGCCTCACCAGCAAAGTGTCAAGAAAAGCAAGCAAGGTGGCCTCAGTGACAAGCCACAGTAGTGAAGGTGAGGTGAGTCTGTGAGCTGTAGAGTTTTGCTGAGTGCTTGTTACAAAGATTTCAGTATACTGTCTTGGTCAATGTTTTGCATTGAGCAGCTGGTGCGTGCAGGTTCAAAGTCAATAAAAGGGATGATATGTGGGATGGAGATATGTCCAGCGACATTGAGTGGCTTTTGGAGGGCACAGCTCTTACTTGTGGAATTCCTTCAAACAAAAATTTTAGGGCACCTTCATGTGTATGGGAGATTGTCACTATTGGTGCAAGAATGATATGGTGAAAGGACCTTATCAATCATTCTTGCCAGACCACCTGGTTGGAAATCTAAACTGTGTAGGGCAGGGAAGTGAGTCTTGACATTGAAAATTAGTAGATGATACACACTGGTATTTTGGAGCACACCCTCCCACTGCTCAAGCAAATTTCTCGCTCCTCCTGAATGATGTCGTGCTGCCAGTAGCAATGCAAAAGTTTGAATAGCTTCAGGAGGTATTTGAAGTAACATTGATGTAGATATTGTTCATGACTGAAGTGTAAGAGATAGTGTTTGGAAGTCCGGTCTCGTGACTGGAAAAAGACCGTAACCAGACCGGACCAAGACCGCAAAAGACCGGACCTGCGGTTACGGTCTTTTATTTTTGAAATGTAAAGACCGCAAAAAGACCGGTTAACGTGAACCGGTCTTGACCGGTTTGGACCGGTTTTTTGTAGCCCCTTAAATACCCTTTAAAACGCACCCAAGAACGTACGATTTGGTAAAAAAACGAGAGAGATATGAATTAAAATGTAAATTACTTTTGGGAATAATAGATGTACCAGACTTATTTTATAGAAGCACCAATACCTAACGGAATTTAACGTTCTTGGGCTCGTTTTGAAGCTATTAGAGATGTTAATAAATTTACCGATTCATAATTTTAAAATATTGGCCTAAAGACCGGTCATAAACCGGTTAAAACTGATGCAGACCGAAACCGGTCTATAGACCGCAAAAAACCGCGGTCTGTGGTCTTTTTGCGGTCCGGTCTGGTCTTTTGACTTCTGGGGAAAAGGCAGACCGGTTACGGTTATGGTTAACACCCCTGGGCATCAAAAAACCGGACCGAACCGGACTTTCAAACACTAGTAAGAGAGCATCTAGGGTATCTATCAGAAGAGAGATGGTGCTACAGACTCTTTTCTCTTATAAACGTATAGACACTTACATATTTCTAAGACATATCTAGACCATACTGGACAGTTCTAGACACGCACTCCAGCCAGATTTCTTTTATGACTTAGATAGATTCATATGACTCCTTTGGGGTCATACAACTCTTATAGACTAGATATGACTCGTATGACTCTACACAAGTCATACGAACTCGTACTTTTGACTCATATCTTTAGTATATAAGTAGGATACTTTTGTTTGTATTTGGTAGCTTGAACCTAGGCAATACAAACTTAGTTCTCCCTCAGATACCTCAGAATTAAGATCACCCTCGAACTCTATAAGTCTTTCAACCTAGAGTCTCTTTAGAAACTTTGACGATAAGTCTTCAACATCGAAGACTTAATACATGTTTGACTTAACAGAAGTCAGTGTATCATAGAACCTTGTTTCACCCATTGAGGTACAAGGCTACTAGAACCTACTGTGTCGCTTTAAGGGCAAAGCGAACATTGTAGTGACCCACTTTGTCTCAATGATGAGAACTGTGGTAGATGAACGAACAATTGAACTTGAAAGCTTAACATAACTGCCCGTTACGCTTAACAACTGTAACAGATGGCCTGGTTGTTGAAAGGATTAAATTCATCGCTGCGGCGAGCATTCTCGTAGTTTGAAATTTGCGGCCCAGCACAGTCCAGAAAATGTTCAACCTGCTTGTGTGAAAGCTTCATCCAAACTTTAGCCCAAGAAAACTCAAGCATCTTGTGAATCAGAGCATCTTCAAGCCAGTGAGAATTTTTCTGAGAGCCTATAGCATCTTGTTCACGTATGGCCTTCAAGGAATTTATGATGAAGGTTAGGTGGTTTTGTGTTTTCTCTTCAACATTTCCATTTCCTGCAATGAAAAAGAGTGGCTCAGCATCGATGCCATTGCACCTAGAGACCAAGATAGCCAAGACTTCCTTAGATGCCTTTGAGACTAGTTGTCAAGTGAGGCAATTCAAGAAGTCTCTGAGTAAGGAACAAGAAGTACCCAGAAAGTTGGGATCATCGTGTAGTTGATCATTCCGGCGAATCCCTGCTTCAATTGGAATTGACTGAGTCCTGTAGCAATCCCGTAGAGTCCAGCTAGAACCACTAGGTACTCTTCACCAAGAGTCCTCGAAGCCATGATACACAGAGAGTGAGCTTGAGCAGTCGACGTCAAGGAAGATACAAGAAGCCCATGATGTCGCTTGGCAGAGGGAGTGAGTGTTTGAGTCCTGGCATGCTATGCCAATACTTTCATTTATACTACAATACTTTTGGGCAGGGTTCGAAGCCACATGTATTGTACAAATCTGCCCAAAATTCATGACTACATGCAATCTATTGGAGCAATAACCCCCATCCCCCCCCTCATGCGAACAGGTCACAAGCCCCAGCTCTCAAAGCACACCACTCAGGCTGTAATGCAATCGCACTAACACCACACTGATTAAAGTGGTATGTGACATTGTGAAGCTGAGGAAGAGTGTTGGAGACGTCACCTCCTGGTCTGGACCAGAACAGCTGCCACATAGAAAGGTTTTAGTAATGACGATGGAAGAACAACAAACCTCAACAGACAAAGCTGCACATGGCCATACTATACTGTTGAGGTTGGAGGGGTTGGATTGTTCGGTCCATAAGAGGTGTTAACCTTCATCGTGAAGTATATGCCGCCATGAAAAAGAGAAGGAAGCCATACCTCCCAACATGAGCCCCTTCTGCGTATCAGTCAAGCCTGTAGCAGGATCGAATGAGTATGACTAATCCCATATGAGAATAGCAAGGAGAGATTTACAAACAATGCTTACATATCTTTTGCCATGTATTAAATGGATCACAACAGCTATTCCCATTCCCATTATCACCCACCCACTGCCCAGCATGCCCACAATCTAAGTAAAAGTAATCAGAAAAGGCATGGATGATCTTGAACCTCAACTGCCGTGACATTGGCTGATGAGATTCTACCCTGATTTTTTAATTTGTTGTCAGTCAGTGAGTGTTGTCTTGAACAGGCTTACATGAAAGCTGTGTCGTTTCATAGTGTCACATTATGCACAAGCACCATCTCCTCCCAAACTACAGCCCTCTTCCTAGCCAAGGGGGGTACACAATTTTAATTTAATATATCATGCTGATTTTTTTTGTAAGGCCACTATGGCGGGACTAACTGACCAGTGTGCGAATAAATTACCATATATAGGTAAAGTCTATAAATAGGTACCGTGTTTTGGGTGTCATTGGGGCGTTGTGTCAGCTGCTACCTTATCTACACTGCACGCCTTCGTTTGCCGCCCCTTCCTCTGCTTTTTTCTATGCTCTTGGATGGGTCACAAACCCAGTCGTTGATACCATAATCCAGTCCAATGCAGAAAAGATGGTACTGCATAGTTAGTGGTGAGTAGAAGGCAGAAAATGACATGAAAAGAAATGACTTACCCACAATGTCTCACAGCCTTTTCATCTGCAGATAATTATTCTGCTTTTGTCATTGGCCTCAACTTTGTCTATACTCTTGCTGCAATCACACACTCTCACAAGCTTTCATTTACTGGTGTTCCTCAAACCTTCTCGTAGGCTTCTCAGGTTGGAGTTTGCAGAGGCAGTGGGTATGTTGAGATCTATAGCAAATTTGTGAGTTTCATGCCCATTCCCACTGTCGGTTCCTGTGTTGATGGCTTCTAGCTCATCTGCATGTAGGCCAACTTTTTGTGCGATGATGGCTGAAACAACCAGTGCATCAGTTGCATCAAGCATCTCATCTGCAGGTAGCCCAACCTCTTGCACAATGACAGCTGGAACAACTGCATTGTTCGTGTCAAGTGTGTCTCCATCATTGGAAGGACAATGGAACAGGTAAGTAAGGAGAGCTTGTCAAACACATCAGAGAGTGCACCAGTCTAATCTAAGCTCATCCAGTCCATAAATTACCCGAAATTGGTACTTAAAATTAAAAAAATTTAACGGCCTGGCAGCTGGACTAACTAACCAGCCCCATATGGCAAATTCAAATCCTGCTCCCCCCTTGTTCCTAGCAGCATGCATGGAGGCATGGGTAGCATGGGTAAAGGTATCCAGCGGACCAGTGCTTGCTCAAATGTTTTTCCCTGTGATGCTGGTACTGTGGTATTTTGACTGACTGTTTGGTCACTCATCACATCGGCCTATGAATTGAATAGATCTGGCAGAGGATATATGGAGTATGACTCACACACTGCATTGCAAAGAACAACAACTAAGTGCAACACATTTGAATGAAGTGCGACACCGTTACAAAAAGAATGACACACCATACGAAAGTGCAACACATTCAACAAGAAGGTGGACACATGCCATTGAAGTGTGACACTCCGCCTTGTAATATTTAATTGGGTCTTGAATGTACCAGTTCATGCAGGTTCAATAAAATATGCTGCACCACATTAAATTTTGCTTCCTTTTATCCCCCCACGAGATTCTTGCCCTCCAGCACTACATCTAATTACTCATGCCATCTGATCATCCTTTCCATTGCAATGAGGATCCTGCAGCATTCATTGACTCGATGTCGATCAGGGATATCATGGCCTTTCGAAGTACAGTATGATAAATCAACATGTTTTTTCTTACAGATACTGACCAGACTGAGTAGTGTTTTTTGGCCGATTTTATCACTTCACATCCTGCTATTTTTTTGGACAACAATTGGATCAAAGCTGAGACGCTGAAAGAATGGTTACGAGCATGTGACAACATTTAGTGTTTAAAGGTTCAGTTCAGTCCGGTTTTTTGCCCCGAAAACGCGCAACCATGGACCGCAACCGGTCCAGGACCAACCCAGATATTGAGGGAACCGAACCGAACCACCTAGGACCGGTCTTTTGCGGTCCATGATACCGGTTCAGACCGATCCAGACCGGTTTTTTTGTGTATAATTTATTATACCAATATAAACCATTTGTATCTCAACCATTATTACTCTGAAAAATAAACGGGTTATATAAAATAGTAAAGCATATAAATACCCATCATTCTACCAATTTTCAAGAGATTTAATGAAGATTTGACATAGCTATGACTGAAACCGAATTACATCTCATAGAGACTCGGGTAAAATATGGATTTGGTTATATCTTTCTTAATTCTTAACCGTTTTTGATGAAACAAAAACCCAATAAAAGGCAATAAACGTGGTTACAAGGCTATGTAACGCACGTAACCGTTTAACCGGTTGCAACCGATTAAAACCGGTCTTTGAACGGTTTTAAAAGATTTTCGAAATGAGGCAACCGGCAACCGGACCAACCCCAAATTGGGGCAACTGCAACCGAAAAAAGACTGGACCATGGTCCGGTTCAGTTCGGTCCACTGGTTTTTTGCGGTTCTATGGACTGAACCTTTAAACACTAACAACATTGATCAGACCACCAACTGTGCCTGCGATGGTTGTCAGATTACAGTCAAACAGGAAGCACTTGACATCAACCTTCGACAACCACTCAGAAAGCTCACGAGTTGGGTGAAGTTCAAGATCTTGCACAAGCACTCACCAATGAAGTTGAAGCAGAGAAAGAAAATTGGCGGAAGTCATTGGCTCGTGGGAAGGAACTACAGGCTCAACTCAAAGAACTCAAAACCGGTGGAGGGAAGAAGTCGAAGACACCTCATACACACCACCCTCCACTGCTCCCTGATGCCAGCTCGAGTGGCTGCGTTCACACCATGGTGGATCATTGACACTCCTTGGATTCTGCTGTTCAACATGGTATGTAATATGTTGTGTTGTTCATCGGTCTACTGTCTCACAAATCGATCCATGTCCAGACATCGCCGTCATCAATAATGATGCATCGATGAATCACCAAACACTCACAATGACGGATTCCAGGACCTAACTACACGTAGTAAGTATCCGTTCAATAAACACTGTTTCTTTCATCTCAAAACAAAACTCGTAGTGAATTTGAGCTCGGACCTTGTGCCATGCCAATTTTTGGGGGGAATCAATGCTGTCAATGATAACGAGGATTTCTGGACAAACCTCAACCCAATTGACCTCATGCTTGACAGCGATACATCTGGCTTTTGGGGTGACGATCCCGCAACTGATCTCTCATTCGATGGTATGCTGTACAACTTCCCTGACACATTCTTACCTCCTCCGTCATTGTCTCTGCCACCGCCTTCACCCCTGCCACCTTCTTCACCACTTCCGTTGTCACCAGCCCTGCTGTCTTCTTCACCAGTGAAGGCTGTGGCTGCCATAACCCCAGGTACATCGACTGGTGTGGCTGCACAGGGAAAGCATAGGAAGCGGGGGAGGAACGAGGTCGACAAGAGAGATATACTACCTCAAGGGACTTGGCGCTCTAAAGCGAAAGCACCCCCACAAGAGCCAATTTGCATTATTGAATGGCTGTCATAGGACTTAGACATTGACGAATTGAATTACCTATGAGCTGCGTACAGGGTACTTAAATGTAAAGTACAACACAAGTCATCATACCATCACAACTCTGTGGTAATTAGTATACTTATGACACATGAAAGGTAGAAGTGTAACACACCTTTGCAAAAGGCAACACATTGGGCTCACCTGTGTGTCACTCATTGTCCCACTGTGTCATACTACACTTTGGTGTGTCCTACTTCCGATTGTCCTAATCTGGGGTGTGTGTTGCATTTCGTTCACCCCGGATCTGGCACTTGTCACAGGTCACTTGGAAGGTTGAATAGAGTGACATTTTACCCTAAAAAGGAAAAAAAACTAAATTTTCTCTGCTGCATGGTGTACAACTATTACAAAACTATATACCATCCACTAAATATGCTTTTACACAACTTCTATAGGCATCCAAACAGGATATAAATGTCAAATTATAGGGATCTAGAATTTTTTGGCCACAATCAGGAGAGAGTTGCACTGGATGAGCGGTTGTGGAGGAGGCTTGGAGGAGGCAAGAAGGTTGCTGCCAGATGCCATATCAACTGCTCAACAAACACTTGTCGCTGGCCAAACACTTTCATTGCTATGTCACACAGTGATCCCGATTTTGAACATGCCTCCTGACTGTTCGAGGCTGTCACACGTCACATTGGCCAAACAGTCAGTCGAAATACCACAATATTTGTCAGCAGCAATCTACAAAGTATAAAATGGATATGGCTGGAGTCAGCTGGTCATACATTTAGAATTCTGTATCACATACATACACAGGAGCATCTGTAATCAAATTGGAGCTGTGAGAGTATAAGTGTACCCATTCTGTTGAGTATTATGATTCGTCCTGCTGTGCCCATATGGACCCACTCTTTTCACACATGACCTATAGTCATCCACCAGCTAATGATACACTGAAATTGAAAAATTAGCTTCAACAAATTTAAGCACAACCTTTCACTACAAAATCGAGTTTAGAATTATTGTTTACAGTAGTCTAATCGGGCGCACGGGTGCCTGGGGACGTAACATCTCCTCTCCCCGAGATACTCCTGGTTTCTGAAACCAGCGATCCAGTGTGAGCGAGTCACACACCTGAGACCCCTCAGGTATATCAGGTGCGAGAGTGGAGTTGAGCAATCCTCCCTCTCACCTCGACCACCCTACCAGGCAGGGGTAACATTTACATTCACATCTCAACCTCCGGTTGCATCGAATTCACTTTGTAAATCCTCATTTACCTATGTCTGGCAATGATATTCCTGCTTCACTTGATACTCCTATCTCTACTGCTGGGAACGAACGCAACGATCATCAGGATGACGAAACACAGCAACAACCGAGTGGTATGCCTGAGCATGGTTCTGGCGAGCACCGATCCATGTCCCCAGCGCAACCTGAAGGTGGTAACAGTACACTTGGGAGTTTCCCAGCTGCGGTTGCTACTCAAGCTCTCTGCAGCAAAATGGTCGAGGATTTTCGCTCCTCTAAGATCTCGAAAGGAGTTGCTCTCAGCCGAATTCACACAGCACTTGTTGATGCCTTACCTGAAGATTTATCAGCTGTTGAAGACAGTTTTGCACGATACTTATCCATTGTTGAAGATCACAAACGCCATCTCACTCAGGCAAAGCAACGTGGTGACAAACGATCAGGAGAAGATGATGAGCATCGTGACGATGGGGAACCTGAACCTGAATCACCAGCATCGACGAAACACGCTAGTGTTTAAAGGTTCAGTCCATAGGACCGCAAAAAACCGGTGGACCGAACTGAACCGGACCATGGTCCGGTCTTTTTTTCGGTTGCAGTTGCCCCAATTTGGGGTTGGTCCGGTTGCTGGTTGCCTCATTTCGAAAATCTTTTAAAACCGTTCAAAGACCGGTTTTAATCGGTTGCAACCGGTTAAAAGGTCACGTGCGTTACATAGCCTTGTAACCACGTTTATTGCCTTTTATTGGGTTTTTGTTTCATCAAAAACGGTTAAGAATTGAGAAAGATATAACCAAATCCATATTTTACCCGAGTCTCTATGAGATGTAATTTGGTTTCAGTCATAGCTATGTCAAATCTTCATTAAATCTCTTCAAAATTGGTAGAATGACAGGTATTTACATGCTTTACTATTTTATATAACCCATTTATTTTTCAGAGTAATAATAGTCAAGATACAAATGGTTTATATTGGTATAATAAATTATATGCAAAAAAACCGGTCTGGATCGGTCTGAACCGGCTCCATAGACCGCAAAAGACCGGTCCTAGGTGGTTCGGTTCGGTTCCCTCAATATCTGGGTCGGTCCTAGACCGGTTGCGGTCCACGGTTGCGCGTTTTGGGGGCAAAAAACCGGACTGAACTGAACTTGCGAACACTAAAACGCGCTAAGCCAGACGACTCACAATATCCATGGATTGTTTCCAACTTCATCCGGAACGTCACTTTATCTCCTAGCCTCACCGCTACCCTCGACCTGCTCAAATTATATGCCATCGATCCAAAGGGTACGAAACAATCCCTTATCAACTCTCCCTCTTGCCCAGAGTTTCCTGACTCCGAGTGGACAAACATCCTTGCTGGTCGTGCAGTCAATCTCGACGCTGTTCTTTCAGGATATTACTCAACTTCAAATAATGACGAGCGAGTTGAATCCATCGGAGAAGTTGAGATTAAGTTTGGAACGGTGGCTCCAACCAAGGTGGTCTCGAGCGCTGGGGAGTGGACAATCTCTTGGAATAAGACTTCTCGTGCGACATCCACAGCTTTTCCCCATCATGCTGGGGAACTTGTTGATTATGCTGAATACATTGTCGGATTGTTTGCTGCAACTGACATCCATTTCCATGACCGAGTTATTCTCTTCGACAAAGCTGTCTGCCGCCGCATTGGGAGTCGCCGTGATCTGGAACTTACAGACTTCAACAAATTTGCAGATCTCAAAGCTGCGCACATGGATTCAATTGGTGCAGCAGTTGTTCAACGCGCATCTCTTGCCACAAAAAACCCATCATCTCGCAAGAAACAAGAAGCATGCAATCGATGGAATGACAACCTGTGCTTGCTTGACAGCAGCCAGTGTCGTCAACTTCATGTGTGCAACAAGTGTTCAAAAGGTGGGCACAAAGGACCTGATTGTCCCTCTGCACAGTGAACCTGCCCCCGACATCAGTCGATTCTTGCCCAGAAGTGTATGTTGTCATTTATCCTTACAGCCCCCTTGATCATTACTGCTGGGGGTAATCAAAAAATGATCTCAATATCGCATGGCTCTCGCCAACCCCAACGAGAGCCTTGGACCATTGACAGACTTGTTCATGAACGGTCCATTGCCTTGGGGTTTTCAATCGACAACTCATCTCACATCACATACACATCTGCTTTGAACTCCTACCTTACTTTCTGCAAAATTCACAATTTCAACATCCAACCAACAGAACAAACTCTAAGTTTCTTCGTTGTTTATATGTCATCCCATATCAAACCCAGTTCGGTCAACTCTTACCTGTCAGGAATCTGCAATCAACTTGAACCTTTTTTCCCTGATGTACGGAAATCTCGCAACTCAATGCTCGTGTCAAGAACTATGACAGGTTGTCAATGTTGCTTTGGAACACCTGTCAAACGCAAACGTCCCCTATCCACCGATGATCTCAAAACTGTCGTTTCCGCCTTGGGGACTTCCACTAAACATGACGACAAACTTTTCCTTGCAATGTTACTCACGGGATTCCATGGACTCATGCGTCTTGGCGAGCTCACTTTCCCAGACAGCGTGGCACGCCGCAATTATCGCAAAGTCATCTTGCGACACACTGTCGACATCACCACTAAGTCCTATTCATTTTTGTTGCCTGGCCATAAGGCCGACCGCACTTATGAAGGAAATCTAGTCATTATCGAACGAACTGCATTACCAACCAGCCCCCACACCTTCTTCAAATCATATCTCACCTCCCGGGATCACTTTCACCCACTCAAGCCTGAACTCTGGCCGCGTGAGTCTGGTATTGTACCGACCCATTCCTGGTTCATCAAGCGACTCCGTCATTTTTTCCCCTCCGATATAGCAGGTCAATTCATGCGTGCAGGAGGTGCCACTTCGCTTGCTGAAGCAGGTGTACCTCCTAATGTCATTCAAGCTATTGGACGATGGGCATCGGATACCTTTCAGATCTACATCAGAAAGAATCCCGTCCTCCTTCAGGCCATGTTATTTGGGCGCCCCGCGCACCAACCAGCTAACACCTGATTGACATCTACAGTTTCAAAATTGGACTAGTATTTTTTCACACAGACTTTTTCTTGGACTTGCTTTCTATTTTGACCTCTCACAACATCGCTCCAGTCCCATACGCTCAACTCAACTTTATTTTTCCCCCCCTTTTTTTTCTTTTTCTCTTTCTTTCCAACAGACTATCCACCAACATCTCCTTCCCTTTCCCTTCCCTCACATACATCATAGGTAATAGGACACCGAGGCTACAAAATAGATTTCGCGGGTTCCCGAGGCGCAGTTTCACACGCCAGAGGAACCCTGTTTTGCCTAGCTTATGCCTCATCATTCAAACTTACAGACCTTCAATCACCTTTGAACAATTAGACTATATAAAATTCTGAGATAAATACCCTTTTATAACTGTGCCAAGTTTCAGAATGTTTGAACAACTTTTCATGAAGAAAAACCAATATTATGGGTGTCTCAATGAGTGGTGTGACTGTATTTCGTAGTGTTTGAAAGTCTGGTTAGGTTAGGTTATTGGGTGCCCAGGGGCTCTAACCGAGACCGAGACCGGTTAGGGTTCGTTCCCAGACCCAAAATAACCTAACTGGACCGAAGATAACCGATGAAAACCGGTTAGTTGCAGTTACTAACCGGTTAGGACCGAAAAAATAGAAAATCGATTAAAACGGCGTATATTTCTCATATTCCTTGCAGTAAACATTATTGCCATGCGTCGTAGCTTTAAAACAAGCCCAAGAACGCTAAATTCGGTGAAGAATTGACAATTTTATAATAATATTCTTGAAAGCCTACTATTTTAGCCAATAATTTAGAGATTTGACCATAACTCTGTCAGATTTTTAGCGTTTCTCATGCTTTTAGATGCGTTTTGAAGGGGTAAAATAGGGTCGGTTGTAACCGGTCATAACCGGTTTTTTAACGGTTAGTTAACCGCAAAATAACCGGTTATTTCATTTCCAGAATTGACTAACCACTAACCACGGTCCGGTTTTTTTGCGGTTAGGTCCGGTCTGGTCTCGGTTATTTTCCAGTTAATTAACCTAACTTCCAAGCACTAGTATTTCGGCTACTTCTGAAAAACAGTCCATTTTGAAAACTCCACAGCATCATCAATATTGCCTTGATTGCATCCAAACTTTGTAGAGTGGCAGATATGAGCTTTTACTACATGTTAATATTTGTTTTGTAAAAGTTGGTGTAGTATTGAGTGAGATATTAGGTAGGCAAAAGTGTCTCAAATGATGGTGGCATCTCATTGGCTGGTGGATGACTGTACTGTAGTTCACTGTTGTCCATTTACTTCAGATATAGGCTCATGACCAGCCTGTACTATCAGTGACCAGGAGTTTGAATTGATTTGACCTTTGGCTATATTATGCCACAACCGCTACACTCCAGGCCTCCAAATTTTGTGGGGTTGTGAATGTGTATCTCATGAACATGAATGTATTTTAAATTTTTTATTGCACAGTGGTGGAAGCTGACAGAGGCTTGCCAGTCGTCGAAGTCAATTGTTTTGGGAGATTGAAGTGGTTGTCACAGCTAATTCACATACAACTGTCAGAATTTTGATAGGTGATGTTACTGTCAGGGTTCAAATTTTGAAGCCTTAGATCACACTTGTCACACTCACCAGACAAAGAATCAAAGCTCATTGAACTGTAAACTTAGTTCTTCATATTTCTGCTCAAAATTTCGTATTTGAGGTCACCTCATTTACTAGTATATGTCTGCAAATTTTTAGAGAGTTTCATGCAAAGGATCGGATTAGATCTTAGAAAACATTTGCATACATCACACATTTTGATGGGATGAAAACCACCTTTCAAAATCCTGTGCTCATCAGACTCAGTTGTTGCAGAAAAAAAAATTGATATTCATATTGGTGAGAGTCATAATTAGTCCAGAAAAAAATCCCAGAATGCCTGTGTCAATATTGAGGAAGGAAAACACGGATTTCAAACTCCTGAAGCATATCAAACTCCTGGTCACTGATAGTATATGAGAACTTCGATATACAGGCTGGTCTGTCTGAGTTTAAATCCCCATACCACGCAGCTCCCATGCCAGTTTCCATAAAAGGTTCAATGATTTTTGACCTCCTCTTAACAATCTGGTCTGGCCCATGCCAAATCTTCCTGGTCTATGATTTGCTTTTTTCTATGGCCCTGTGTCCAATGCAATATCATCTTTCAGCTATGCACCCAGAAGCGCAGCTGATATATTTATATTCATCCTTGTGTTTTTCTTCAACATTGAATGTATTTCATGTGTATATAAGCTATCTACTCAAATGAGGAGGGAAAAGGAAGAACAGATAGCTGTATGCAACAAGAAGTAAGTGACAAAATGGCTGAAGTACAGAAGCCCAAGAAGTTGTCCAGTCTGGATGCAACCACTCCAAATTTTACAGATGTGTCATTCATGAGAAAATGTGTCAATTTCATGCAACAGAGACTGTGAATACAGTGGAGACATGGTGTGCGTCATG